AAGACACCAAATAAATAAAAACGGATCAAACTACTACAGCGCCATCTTCCTTAGAGTCTGAACTAAGTCCTCCATTGGTAAATTTTTTTTTATTTGCAATTTAAAATAGTGAAAATTAAATAAAACTAAAATGGATAGACTCGCCCCTGGATGGGTAGACTCGCCCCGGTTTACTGTATATGATGTTTTTACAAATCAAATAAAATTTTACAAAGATTATTCATGAGTGAATGTTTTACTTTTAGTATGGAGCATTTATTATTTGCCATCTTTCTGATTCGATAACCTCCTTTGGAGCAAGGATCTATGTCCACAGATTCTGTGCAGCCACTTGGTTGAACCTCTCCATACTGAAATACAACAAATTAAAACTAATTAATTTACTGTCAACAATAATAGTGGGGAATATCAAAATTTATATTACTACGTATATTGCCAAAAATATCAACATTTCCTGATTTATTGCGTCATTTTCCCCATTTGAATACTTTGGATTATTTTTGCAATGGCTAACATTTTTATTGCCTAAATGCAAATTTTTTTTCCAAACGTTTCGTAGATTGAACGAATAAGTCATACGGTTTTTTATCTATAATCATGATAGTATCGCATCATCTTATCACATTAGATAATTATCGTTATTGCGATATATCGTAAGAAAATGTCGACATTTCCCGTTATCTCTCTCAATTTTCCGAATTTACCTAATTTGCACTGTTTTTTTCATATGGCAAAATTCTAGCTCACCAAATAAGATAAAAATATTTTTCAAACTTTTCGAGGGTTTTTACAGAGTAAAACTGATATGAAACTTATCGACACTCACAATGATATTTCTGTTAATACTTATCATGATATCATCGTATGCTTCAATTATCGTTATCGATAATCTTAGATTTAGAGAATTATCTGAATAAATTTGACACGCAATACGACTTATTAATAAGAAAATAAGTTAAATAAATATAATTAACACATATAGTTACAGACTTACAGGGAATTACTTCTTCGCAAGAAGAAATTAAAGTCAGATGAAGGATCTGACAAAACTGAGTGATGCAGTATAGAAATTTTTTTTCCTCTTAGTGACAAAAGCATGACATTTGACAAGCATGATTAGATACTGGGAAGCAACGGTACATTCCATATTTCAGAGTTATTAACACGATAGAGAAGAAGGAGAAAAGGCTGAAGGACCTAAACATTGCTATCTAGACAAATGCAATCTTTTTCACATGTATTTTTTAGGCTGAATCGAATAAAAACCAATCCTAAGTCAAAAATATTAATGGTTAAAATTTATTTAAATTTTTTTGCATTAAAAATACAATTTAGCTCCTAGATTAAGTATTGGGATAAACTAATCTTCGTGGAGGACTTTCTGATGAAACTAACACGAGTTTGCTTAACTTGGAGAGGAAAACCACGAAAACCTCCAAGTGTTATCCTAATGCCAAAGGAACTTTAACCCATTATCCGTCTGCCACTGAAGATATTTTACGTCAACACTGTGACTTGTGCTAGCCGGGTGCAGAATTCGTATCTACCAACCATTATTGGAACTCGAACCTGTTTACCTCATTGGGAGGCGAGCGCTCCATCCTCTGAGCCACTACGACTCTTGTAATTTCTCTTACTTCATATTATTAAGTTTCAAAATCTAACTTTGAAAAATAAAGCTTAATTAACTGAAAAAAATATTGTACCGCGCATTCGCTAAATATATTTCGCCTTGCATTTTTGTTGCGTAATTTTACTCACTACATTGCGCCTGTAACATAAAATTATCATATTTCCAGAAATAAAGAAAAGGAATTTCTTTCACCTGTTTTTAAAAAGCTCTAGAACCGAAGTAAATATCAATATAACACACCACTGTATTGGATACAGAGAGTTCTGACATCATAAAAAGGAATTATTTTATTTTACCGTTTTGGAAAGGTAGCACAATCAAAATAAAAGTTGAAGTTAGGGCTTTTTATTTATCATAGCAGTACACAGTACATGTAAGCTTTTCGTAGTGATTAGTTGCAATTGTTAAGACTCAATACAATATCTAAGTTCTTTTTCAAATAACACCTAAATACAGTTGAAGTTCTCTTTGCAGCAATTCTAACAAAAGAACGAGCTTAAATTAAGATTCAAGGACTCCTTTTTATGACTTTGACTAATTTAATGCCTTTAATCAAATGGATTTTCCTTGCAGTTTCAGCGTTATTCATCGTAGATTAAAGACATAAAAGTGCTTGAAAGTTCCTGCAATTTTTATTTAAATGAAAACAATATTTAAAAAAATTTTGCGGTTACGAAATTAATTGAAACGCAGCATTTAAACATCATTATTTTGATGACTGTAAAAAAAAGGTCGTCTTTTTTCGTTTTATAGAAATATATGGAACTTATCTAATTGTTTACAGTAAAATGTAGAGGAGAGTGAGCGAAGGGGGATTCCAATTGACAACATCATCCTAAACTTTTTTAACTATTTTGTTTGTTTTGTTATGAAAATAGAATTTTTAAAGAGGTTAAATTGCTTCAAGTAAAATCACCAATTTATGCAGAAGGAATTATGATTTTCAAACAAATATAACTTCGAAGTTATTGGTCATTATAAAGTCAATATTCTTCTTATTTAAGAAAAAAGTACATTTTGTTTGAAATAACATTATTTTGTTATCGAACAATTTTTCCTAAAATTTATATAAGTTATGGATTTAATATATAGATCAAAATTGTTATAAATATATAATTTTCTTACGCTTTTTTTCTTTTTCTAGAGTTTTACACTCTTGTTTTCAGCAGGGGCATCTAATACAGAGATAATCTCGGGACGCTAATTTGCAATCCAGCCGCCTTTAACGACACAAAACCTTTTTTGGAGATTTTCCTCTTGGCTAGAGTTGGTCCCAATTATAATGTAATCTTTTATTTCTATTAAACATTGTTATCTGGACTAAAAATAAAGTCAAGGAGCTAGTTTTTTTTTAATTTAAGAATATGCCAAACAGGTGATCGGGCTGTTAAAGGCAGCTGGATTTTATAACCGTCGTTGAACAGTGAATCCAATTTTGGGTTTACGGCTACTAATGTTCAAGCCTTGTAATTTTGAACCCTATCCAGAAGACAAGGGAACTCCTGGCAGAAGTATTAGGAGAAATTTGCCTTCGTGGAGGTCTTTTTGATGGAACTAACCAACATTTGCATTACATGGAGAGGAAAACCGCGAAAACCTTCCATGATTAGCCTAATGGCAAGGGGACTCTAACCCATGATCCGTCTACCATTGAGGATATTTTACGTGATATAGTACTATGGTCAGTGCGAGCCGTATGCGGAATTGGTATTGATCAGAGATTCGAGCCCGTTTCACCACATTGGAAGGCAAACGCTCTATCCCTTGAGCCACCACGGCTCAATAAAGGCAATAATGGTCAGTTGTTTGTTTCTCAAACGTCAAGAAAATTATCCATTTTTGAAGGGCAGCATCACTAGGGGTGAGAAATGGGTTGTCTACAGTATTTGTTTGGGTCTCTACGAAATGCTTTAGGCCGTAATAACTTTACTTCAAATGAGAAGATCAGAGCCATGATAGCTCAGGTTATAGACCGTTCACCTATCAATGAGGCGAACTGGGTTCGAATCACAGAGATGCTTGGTTAATACGAATTCCGCATCTAGCTCGCACTGAACACAGTGCTGACGTAAAGTATCATCAGTGGTAGACGGATCTTGGGTTAGAGTCCCCTTGCCGTCAGGCTAACCGAAGGAGGTTTTCCTGGTTTTCCTCTCCATATAGCGCAAATTCGGGTTAGTTCCATCAAAAAGTTCTCCGCGAAGGAAAGTTTCTCCCAATACTTGATCCAGGAGTTCCCTTCTCTTCTGGATTGGGTTCAAAATTAGAAGGCTGCGGAGTTGAACATTAGAAGTCGTAAACACAAAAATTTGGTCGGCTGTTCAACGACGGTTATAAAAAAATGAGAAGGTCAGAGCCAGGATAGCTCAGGTTATAGAGCGTTCACCTATTGATGAGGTTCGAGTCCCCTTGCTGTCAGGCTAACAGTGGGAGGTTTTCGTGGTTTCCCTCTTCATGTAAAGCAATTGTGGGTTAGTTCCATAAAAAGGTCCTCCACGAAGAAAAATATCCCCCAATACTTGATCTAGGAGTTCTCTTATCTTGTGTTCTCGAGTGGGTTCAAAATTTCAAGGCTACGGAGGGCAACATTAGTAGTTGCAAATCCAAAAATTGGGCTGGCTGTTCAACGACGATTATAAAATAAGAAGGTCGAAAATCACCTGGATTTGTTTTTTTTAATGTAAAGTACAAAAATTTTATGAGCTAGGAATCATGTTATTACCTGAACGATGGCAACAGGTATTGGACCAGAATGGACAATGCATAATTGAATAAAATATTTTTTCACTATACGAAAGTTTTTTATTTTAATACGGAAAATACGAAATTACTTTCCGAACAACTCAATAGTAGTTTATCAACAAATACGTTTTATTCTCAATTAATTGAAAGCTTACTTTCCAGCTATTCCCAAACATAGCTTCGGATGTCGCAGTTTGGTTGGTTGGTGTTCTCATATCATCTTCCGGATAGTAATTGAAATTTCCACAAAGGCCACAAGTTTTGCCCCTATATATACCAGATACAGTAACTTCCACGAAGCCATCACCATTCCACAATACCTATTGGAATTATTTTTAAAGAATGTAATAATCACAGTAAAAGAACTTTATTAAATTAATAATCCTTAGAAACTGAAGCGGAAAAATATACTTCTCTACAGAAAACTTCATTAGCTTACACTGTTAGAATTTTCTCTCTAAAATTATGGTAAAATAACCAGCAGCAATGTGTAATCCAATTAACCGTCACGTTTAAAGTAAAGAAAATTTTTTTATCTTTACGGTTTTAAAACCATTTACGACTTGTATGGTTAAAAAACCATGATTACAAAANGATCCGTCTACCATTGAGGATATTTTACGTCAGCACTATGGTCGGTGCGAGCCGTATGCGGAATTGGTATCGATCAGAGATTCGAACCAGTTTCACCACATTGGAAGGCAAACGCTCTATCCCTTGAGCCATCACGGCTCAATAAAGGTAATAATTGATGTAAACTGGAGAATAACAACTTGTGAGATCGTCGAGTGATTAAATTTATCGAATTCGATAGTTTTTTATAATTTGAATGCCTGGGTTTATTCTCAAAGTTCAAGGTTACTCATATTCTAACTAAAAGAAATTTGTGTCGTCGCATTAGAGGTCTGTTGTTTGTTTCTCAAATGTCAAGAAAATTATTCATTTTTGAAAGGCAACATCACTGGGGACGAGAAATGGGTTGTCTATAGTATTTGTTCGGGTCTCTACGGTTTTCTCTATGGTTAAAGTTTTAGACGGTAATAACTTTACTTCAAATGAGAAGATCAGAGCCATGATAGCTCAGGTAATAGAGCGCTCACCTATCAATGAGGTGATCTGAGTTCGAATCCCATCAATGGCTGGTCGATCTGAATTCCGCATCTGGCTCACACTGGCCACTGTGCTGACGTAAACGATCCTCAGTGGTAGACGGATCATGGATTAGAGTCCCATTGCCGTTAGGCTAACCGCGGGTGGTCTACGTGGTTTTCCTCTCCATATAACACAAATTCGGGTTAGTTCCCTCAAAAAGTCCTCCACGAAGAAAAATTTCTCACAATACTTGATCCAGGAGTTCCCTTGTCTTCCGGATTGGGTTCAAAGTTGCAAAGTTACAGAGTTGCACATTAGTAGTCGTAAATCTAAAAATTGCGTCGGCTGTTCAACAACGGTTATACAATTAGAAGGTCAAAAATCACCTGGATCAGTTTTTTGCCAGTAAAGTACAAAAGTTTCATGAGCTAGGAATCATGTTACTTCCTGAAAGATGGCGAAAGGTATTGGACCAGAATAAACAATGTATAATTGAATAAAATATTTTTTCACTATACGAATGTTTTTTCTTAATATGGAAAAAACGAAATTACTTTCTGAACAACTCAATAGTAGTTTATCAACAAATACGTTTTATTCTCAATTAATTGAAAGCTTACTTTCCAGCTGTTCCCAAACATAGCTTCGGATGTCGCAGTTTGGTTGGTTGGTGTTCTCATATCATCTTCCGGATAGTAATTGAAATTTCCACAAAGGCCACAAGTTTTGCCCCTATATATACCAGATACAGTAACTTCCACGAAGCCATCACCATTCCACAATACCTATTGGAATTATTTTTAAAGAATGTAATAATCACAGTAAAAGAACTTTATTAAATTAATAATCCTTAGAAACTGAAGCGGAAAAATATACTTCTCTACAGAAAACTTCATTAGCTTACACTGTTAGAATTTTCTCTCTAAAATTATGGTAAAATAACCAGCAGCAATGTGTAATCCAATTAACCGTCACGTTTAAAGTAAAGAAAATTTTTTTATCTTTACGGTTTTAAAACCATTTACGACTTGTATGGTTAAAAAACCATGATTACAAAATTACATGGTTTTTAAACCACTTACAACTAGTAGGGTTTCAAAATTGTTAAAAAGACCTCATTAGGTGGGTATTAGTTGGTGCTATAAAATTCTGGTTATTTAACTGTATTAGGTAAAAGTAGTAAATAACCGGTTTTTCTCACAATTTACAGTTTGAATACCATCTTATTTATGCTTATTTGACTGGTTTGTTTGATATGGTAAAATAACAATTAAATAAATTGCTATTTAACCATTTTTTCCAAGGAGTTTTCTAACAGTGTTAAAAATAATGGTGGAAAAAGTCAACATGTTAGTTGCTCTTGCTCAAGACCCATCACATCTGAAATGTGTTATGGATCTTGAGAATGAGTGCCTTGTTTTGTTCACTTTTCCAATTAAATTTTGAAACTAATGAAGTTTTTCATTTACATTGAAAGAACGATGGATTTTAATGTTAAGGTGGAACAAAAAGTAAAAATAAGACAAATTCTTCATTTCCGCCTTACAGAAATGTGACTTGTTAGATTTCTAAAGCGTTTTTGTTCTTTAATCTCCTAAACATTAATTTTCGGATTACTTTTGTCTACCCTTTAGATAAAATAAGTTAAAATACATAAGGGGCAGTCCATGTATAAAAAATCAAGGGCAGTTACAGTTTCGTTTCTAATGCTATTCTTACAAGATAATATTAGAGTTTAATTACGTTATGTTTTCTTAATACAAAAATATTCCAAATAATTTCCATTATTCTTAATTTAGAGTGAATAACCAATTTTTTCCAACCGGCAATCGAAAGGTGGTTGCACAAGACTTAGGTAGTTGAATTATCTTCATAATAACTGGATGAAAAGAGAAAACAAAATTAGGTCACGTGGCACCATATTCTGAAGAAATCCATGCCCCATCTAGGGCTGTAGTGCCATTGAGGAGGGAAAGAAGAATGTATTTTGCAACATGTGTATTTTAGGTAGAATCTCCAACTATTACTTTTTAAAAACTGTATAATGATTGATAGATTTTAAACTGAAAAGAAATGGGAGAAAAATATAATTTAATCACAAATTTATTTTTAAGTTTTTGATTTTGAGACAATGCTAATAAAGTACTCACCTGAACGCCAACGTCAGTAGTTACTAAAACGGATGTACCAGTTTTTTCAACATATAGAACTGGTTTTTCAAAATATGGCAGTTGTTCAATTAATTTACCACGAAGCTAAAAGGAAATTTTTTTTTCAATTACCAAATATCATGAGGGAAAACAAAATTATCTTGAAATGAAAACATTTTTTTTACATGGAGAAAAATCAATAAATTTCTTTTCTATCAGGCGAGTTCCTCGGATTTGAACCAATTTTAAGAAAGTCGTGTATTTAAAATTTGATTTCTCAGGAGCTACTGATTTCAGTCATTTTGTATTTTGCCATGTAAAATTAAATTCTTTAAAATTATGTAAAATATTGTATACCTCACAATTCAAATTTTTTGGACTATTATTAAATTAAGCAATAAAAAATAATAAATACTTACTAGAACTTATTTTTTGCAGGGAATTATCTTCTGATAAACGGATTTCATAATTTTTTGCAAAATTTCTTCAATTTGAGTTACCTTGCAAAGTTATCGAGATATGGGCGAAATACGTAAATAGTGAAATGGAGTTTAAACTTCGAACCACTTCTTTGACCTAACTTTTTGGACCATATTTCCCAAATTATGGCTACCCCCTATATTTTGAGGGTCAGAAATCCGAATCCGTTGAAAAAAATATATGTTATTCAGAGAAAGTACGTTTTTGCGTCTGATTTCAAAACTTAAATTATCGTATGCACCAATTTATTAGCATATTTGAGGTCACCCCTTCGAATCATAAAGATTGAGTTCTAGAATGCGAAAATCTAATCATTTTAGATCAAAGGTTATTCATGGTGGCTTGTTTTTTATTTTGCTCACTGTACATGTCATTAAGTATATCTTTATATTCAAATATATCTTTATTTTCTGTTGTATTTTCTATTTATCGCACATTTATTAAAAAAAGTTGCGACTTGCACTTTAATATTAATTTCTACAATTTAATTTTTTCCTTAAAAGTCACTAAATTTTATTTTAAAATTTCTAAGGAAAGACTACTAAGGGAAATTGCAGAGTATACAAAAAAATGTGGGCAAACATTGTTTTATTTTGTTGAAGTAGATAAACGAATTCGGAACTGTCGAAAATAAAGACATGCTTGTCTAGAGAAAGTACGTTTTTGTTTCTGATTTCCTAACTTAAAATACAGTTTGCACTAATTAATTAGCATAATTGAGGTCACTCTATTTGACCTTAACAACGAAGTGAAGAACGTGAAGATCCGATCATTAGATTAAAAGTTATTCAGAGTGGTCCGCTTTTTTCCCTTTTTTTTCGCACTGTGCTTTGTTTACATATCTACAAACTTTAAATACTTGAATCCTAATAATTAGGAGAAATGAAAAAAAAATTCTTGCTGAAATTGCATTTAGTGAACGAGAGAATTTTGAAGCCATTTTTTTCTCATTATTATAATAGCAGTCATGAAGTTTTATAAGTCCTTCATGTTCCCATAACAAATCAATACCTCTGGGGTACTGAATTGGAGATTGATCGTTCTCTGGTTCAGGTCAAAATTAGGATCTGTGGATGAATGAATGAGTCCGCCCTATAAACGGGCGTGACGTATGGGAGTGGCAGAATTCAAATTCTTGGACATAGATGGCTTCACAGGAAAACAAGAACGATCACACCCGATCTGCCTTAACTGCAACAAAATTAAATTGTATCATTTGTTGATTTAAAAGCCAATCAGGTTCGACACACACGCTCGACGTCGCTTACAGGTATCCAAATAAATCCGATTTAAATCACATGGTTAGGCATAATCACTTCACTCCTTCTCGAGTTGCAAACACCTAATTATCAATCTCTTCAATTATAAACTTGATCAATACAATAACAGCCAAAAAGTGATAAAAAATGTAAACGCTATTCTTATATGCATGGACATAAGATATTTCTACATAATAGAAAATACATTTCCCAGTACTGCTAAGCAGATAGTACTGAAACACAATTACTCACATAGACAGATGGTCCAGCTCGCAGATCAACTGATGCGTTTTGCAAAACAAGGACCACTCGATGAGTCCAAGAGACCCCATTAAATCCTCGATCATTATTTTCAACTACAATGGAAAATTTCTGAGTATAGCAATCTGCGGTCAGAACATATCTGCATGTTCCTTGAAAACTTATACTCGCCCCATCAAATGTTCTGTAATGTGGATCTCCGAAAGCAAGGCATGTAGCTGGTCCTATTAAAAAAGGATAAAAAATAAAATACAAATAAAAAATTATGCTACAGATCCAACTCAAACGTATGGCAGGATAATAAGTTGTTTATCCAATAAAACATATCAGTCTATAATAATATTACAGGGACATTTGTGAAAGAAATAATAACAACCGGGAACAATTATTTTTGTCACAAGAGATTTTTTAACTGATTTTAGATACTCTCGTATCGTCGATTTTAAGTCTGCAATCGGTTTCTCGGGCCGGGATAGCCTGGTTGGCAGGGCGCTGGACTCGCGCTCGTGAGAACGGTAGATCGAATCCAGCCGGCCGAAGACTTCCCGTGTAGTAAATGGTGACTGGTGCGCGTTAAAGCTGTGGGGTCACAGAGTACTGCATGTTCCCTTAATAAATTATACCTCTTGGGGTACTGGATTGGAGATTCATCATTCTCAGGTTCAAGACAAAATTACGATCCGTGAATGAATATGGATGCATGAATGGGTCCACCCTATAAACTGTATATGGGTGTTGCATAGGTAAAATTGTTGGCCATAGATGGCGTCACTGGGAAACAAGAACTATTGCACCCCCTCTACCTTAACCGACAACAATAACAATCGGTTTCTCTCTCCAAGCTACTACAGTTATCTTATTTTAAAGTACAGTTATCTTATTTTAAAATGGACGACAGGAACATATAAAAGTAACAGGAGGCCACATAAACGTTGAAAACAAAATTCTAGGGGAGTTAACCCATGCCCGGAAATGTCGTCATGCGCCTCAAAAGGCGCTTCCCCGTTATGATCTGTTTCCTTACGTTACTTTTCAAATGTACTTTAAAAATAAATTTAATTTTTTTATTATTTGTTTGCTCAAAAATTACTTTTCGCATCTCTTATATATACATTTGTGAAAATTTTATACATTTGTATAACTATGAAATAATTAATTCGTATTAAAATGCAATATCATAGAGCAATATCATATCATAGAGAGATTTGTAATTGAAATTAATTATAAAAAGTATCATTTTCTTCAAATGAAAAGTAGCGTTTGTAGAGCAAAAAAGGATATTTCAATTCTATTTTTGACACTTTTCGTTATACAAAAATATAACTAAGTATGAACTTACGTGGTATACATTTAGGACAACATTGTCCAGGATCGACTGATGGAATTTCATCGGATGTACAATGCAATGGTATGCATCTTTCATTGTGGCAATTCATTTTACCATGAATACACTGGCAAGTTGTACAAGGATCAGGATTCCAGCTTTGTCCGTTCTATATAAAAAAAATTGACATAATGAGTTCAATAAATTCTTTCTTACTTTCAGCTCATATACCTGTACAACAGAGTGTCTTAGGAGTCAAATGCTTTATATTGAATAATTGTCTACTCACAAGGATTAAAAAATATTCACCTAGAATCTCTATTTTCAATTTTAATCGTTCTCCTTGCTGAGTTGCAATCCATTTTGAATATTTGGTTACTTTGTCGGTCAATTCAGAGGGTTTAATAGCACAGTAACCAGACGCAGATATGCAGCGCTAACCACTAACGAAAGTACTGTTTACTCAATAGCTTTTTGCTGGAATATTGGGCTTAATGACAAATACATTTAGACTAGCGCAGAATATGAGATTTAGACTTTGATCCTGATGGTAATTCAGTCTGGAATTGGTATGAAATTCATGGCCTTCCTTAACTACAGATTACAACAATAACATAGGAATAAACAATTTTCGAGATTAAGTTTTTGTTTTTAAGTCACAGATCTATAGATGACTGCTCTGGCTTTGAGTGACCAGCCCTTGACTCGCTTTCATTTGACCACAAAGAAATTGTAGTTCCACATCTTATATTCTAAGCGGCATGCACGCGAGAATATTCGGGGATCTCACCTCCCCGAATCACATAAACATTAGAAAGATGGAAGAAACAGCAATTTGTTTGTAGCCAAGAACTCGTGCCTGAGCGCTTGCGGAGACGAAAGAATTGGTCGCTCTCGGCTTTCTTACTCTTCGTGTAAATCACATGCAAGTTAGTTTTACTCATAAAGTTCTTCACGGTGAAGAGTTTGTTTCAATACTTTTCCCAAAAGATCATTTAACTTGAGAAATGGAAATAAATTTTGAATTATGAAGTTGAATGTTTAGAGTGGTACATTCCCAATGTGATTTAGCCAATCATCATTCACTATCGCAACGCTCGAATTTGGAGAGAAGACTGGTTCCTTGCTTCGCCCCTGCCATCTTTATCTCCTTCTCTTTTCAATTGCATGGGACTGAACTACGATATCTCTCATATTTTTCGGTATACGATCATTATTTTTCGTCTTTTAATGTCAAAAATATTTTCTAAAATAAGTTCCAAGAGAAGTGCGTAGATGATGCACAAATGGGACGACATTCACCAGAATGGGACAAAATCCTCCAAAAAATTCTTAAATATCTATTTGAATTCCTTAAAGAGTCATATTTACTTCATAAAATGATCCACTTGTGTAGATGATGCACAAATTGGACAACATTCACTCGAATGGGACGAAATCCTACAAAAATTCTTAAATATCTATATGAACTCTTTAAAGAGTCATATTTACTTCATAAAATGATCCACCATAGTCACAAGAGAAGTGTGTAGATGATGTACAAATGGGACAACATTCACCAGAATGGAACAGCATCCACCATGAAATTTCAAAATGTCAATATGAACTCTTTAAAGAGTCATACTTACTTCATGAAATGACCCACCGTAGTCAAAAGAGAAGTGTGTTGATGATGCATAAATGGGACAACATTCACCAGAATGGGACAGCATTAACCATAAAATTTCAAAATGTCAATATGAACTTTTTAAAGAGTCATACTTACTTCATAAAATGATCCACCATAGTCACAAGAGAAGTGTGTAGATGATGCACAAATGGGACAACATTCACCAGAAGAGCGATGCTTAATTTCATTGGATTCACAGTTGATTTCTGGACAGATAGTTTTCTCGCATTTGATAAAACCATACTAAAAAGACAACGTATTTTTGTTATAATTTCATACTTTGNTGTGTAGATGATGCACAAATGGGACAACATTCACCAGAATGGGACAGCATTAACCATAAAATTTCGAAATGTTAATATGAACTCTTTAAAGAGTCATACTTACTTCATAAAATGATCCACCATAGTCACAAGAGAAGTGTGTAGATGATGCACAAATGGGACAACATTCACCAGAAGAGCGATGCTTAATTTCATTGGATTCACAGTTGATTTCTGGACAGATAGTTTTCTCGCATTTGATAAAACCATACTAAAAAGACAACGTATTTTTGTTATAATTTCATACTTTGAATCACAAATACATTTTACAATGGGAAAGGTTTAATTTATTTTCAAGATTTAAAGTATACATTTATATAGCTCTAATTTTAGCTAATACAAGACAAAAATTACGGAAACACTTCTATACAAACTCTATATAAACAATTTTTCTTTTAGCAGAGCAAAACTGTATAGATGAACAAGAATTTGCTGTTGTTGATAGATTATTGGACGACTTTAAGACGTCTTTGAAGATTATTAAACGACATTTGAAAGCTTCATTTTAGAGAATATCAAAACTGAAGTAAATTAACAAAATATCTTTTTCTCTATTAATCACTGTAAACAGCCCTTACCATGGTGAAGACTATCATTTTGGTTCACTTGTTGTACCATCAGTAGGCAATCTGATTAAAATAACATTTTTTAAAAACATAGACAATGGTTCAATACTTATAGTATTTAGTTCATTAATACTATACTATAAGTATTTATTTCAATACTTATAGTATAGTATTTTAGTATTCTCCAAGTGCCATTTGCTATATATTTTAGAGTTCCATAAGTATAGAACCTTAGTGGAATTGACTGTTTTTAAACAGGTTTTTTTTCCAAACTTTTGCTTACGACTGGTATGACAAGTGGACCAGGATTCCAGGCTTCACCATGTACTGTAAGCAGAGGTTAATGGAAAACGATATTATGTCATTAATTTACGATAGTTTTGATTTGTTCTAAAATTGATTCTGTGAAGTTTTCCAGTTGTGTAAGATTTTATATTTTATAATTTTTTAACCGTTGTTTAACAGCCGACCCAATTTTCGGGTTTACGACTACTAATGTTCAACTCCGTAGCCTTGCAACTTTGAACTCAATCCAGAAGACAAGGGAACTCCTGGATCAAGTATTGGGAGAAAATTGCCTTCGTTAAGGACTTTCTGATGGAACTAGCCCGCATTTGCGCTACATGGAGAGAAAAACCACGAAAACCTACTCCAGGTCTCCTGACGGAGAGGTGATTCTAATTCGTGATCCGTCTACCACTGAGGATCTTTCACGTCAGCACTGTGGTTGGTGCAAGCCGGAGGCGGAATTCATAACGAACAGCCATTGCTGGGATTTGAACCCGGTTCACCTAAAAGGAAGGCGAATGCTCTATCCCCTGAGCCACCACAGTTCCGAGTCGTGCAATAATAATCAATTGTCCAATAAATAATCGCTGATATCGTCCAATAATCAGTGAACAAGAATCAATTCCTTTTCTTCTAGTTAGCTTCTTTAAAGAATCGCCAAATACAAATGATGTTATCAGTAAATGGCACTTAATTCTATTTATAGAACGAATAGTAAATTAAGTAAGTAAACTATGGTTGATTTCATAAAATATTGAAATAATAAAAATACAGGTTTGTAAGATTATATCAAGAAATGTACTTACGTCACAAAAGCATCTGTTACAAAGATCGCCATTTTGATGCCATGAATCTCCATGTAAATGGACTTCATGTCCTTCAGAAATACAAACTAAATGAAAAAAAGTAATAATTGATTAAGATCATGCTTACTAATGATTATTTAAATCACTGAACTCAAGACTGTTATTAATTATTAAAATAGTTGAGCAATGTAGTTTAGATAGTAAAGAGTTTTAACCAACCTTTACATTTAGGACAGCAATCTTTCTCAGTTTTTAGTATCTCAGCAGGAGGGCAATTTAAAACTGGACAAAATTCTTTCGAACAAATCCACATAAAGTTTTCCTGAAAAATATATTTGATATCACAAACCATAAAGTTGCTACTAGAAAAATTATTTAAAACAACATATAAATTAATTATTAAGTTCCATTTGTAGTTATAATACAATGCATAAAAAAGTTAGTTCTTATTTCAATTCAGTTACTGAATTCACAGTGTACAAGTACGGTATTTGTTATTCGTATAAATAAATATGTCGTTTAAAAATTTGGTTCGTAATATTAAATTGGAAATTATCTTACAAAATATTAATGCTTTTTGTCTTATAAATTGTGCATATCTTTTCTTTTTAAAGGTTTATTGAGCTTCTAAAGTTTTGGTGGTCAGAAAAAAGAGCACCGGACGAAAAGCCTGAAAAAACATCCGAATTAAAGCACCGGAAAAAAGTACATCGTTGGTAATTTTATGACCTAAAACGATTTAATGCCATGGGGTCACCGGTGACCGGCACTGAGTTTGTTCGTAGCTCCACGGGGTCACCGGTGACCGGCGAACCCAAAATGATTAGAAACACATAATTCGAGTAAATTTTTAATTTTTTTAATATTATTATTGTTACTAAAATGATTTGAGGAAATTAATGCAATATAGAACGCACAAAAATAGTTTCATTTATTTACACAGAGATGCCAACTTGCTCCGGACAGCGAATAAATATTTTCAAGTGGTAGTTTATTAATTGTGATTCTTGGTTTAATAAATTCAATTTAGCTATATTTTTATCCCAAACTATTTCTAAACAATTCGAAGGCTTATATAATTCACCACTTTTTTCAGATCTAATATTTGCAAATTTAGTATGTTGTTACTTACCGTTTGGCCAGACGGGCAAGCCATATAAAATTAGAGTGACATTCATTGGTTAATTCTGTTTTGAGTTTGTTTTAGGAACTGCTTGTATTCCAGACGCATTACTCGTCTTAAACATGACCGAATTTAATTGAGAGTCATAACTGCACACTTTTAAACTGATCACGCAGACTAAAAATTTTGCAACATTTATTTAAATACCTATGAAAAAGAACTTTTGAGTCCACCATAAATGAACGAAGAATTTCTTTGGTGTTTTTTTTATAAGCATCTAAAATAATTTTACTTAGAGTTAGCAATCCCTTTCTTCACTTATGAGCCTGGAGGACCCACGTAAACACCTCAAACTTATAGAAGACACCAAAGCCATGTGGAGTAGCAACTATAATATAAAAGCAGTGACAAAAATTATGCACCCCAAGTAACCGCAATTCATGAATATGGCGAACGCTTACCTCTCGTCCTGTAATGAGATACTCGTACTCAGAAGAGCCTCCTTAACCCCTTGGGGACGGGTGATTCAGAAAAGCATTCGTACAAAATCAGAATCAAGTTGCAATCTTGCTACAGCTTTCTTTGAAAGGNGTTCAAAAATTTAATTTTCATTCAAGTACAATTATTTATACAGTATTAAGTACAATTATTCTTTTCACTAATTGTAAGAGTGTCAATGAAAGTAATTATTTCAAACACTATAACAATAGATATTCATAAAATAACGAACATGGTTCTAACTAAAAATGTGATGAAACCGCGGTATACGAAGATTTTTCGAAATGAATTTATGGACAAAATTCAAAAACCTTTCTTTTACATACAAACGGGACAACGCGTACGCAGTCCCAACTACCAAAAATTATGCACCCTAACCAACCACAATTTGCGGTGCAATAAGAGACCTGTACCCGGAGGAGCCTTCTTAATGATCAAGGCATCCCCGGTGCCTAATAAGTATGCGAAAAACTGAATTCGCAGAACATTAGACATCAGCAATTAATTTTTTAAATTGGTAGATCCTGACAACTATTATTTTTCAATTTTTGTTGGAAATATCGTTGAAAGCAATCATTCATATCACAAGAATGTTAAATATTCATAAGCCAACAGCCCTTTTACTAAAAACTCTGTGAATCCTGCCATACACAGACATGCCAACTGCTCCGGACACGACAAAATAATTGAAAAAACGGTAAATAACTACAAAGTAAATTTTGCAAATATTTGACTATTTTTGCTTGCTTTTTAAAAGGTATACCATGACTTAAGCACTATATAGTGGTGAATTATATAAGCCTACGAATTATTTAGAAATAGTGGTGGAAAAAAATCTACTAAATTGAATTTATTAAACCAAGAATCACAATTGATAAACTACCACTTTAAAATATATATTTGCTGTCCGGAGCAAGTTGGCATCTCTGCATACATCCAATAAAATCAGTATTACATTATATTCAAAGTCTTGAAAAATCTTTTTTGCACATTAGAGAACTAGTATTACGAAAATAAATTTTCTTTTGTACATAATTAGACTTGTAAATTATTAGCTAATTAATTACGTATAATTCCTCTACAAGCAAATTTCCTTGCAGCATATCCCATTTGAAAATGAAAACTGTAATTGAATTCGTTAAATAACATTCAAAAGATTTTTTTTCAAATAATGAAGTTGTTTTCAAAATGTAACGAACCTTTTGGAAACTTATTTTCCAAGTTTTAAATTTTATTTTTTGATTTATACGTTAATTTTTTAGAAAATTGGAATTAAAACTTTAAATTTCTAGTTAATCAATTAACCCTCTCACAATACAATAACCGATCTTATAAACGGTTATGGCATGTTTATAGTATCACCTGTTCCAGGAGCGATTCGAATTATTCATTCCAGCTAATCAATTTAAACGTGTCATCAAAAAGAAATGGGTGGAATTTAGGAGAATAAAGTACATTGCTCAGCGAAGTACAGAGGACAAGATGACGTATACGAAAAACTAAAGAGGCAGAATATCAGAGTTCAAAAATTTAATTTTCATTCAAGTACAATTATTTATACAGTATTAAGTACAATTATTCTTTTCACTAATTGTAAGAGTGTCAATGAAAGTAATTATTTCAAACACTATAACAATAGATATTCATAAAATAACGAACATGGTTCTAACTAAAAATGTGATCAAACGGCGGTATACGAAGATTTTTCGAAATGAATTTAAGGACAAAATTCAAAAACCTTTCTTCTCCGTGCTTGATAAATTAGGAAACCCTTCTTTTACAAACAAACGGGACAGCGCGTACGCAGTCCCAACTACCAAAAATTATGCACCCTAGTCAACCACAATTAGTGGAAGTAGCGAGCATCGATCTCTTGCGGTGCAATAAGAGACCTGTACTCGGAGGAGCCTTCTTAATGATCAAGGCATCCCCGGTGCCAAGTAAGTATGCGAAAAACCGAATTCGCAGAACATTAGACATCAACAATTTATTTTTAAAATTGGTAGATCATGACAACTATTATTTTTCAATTTTTGTTGAAAATATCGTTGAAAGCAATCATTCATATCACAAGAATGTTAAATATTCATAAGCCAACAGCCTTTTTACTAAAAATTCTGTGAATAATGCCATACATCCAATAAAATCAATATTACATTATATTCAAAGCCTTGAAAAATCTTTTTTGCACTATTATTTTAAGAGTTTTGTGGGAAATATCAAATTGGTAGATCATAACAACTATTACTTTAAAATTTTTGTTGGGAATATCAATGAAAGCAATCATTCATATAACAAGAATGCAGAAAAAAAGAAAGAAAAAAAAGATAGGTCAGCTGCCTCTTTACTAACAATTCTGTGGATCCTGCAATACATCCAATAAAATCAATATTACACTATATTCAAATCTTGAAAAATCTTTTTTGCACATTAGAAAACTATTATTACAAAAATAAAATTGTTTTTTTTTTGTTTTTTACATAATTTGACTTATAAATTATTAACAAATTAATTACGTATAATCCCTATACGAACAAGTTTCTCTGCAGCATATCCCTTTTAAAAACGAAATCTTTAATTGAATACGTTAAATAACTTACAAAAGGTTTTTTCACAAAACGAAAATGTTTTCAAACTGTAACAAATCTTTTGGAAAGTTATTTAGATAATTTAAATTTTTATTCTTTTCATATGCGTCAACTTTCTAGAAAATTGCATTTAAAACCTAATTTCTTATCAATCAATTAACTCTCTCTAAACAATAAATATGCCAACACTTTAGAGTAAAATTCAATACAACATACTATAACTCATCTTTTAAACGGTTATGGCATGTTTACAGTTAAACCTGTTCTAAGAACGATTCAATTTACTCATTCCAACGACTGAATTTATACGTGGCATCAAAAAGAAATCAGGAGAATTTCAGAAAATAAAACACATTGCTCAGTAAAGTGCAGAGGAAAACATGATGTATACTGAAAACTAAAGTGGTAGATTATTTGAGCTCAAAAATGTAATTTGCAAATTTTTATTTCAGTTCAATTATTCTGTTTATCAATCGTAAGAGGTGTCAATTACTTTAAACACCACACAACAAAAGATATTGATAAAAAAAATATACATAGTTTTAACTAAAAATGAGGTCATGCCGCAGTACGCACAGGTCTTTTGAAATGCATGTTCGGACAAAATTCAAAACTTTTTTTAACAAAGAAATGGGACAACGCGTGCGCAGTCCCAACTACCAATAATTATGCACCCTAACCAACCACAATTAGTGGAAGTAGCGAGCATTGTTCTCTTGTGGTGCAATAAGAGACCTGTGCTTGGAGGAACCTTCTTGGTGCTCAAGGCACCCCACGGTGCCAAGTAGTTCACATTCGCAGAACATTAGACAGCAACAATTTATTTTTTAAATTGGTAGATCATGACAACTATTATTTTTCAATTTTTGTTGGAAATATCGTTTAAAGCAATCATTCATATCACAAGAATGTAAAATATTGAAAGTCATCAACCCTTTTACTAAAAAATATGTGAATCCAGCCAAACATTCAATAAAATCAATATTGCACTATATTAAAAGTCTTGAAAAATCTTTTTCACACATTAGAGAACTATTATTACAAAAATAAAATTGCTTTTGTACCTAATTTGATTTGTAAATTATTAACTAATTAATTACGTATAATCATTGTAAAAGCAAGTTTCTTTGCAGCATATCCCTTTTAAAAACGAAAACTATAATTGAATACGTTAAATAACATTCCAAAGGTTTTTTTCAAATAAGAAGTTGTTTTCAAACTGTAACGAACCTTATCTTCCTGGTTTTAAATTTTATTTTTTAAATTTTATATACGTTAATTTTTTAGAAAATTGCATTTAAACTTTTGAATTTATAGTTAATCAATTAACTCTCTCTAAAAACTACACATACCAACACTTTACAATACAACATACAATAACCGATCTTATAAACCATTATGGCATGTTTACAGTTTAACCTGTTCTAGGAACGATTCGAATTATTCATTCCTGCTAATCAATTTAAACGTGACATCAAAAAGAAATGGGTAGAATTTAGGAGAATAGAGTACATTGCTCAGCGAAGTACAGAGGACAAGATGACGTATACGAAAAACTAAAGAGGCAGAATATCAGAGTTCAAAAATTTAATTTTTATTTCAGCGCAATTATTCTTTTCACTAATTGTAAGAGTGTTAATGAAAGTAATTATTTTAAACACTATAACAATAGATATTCATAAAATAACGAACATGGTTCTAACTAAAAATGTGATGAAACCGCGGTATACGAAGATTTTTCGAAATGAATTTAAGGACAAAATTCAAAAACCTTTCTTTTACATACAAACGGGACAGCACGTACGCAGTCCCAACTACCANTACTTTATCTTGGAAAAGAAGCAGTTTTATATATATGCCAGAATTATAAAAGAAATCTTGATAGTTACAGATATTTCATTTTTTTCGAAAAAAATGCTGGAATGAAATGTTTTACGTACCAGGTTTTTCTCTTTTCCGTCTTGCTATATAAGGGCTTTCACCCATGCATAGTTTTAACTAAAAATGAGGTCATGCCGCAGTACGGACAGGTTTTTTGAAATGCATGTACGGACAAAATTCAAAACTTTTTTTAACATGGAAATGGGACAACGCGTGCGCAGTCCCAACTACCGATAATTATGCACCCTAACCAACCACAATTAGTGGAAGTAGCGAGCATTGATCTCTTGCGGTGCAATAAGAGACCTGTGCTTGGAGGAGCCTTCTTGGTGCTCAAGACATCCCACGGTGCCAAGTAGTTCACATTCGCAGAACATTAGACAGCAACAATTTATTTTTTCAATTGGTAGATCATGACTACTGTTATTTTTCAATTTTGTTGGAAATATCGTTTAAAGCAATCATTCATATCACAAGAATGTGAAATATTGAAAGTCATCAACCCTTTAACTAAAAAAATATGTGAATCCAGCCAAACATCCAATAAAATCAATATTGCACTATATTAAAAGTCTTGAAAAATCTTTTTCACACATTAAAGAACTATTATTACAAAAATAAATTTTCTTTTATACATAATTAGACTTGTAAATTATTAGCTAATTAATTACGTATAATCCCTCTACATGCAAATTTCTTTACAGCATATCCCATTTAAAAATGAAAACTGTGATTGAATTCGTTAAATAACATTCAAAAGATTTTTTTTTCAAATAATGAAGTTGTTTTCAAAATGTAACGAACCTTTTGGAAACTTATTTTCCTAGTTTCAAATTGTATTTTTTGATTTATATATATACGGTAATTTTTTAGAAAATTGGATTTAAAACTTTAAATTTCTTGTTAATCAATTAACCCTCTCTAAACACTACACATACTGACAATTCACAATACAACATATAATAACCGGTCTTATAAACGGTTATGCCACCTGAGCGATTCGAATTATTCATTCCAGCTAATCAATTTAAACGTGTCATCAAAAAGAAATGGGTGGAATTATGAGAATAGAGAACATTGATCAGAGAAGTACAGAGGACAAGATGACGTATACGAAAAACTAAAGAAGCAGAATATTAGAGCTCAGAAATTAAATTTTTTATTTCAGTACATGTATTCTTTTCTATTGTAAGAGGTGTCTATTATATAGTAAAATTCGTTAAAGAAGGATAATTACACCTACTTTTTAATAAAATAACCAGTAGATTGATGCTTTAACGTTGCATTTTATATCATACTTATAATTTTTTATAGTCAGTGGTGAAAAAAATTACTTAAAATGAAAAATACTAAACTAAAAGTAACTTAAATTTCGCTACCATTAGAAAATACTATTTTACAAAGCGGAGCAAGTTGGCATCTCTGCAATTGCTTCAAGCACCTTAACAAAAGATATTGATACAATAATGAATATAGTTTTAACGGAAAATGTTTTCACGCCTCGTTATACGAAGGTTTTTCGATACGTATTTGAGGACAAAACTCAAAACCTTTATCCTCCGCGCTGAGAGAAATTAAGAAGCCCTTTTTTTTAAATACAAATGGGACAGCGCGCACGCAGTCCCAACTACCAAAAATTATGCACCCTAAACAACCACAATTCGTGGAAGTAGCGAGTGTTGATCTCTTGCTGTGCAATAAGAGACCTGTGCTCGGAGGAGCCTCCCTGATGATCAAGGCATCCCCGGTGCCAGGTAAGTATGCGAATTTTCAATTTGGCAGAATATTAGAGCACAACAATTTATTTTTTAAATTGGTTTCTCATAACATTTATTATTTTCATTTTTTTCAATGTATCTATGAAATCAATGATTCATAACGCAAGAATATAAAATATTGCTAAATCCGCTGCCTCTATACTGAAAATTCTATGAATCCTGCAATAAATCCAATAAAATCAATAGTTCATTCATTATATTCAAATCTTCTAAAAAATTTTAGCACATTGCAATAATATTATTATAAATAGAATTTGCATTAGTGCATAATTTACTTGATAAATTATTAACTATTTAAACACTTTTAATCTCTCTACAAAAAGTTTCCTTGTAGCTAATTCTTCCCGATAACTAAATTTTTATTTAAATGCATTAAATAACACCCAAAATATTTTTCCTGATAACGAGATTGTTTTCTACCTGTAACGAAATTTTTAGAAATTTATCTACTTAATTTTCGAGTTCTTTAGATATTTAATCCTTCAATTTTCAATAAAGTTTCATTTAACACTTTTTTTTTTGTTCAACCAATTAACACTCCCTTGAGCCTGTTTAGGAACCACTCTAATTATTCATTGCAATGACATGACTCATTTTAAACATATGTTTATAATTCGTATTAATTTTATTTTTTAATTTAGAGCCACCAGGATCGTGGAGCTTATTTGATGTGGAGTATCCTTATGGGCATCCTCTGTGGAAAGTATTTTGATGAATTTTTTTTTTCGCTATTTAATATAATTTCCTAGATCATTTCTTTTCTTAATTTAAAGTCACCAGAATTGTGGAGCCTCCTATACGTGGAACATTCTTTATGATTAAAGCATCTTCTGTGAAGTATTTTAATAAGATTCTTTTTCTCTAGTTCTTTTCCCAATGCTCTCTTCTTTGATTTTAAGTTTTTTTATTATTAAAATTTGCATGATCCCGCTTGCATTGGTTAAAAATCTTTAATTTTTAGAAATGCCGATTACACTATAAAGAGCTTTAAACTCTTCAAATTCACCAAGTTTGCTTTTGTCCAGCAACTAACAGTGATTGTTTTTTAACGACTCTTTAAACAAAATCGACAAAAAATTTAAAATTTTAAAATTTGACATTCAATTTTGGAATATTTGAATAAGAAACAATTTGAATGTTTGATGAAATATTATATTAAGCTACACAAAGTTTTAACTTCTGTTGGAGAGAAAAACCAAACTTTAAAGGAATGGTCGAAAATCATTTTCTTCCAACAAATACTATCTCCAAAACTTATCTCTGCATTTCCTTTTAATGACCCCTTATTTCTCTAGAAATCGAAAACCTTAGATCACAATATTTTGATATTTTAACATTAGTTGCTCTTGAAAAGTAATTTATAATTCTTAGTAAAAATGCAGGATTTTCCTACACTGTAACATTTGTATGTAAAAGAAAATATGTGAAAAATACTTAAGAACCCTACTTACAGAGCATTGACAAGAAAAGCAAGGATCAGGATATGGATAGAAAAGTTGCCCAATTTGGTCCCGTGTGCATGAAGAACCAAAAGCTGCACAAGTAGGACAGCATTCACCATTGCTTGGAGGTTTGATAGACTCTTCTGGACAGTTTATTAGAATAGGACATTCATGTGTCAGACAGAATATATTTCCAGAATCACAAACGCAAGAATCACATGGCTTGGATGGAGGTATGAAACGTTCGCCAGATTTATACTTGACCCCATCTCTTTCACAGCCTGGAAAAGATATATAAAGATTGGTTTAGTTGTTAATGTTGCAAGAGGGGAGATACACTATTGGCAAAGGTCTTTGATTTGTCTTTAACCCGTTTTGTCCCGAACTTATATATTTAAATGATACAAAAAGTGGTTTTATGGAAAAAACGGTATAATATAATATCGAAATTAATTGTTTTTCTACTGTTAGGGCATTGAAAAAGTCTTTGATATATCAAAAAGTACTTCGTTCGTTCGTTGTTTTAGAACTGGGCATCTGAGGCCTAAATGGCCCTTATCCCATTCATCATGAAATATCCCAACGGGACATACATAGGAAAGTTGTATTGGTGGTTCGGAAAAGAACCTGAAATGCGATAAAATAATGAAAGGCATCATAAAACATGTAGCAGGCTTGATGGTGAGGCTCCTTATCTACGTCTTTAGGGCTGGGAGATGAGTAATGAGATGATCCTTAGGAACTTCACTGCACTGCTGGGGGCATATCAAAAAGTACTTGCTCCTTATTCTAGATCTACTCAGAAATAACTAAATCATTGTAGTATCTGAGAATATCTTAATTCACCCAGATAAATGAAAATGCTGAAAAAAGTTTCCCACCACAATGAACGTTTTTGAAAAAAGGAACTGTCCTAAATATATAACGCTGGGCGTTAACCGGTTCATGATGGTCCAAAGACAATACTGGGTAATGCGTGTTTTACAATAAACAATTTATACTAGGCCTGAAAGCAAGAAAGAAAAGAGAAAAAACTGATATTGGAAATATTTCAATAATTGATGATTTTTGGGTGGAGCAAATCTATTCTTAACCCTTTACAGTCGAGAGGTGACTGTCAGTCACCACTGTCACATCACCTCCTACATCAGAAAGCCTCCACCATACCTGCCAACTCTTCCGGATTTTCCGGAAGATTCTATTTTTATATTTAAAGTGGTAGTAATTAGATACTATTTTTTCTTTTATAAACTTAATTATTAAATGATTTTGATCACCACTATTCTTACAAAAAGTAAGCACATATATTAATATGCATTACTATCATGGTTGTCAACTTAAGTTTTCTCAAATACAACGTATTTGTTTGCTTAAAATTGAAGTTTTAATTCCATTTTAATACCACTGGGAAAAATGATAATGGAAGGGATTAAAAGTTGGCAGGTATGCTCCACACGGTTTCCTATAAGTAGTCTGCGCAGATTATTTAAAAAGCGAATCACTTGTGCGCATAAATCCAAATTCTATTTTAAAAGGACTTGAGAGAAATTTATCATATATATTTGAAAATGGAATCTGCAGTGGTTGACAAGTAAATAAAACAAACCAATTATATTCATAAATTAAAAAAATTTCTAGACATATATTTGCTACCACTTTCTAATTTTTAATAGATTTCATATTAAATGGTTCTTTCACTAATTGGTTTACCTTCATAGTGGTCTGATCGGACTACCTGCAAAAAACCGTGTGGAGGCTTTCAGTTACAGGAGGCGTTGACTGTCACCAATAAATTACCCACCACTCTAAATGTGAGATTTTTTTCACCTTAATGTTTAGTTACCACTTCATTTAGTGATCTCCGGGTATTCTAAGGTAAATTTGTAAAAAAAAATCTTTCAAAATGTTGGTGGTTGCGTCCATTTTTTTTAACAGCTGAGAGTGCAAAGGGGTAACAATAAACGATTCATTGGTATTAATTTTTTTTCTAGTGGAAAAAGCAATTCAATATATGTACTATATATGTTAATTGATCGGGTACGGCTCTATCTTTCCTTGGCTGCTCGCACCTGCATCTAACCCCGTAAGTAAGTTTCTCTCACACCTACCTTAGATTAACTCCCCTCTTATCAGTTCAAGATCATTAGCCCTGGTATATATGATAGGAGAGATAATGGTAGTAATAACCTAATCCAAAAAAGGATATTCTGACTCTTGTATAGGGATAAAAGTTTATTGAAAAATTAAATAAAAATATAGTAATAAGGAAGGTTATACAAATAATAGAGATGAGTAGCCTTAAATCTCTAAAGATTGATAGATAATAGATTATTTAAGAGATTTAAGCGCCGCTCATATGTGTCTGTGTGTGCTCCCGTGTCAGCCCAACATGCGTTGCGTTTCGGTTGAGCTAGACTCATATATAATTGCTAAAAGATATCATAAAAAGCATAAGTAGAGAAGCAGGATGTATTTAGAGAAGCTGGCAAACATCTTTAATTCGAGAAATTTTTTTTTTCAGTTGACATGATTGATATTTTAGAACAATATCTCTATTTATTTTGAAATTGAAAATTATATTTTATAATCGATATTTTTGTGTCATCTTATTTTTTCAATATTAATTTTCATCATTTTATAAATTATGCCTCACTTTTTGGTATTTTTTCTTATATGAAAAATACTTTTTCATCTTTTCAATATAAGTTAAGTAATTTCTAACAGAATTATTCTTATGATGTATTGGAATGGTGGAAAGGAAAGATTTAAATTTTATTTCAGCATGTAAGTGATGATAATTTACTCCGTAATAATTCCCAATGCTTTACTTGTAAGTACTTCCTATACAATGCGATTTGTCCATTCGACGTCTAGACGTCGTATTTTAAACATGGATGATTAGTAGATGTTTGTAACTTAATCTATTGATCCATAACGATTGACGTACAAATATCTGCACGACAGTCATAATAAATATAATGAGGACAAAATATATGACGGAAGCTCACGAAATGACTATCAGAAAAAAATAGATTGTCTCCTTAAGATTGAAAATTATAAATAAAATATTTATTGTCGATTTTAAAGTAGCACAGAAATAATTTGTGAGATAGCTATGTTTACACTTTGCCAACGATCGAGGAGACCTCGTTTGACAGTAGTTGCAGCTGTTAAAAAATTTACGGTGGTTAGTTTATACTCAGGTGCAATTCACTCTGTCGTCATAGTATTAAGATATTTATAAATTAAATATGGTACATTATAGACATTTATAACTTTTTTAACAATTTTCTTTGTAAGTTATGAGCATGTTTATAAATTTGTTTACCAGGGCATCTGGGACAGCAAAGACCAGGAACGGGTATTGGCTCAACACATTCTACAGGACACACAATATTTGTACAGGAAACTGTTCCACCTTTGCACATACAGGATAAGCATGGATTACTTGTAGAAATCCACATTGCATCGCTTTCATATTCATTACCTTCGTATACGCAACCTATAAAATTTTATACTTGAATCAACCAAAAATGACAAATATAAAAAATACATTTTATTCATAATATAACTAACGACCAATAAAAGTATAGTAAAATATTTTCAGTTTACCTCTGCATGTTTCACAGCACTGCCCTGGATTTCTGACTCTCAGTTTACAATTGAGTTCTGGGCAAATTTCTGATGAACAGTGAACATTACCGTCCTATGTGTGAAAAAATTAGAAACCAGTAGTTATCTTTCTGTTAGAATACCATAATAAAATATCTTTACAAAGGTAGTAATAAGTTTTTAGCCTAACTATGTTAAAAGGGTTAACTTTATTTTTTTTGTTGTTGAGAGAGAGAGAGGGTGACAGAGGGACAACGGAGTCAATTTTCAAAAATACAATCCTTTGAATCCTTCAAAAAAGTAAACAAATAAAAGATTTAGCTGATTAAGACTATTTTTAATGATAAGATGTCAAAAGTACACCGAGTTGACGAAAGTCATGGAATACCTCTTAATATCATACCGAACCTACTTTAACACTATGAAGTGCAGTAACTTGACGTGGCATAATCTCAACAAAGTTTCAAGTTTCTGGCAAAAATATTCAGCGGTATAGCTTCAATAGATGTCAGTAATTGCGTAAGTGTTGCTGGTGCAGGATTTTGTACACGAACTGATCTCTCAATTATGTCTCCTAATAGTTCGATGGGATTCTTGTCCTACGATTTATATCGTCAAATAATTCGCTAGAATAGTCTAGAATGTTCTTCAAATCAATAGTGAACAATTGAGGTCAGGGACATGGCGCATTATCTTCCCATAAAAATTTCATCATTGTTTGGGGACTTAAAGTCCATGATTAGCTCCAAGTGGTCTCCAAGTAGCTGAACATGACCATTTTTAGTCAATGATCGCTGTGATTGAACCATAGGACCCAGTCCATGTCATGAAAGAGCAGCCCACACCATCATGGAGCCACCACCAGAGCGCACAGTGCCTTGTTGACAACTTGGGTTCAGGGCTTTGTGGGGTCTGCACCACGATGAAACTCTCCCATCAGCTCTGACCAGCTGAAATCGTATCTCATCTGACCAAGTTACAATTTTCCAGTCGTCTAGGGTCTAACCAATATGGTTACGAGACCTGGAGAGGCACTGGACGTGATGTCCAGTCGTCTAGGGTCTAACCAATATGGTTACGAGATCTGGAGAGGCACTGGACGTGATGTCGTGCTATTAGCCAAGGCACTCAAGTCTGTCTTCTGCTGTCATATTCCATTACAGCCAAATTTTTAGTCACTGCCCTAACGGGCTCGTCCATTGCTCATCCCGCATTAATGCCTCAGGTTATTTTACGCAATATTAATGGTCGTAAACACTGACAATTTTACGCACACGTCGGCAGTCTTGATCATTAAGAGCAGGCGGTAGGTCACTAAGTTGTTCATTTTGTGAGGTTAGGTCAGAAATTTGGTATTTTCAGCACACTCTTGACACTGTATATTATGTGGTTATTACTCAATACAAGGCCGGGATAACCTGGTCGGTAGGGCGCTGGGACATGTCCGAGAGCTCGTGGGTTTGAACCCCATTGGCCGACTGATGCACGCTAAATCTGTCGAGTCGCAAAGTCCTTTATGCTAACATAACAAATCAATATCTCTGGGGGTACTGAATTGGAGATTGATCATTCTCTGATTCAGGTCCAAATTACGATCTGTGGATGAATGAATAGATGTATGAATGGGTCCGCCCTATAAATGAGTAAGGCAGAAGTCGAATTCTTGGCCATAGATGGCGCCACTGGGAAACAAGAACAATCGCACCCCTCTGCCATAACAGGAATACGAAAACAACAACATTACTCGATATATATATATTAAACAAGATAATAATCAATACTACCTAAATTATGATAATTAGGAACTTTACATATTTTTGAGATCGTAAATTATTAATAATTTAATATATTGTCAGTAAAAGAGTTAAACTGAATAAAAAAAATGTGCAGCAAACTTGTTAAGATAAAAAATTACCAGTGATCCATCAGGGTTGACGGTTAAAGTTCATCCCAGAATTGCTCTTTTCGGTCTGTGACCAAAGTGAAACTGCTCCTGTGAAAGAATCATTACAGTCTTGACTAAGTCTAACTTTTATTTATTCAGGAAAAGATCTTCAGATTTAGAGATTCCTAGGATGCCAGTATTTCTCAGTCAGGAGGTTGGTGGTTGTTAAATTAACTTGCAGATCCTCTATATAATCGATCAATTGCTTACATCTTTGTTTTATTTTAAAATCTACTGAGATCGCCATTCAGGTGCAGAGTGAGCCAACGTGTGGAGACGCCAACATGGATCTCGCGTCCCTTCTCCATGTGCTGTATGTGTGGGATCCAAATTAATTTTAAGTTACTGAAGTCAACAATAAGTTAAAAAAAAGTAGTTGCATATTTAAATTATATTTAATCTTTTTAAAAAGAGGCCCGGATTTCCTGGTTGGTAGGTCACTGGGCCCATGTCCAAGAGTTCGTGGGTTCGTTCCCCGCCGGCCGAATACTCTCCGTGCAGTAAATGGTGACTGATGAACGTTAAATCTGTCGAGACTCAAAGTCCTCCATGTTTCCATAACAAATCAGTACCTCTGGGGGTACTGATCCAGGAGTTTCCTTGTCTTCTGGATTTTTTCAAAATTACAAGACTGAGTTGAACATTAGTAGCCGTAAACCCAAAATTGGGTTGGCTGTTCAGCAACGGATATAAAATTAAAAAAAGAGATAAGCAAATAAAATCTTTGTAAAAAGAGCATAAATCCCAGACACACAACGGAGAGAAGCACTAACAAAAAAAATGAGAGAAAAAATTACAAGGAAGGTGGGTAGGTTAGAACTTTATTTACGTCACACTAGAGCTACACAATGGGCTATTGGCGACGATCGGGGAAACATCCCTTATGATGATCCGAAGACGTGCCATCGCAATCTTGATCCTCTGCAGAGGGGAGGGCTCCGCTGCTTTGGTAACCCGATGACCTGCGCGAAGTCGAGCACTTTGCGGTAGAACAGTTTAACGAGGACCGAAACCGCGAACCTTCGGTCCCTACGTAGGCTGATCAAAGTGATCACCAGCCTGCTTACTGAACGCATCCAGTGATGCTTTACTTCGGTGTCCTACTGGGTGCCATGTCTTTACAATCAGTCCACTGCGGGACTACAAAGAAGGACTAAACTTCTTTTAAGAAATCAAATCAAAGGAGTGAACTGCAACTGTCACGTGGATCGGAGGTATGCTAGGTTCGGTTACAGTTAGAACAAAGAAAATCATCAAAATAAAAAGGTGATAATGCCATCGCGGGAAAAAAACGGAAACTTATAAAACTCAGTTAAGTTTGTGAAACGGAAACGGTTGTCTAAAATGTGATGTGAGCAACATCATACTGTAGATCTAGTAGTGTTGAATTCCCTCACAATTTCTGAAATGGACTGTCCCATGCGTCTAGCTCCAACTACCATTCCACGTTCAAAGTCTGTTAATTCTCCTCCTGTGGTTATAATTATATCAGAAACATTCTCAGATGAATAGCTTGAACACAAATAAAAGCTTGACACAAATAAAGTATTGCCAGTGATATACATTTTGTACGCGATGCTACCGCAATCTGCATTTTTACATATTGCTATCCCATGACTTTTGTCACCTATTTGTATTAGAAAAAAATTTAGTTTTTTTTTGTAATTCAAGAAGAGTAAAAACTATTTTGAACTTTTCAGACTAATTTAAAATTGTTTTGATTGATGCTAAGGATATCGCAGATTATAAATGTAAAAAGAAACAAAAATAGTTTACAAAAATTTTTTTGAACGCAGAAACGCTTTTAACTTATTTATTTTATCAAATTCTATCGTAGCCAACTTTAAAAACGTTGAAAACTCAGTTTGCTTTTTTGAAATTACTGAACCGATACTAAAAAAAATTTTTGTGTGAATATTCGTATAAATAAATTTCTTTTAATTTTGGTAAATTTGACTTTTAGGATTTAAAATTTAAGAATATTTTTGTTAAAAAATTGTTTCTAAACTTAGAAAATCAACCGCAGAAAATTTGAAAAAACCTAGTACTAAAATGTGCATCAAAATATTAGAAGCAAAACACAAAAAAAGTTTTTGAAAATAGATTTTTGAAGTAGTTTTTGAGAAAACTAAATTGTAGGTTGATATCAAAATTGTTTGTATATAATAAATCTTTTTAAAGCGTGTTCTTAAAAAACAGGACCAAAACAATTTCTTTTTAGAAAACTAATTCGTTACTTTCTCAGAAAACTGTAAAAAATTGGTAATTTTTACACGACAAGATCCTTAATAATAAATCACCTGTATTACAAATTGTAATTTTGTACATTACTTAAAATAGAACATTAAAATAACTACTGATTGGGAGGCTTTAGGATGCCATAAGAAACCTATTTAAAACTTTCAAGCTGGAATTTCTTAATTATTTGCATGTTTTAAAATTATTGTAAAAATTGAGTTAAAAAAAATTATTTTTGGAATTATAATTTCTTACCTTGCATTCACATTTTCTACAAGCATCAGGTCTAAACACTTCACCATTGGAACGGTGGATGCTTTCAAAAATGCAATCATCACACATTGAGCAACAAGGATCTGGTACTGGATGAGTGCAATTTCTTGTACAGATTTGCCTTTTACAAGCAACTTCTCCTACCTAGCAGATTAAATGCTAATGTATTACACAATTTATAGTCAAAAATTTATTCGATGAATGCATAATGGAGTAATTATTGTTCAAACAAAAAATGACGCCAGCAAGCAACTTCTCCTACCTAACAAATTAAATGTTAATATATTACACAATTAATAGTCAAAAATTTATTCGTTGAATGCATAATGGAGTAATTATTCTACAAACAAAAAATGACGCCAGCAAGCAACTTCTCTTACCTAACAAATTAAATATTAATATATTACACAATTAATAGTCAAAAATTTATTCGTTGAATGCATAATGGAGTAATTACTCAACAAACAAAAAATGACGCAACTTTTCTATGAATATCAATTTATTAACTTATTCTTTTATTATTATACAACGATTAAATTGTTATTGGAACATTTAAACAAATTAAATTGTTATTACCAATTGTAATGAATTGTAATTGTAATTAATTGTAATTGTAATTATAATTATTAAATATAATTATAATTATTCGAATAATTTTATTACTATGTATCAGAACGTGGAATGTGTTTTAATGGTTTGTGGAGTAAAAATTAAGCACATCTTACGAAAAAGAAGAAAAAGGAGCACCTTAAAAGCTTTTCATCAAATGATCGGATGGGGCTGCTTTGGGATGTATCACTTGCCTCCCAATGAAGTGGCTTAGGTTCGAATCCCAGCGCTGGTTACTCGATATAAATTATGCTCCCGGCTTACGCCGCACAAAGAACTCACGTATCAAATATTTTCTGTGGTAGACGGATCATGGGTTAGATTCTCAATGAAGTCGACGACCGTGAAGAAGTTTTTGTGGTTTCCTTCTCCATATAACGACGTTTGTTCCAATGCGTGATCAAGGAGCATCCTTTTTATTTTATTTTGTAATCGACGTTGAACAGCCGACTCAATTTTGAGTTCACGACTGTAAATGTTCAACTTCATAGGCTTGTAATTTTGAACTCAATCCAGAATACAAGGTAACTCCTGACTCAAGCATTGGAAGACTTTTTGATTGAATTAACCCTCATTTGCGTTACTGGGAGAGGAAAACCACGATAACTCCCATAGATAGTTATATGAAAAGGGGACTCTAACCCTCAATTTGTCTACCACTGAAGTTATTTTAGGTTAGTACTGTGGTTATTGTGACCTTGTAGCAGTATTTGTTTGCCTACATGTCTGGGATTCAAACCCAGGTCACCTCATTGGAAAGCGAGCTCTCTACACTCTGAATCCCCACGGCTCCTAGAAGCTTCTTTGTCATTAAGGTAGGGTTCATAATTACTAAGCGACGGAGTTAAACTGAACCCAAAAATGAGTCTGTTGTTTAACACTCGTTATAAAACAAAATAAACGATCAGACGATAGTTTACTAAGATTCAATATTTGGTTTTAGGAGATTTTACTTAAAAACTCTATAAACAATTTATGCACACTATATTTTAAGTTACAAATTCACGCCCTGAAATGTATTTTATATAAAGTAACATATTTTTTTCGGTGGATTGAGATTTTTGAACATCAAAATATACAGGACAATCGCAATCTAGATAATATAGTCCTAAGTGGTTCAAAAGTTAGAGTTCTTTAATTTAAATTTAAACATCATTTTATTAATATATTTATTATTCATTATCATTATTCATTATCATTATTCATTATCATTAATCATTATCATTAATCATTATCATTAATCATTATCATTAATCATTATCATTAATCACTATCATTATTCATTATCATTATTCATTATCATTATTCATTATCATTATTCATGATATTAACATCATTTCATTATATAAGAACAAACTGCTTGAATTGATTTGCAGTAACAAAGAAGACTTCATGCAAAAAATGATTTTTTCTTATTATTACCGCTTTTTTATTATTTTATTTTGTCCCGATAAAATGATTCATAACTATTTTATAGAAATGATAAAAAATATTAATTATTAAATGATAAAAATGATTTTATTTTATAATGATAAATACATTTTGTATTGATAAAGTGAATTGTAAGTTACGTAAATTTTACATTCTCTTAAAAATTAATGTTTTAAATGACAAAATCTAATTTTTTAGTGATAGTGGAATAATGTATAAAGTCAGAAAAACAATTCTAGCAGAAGAGAAAAATTATAAAAATTTTCAGATGTGTTTGTTAGCAGGACAGCATTTCATAAGGCGATACACTACCAAAGGCAAAATCTTTGATTTTGCACTTGTTCAGTGTAGAACTTCATCATGTGATCTTTTTTTTCGACTAAATTTTCAATAAGCAACTAAACAAACTACTTAAAAAATTGTCACCAATTCATTTTATAGGAATAAAGAGCGACTAAATATGGTATTCACCTGGCAGATACACTTTTCGCAAACATCATCAGGATGAGTAAATTCTTTGTTTTGCTCAAAATGAATTCCTGAAATAACGCAGCCTGAAAATAGTAATGAAAATCAACAACTTTTTCAAAAAAATATTCAATATTTTATTATTAAACATTATTATTGTGATTTTTCAGTTAAGGTAATGGTTATCTGATACAGTCACAGTTAAAGAAGCTTTTTTTGAGATTAACTGTTTAAATTTTTTGGTTAAGATAATTTTTTATGTTACAGATAATTTTTTATGTTACAGATAAAGAACCTTTTTTTTAATTAATAGTTTATGGTTTAAAGTTAGGATAATAGTTATATGTGACAGTTATAAAGAAGCTTTTCTATTCAATTAACAATTGATAGTTTTAATTGAAATGTTGATTTTATATGAAAGTTAAGAAAGATACTTTTTAATTATCAACCTAGGTTTTGAGAAAAATCAATATTCTCGAACTTGAGCTCAATTCTTTTTCTTTTTTTCTTTAATTGGCAAAGGGCAACGAATTTTTCCTTGCATTTATAGAAGTACTTGATCTTACCTGATTAGGATGTTGGGATTTCAAATTTGAATTTCGTTTTATACGGAAAGCTTCAGATTTCTTTCAAAATATTTTTCGTTTAGTTCATATTTTGTCTGAATGTAGAAGTTTATAAAGAGCATATAAGTTTAAATATTAACCTGCTCTTTTGAATTTTACACTTAAGACAAAAAACATCTGACCTTAACGTATCACATCAGAAACTGAAATGTATCATCGGGTTCTTCCTACCACTCCTTACGTAGCAGAGAAGTAGGGACACTTAGTATTTCCTTGAGTGAATTGTAAAAAAATCCTCGTTAGGAATGTATTATTAAATTGCATAAAAACTGTAGTTTGTTGATATAAACTAATTGCAGATTTGAAATCAGTGTAGCAAAAATGTCTTAGATCCTTTCAAAAATATCACGCAACAAAAAAGAAATTGCTCCTCTGTGTCATCAAATAAGAACACTATTTATCATAATCAACTATTGAAGTGTTGTTTCAAAATATTATGAATAATTTCAAACTGTTGTGAAAGATTTTTGATGGATTTGTTGTTTCAAAATGTTTTGAAATGTTTCGAAATAGCAACTAAAAAGAAGGTAAAAGAATATAACTGAACGGGGGAAAATTTCCCGTTTACACAAAAGCCAAAATTTTATCCTTGTTAATTAAATAAGAGCACGAGGGAACAAATTTACTTTTTCAAATTTTTATATCAAAAACTTTCAAGTTTCATATTTCATTCCACTTTTCAGATCATTATGCATGTTGAAGTTCACGTTGAGCACGTACTGTCCGTTCTGTTATACTTAGTAAAATTTACGTTTACGTTACATTGTATGTTTTATACTGTGATTTACGACAGTAAAAAATTCCTATTTCGTAGATAATTTCTTTCCCTTTCTGTTTTAAAAGTTATTTTCAATAAGAAACGAATTGAAAGGGTTCTGTTGCCCTTGATATTACAAATAAAGATTTTCGTGGTTTTCCTTCTTTATAATATAAATACTGTTTAATTTACTTCCAAACTTTCCTCCTTTATTTTGATGGTTTCAAAATATAAATCTGATTTTATTTTGGTAAGGGAATAAAATTATATTGTTTAATGTTCCCATGAGTAAAAAAATTCCCATTGATTGTTATGACTGATTTAAAAAATTTTAATGTTAAACACGTGAGTAAAAAAATATCCATTCATTGCTATGGCTGATATAAAAATATTTAATATTAGACACATGAGTAAAATAAATCCTCATTGATAGTTATAGGTGATATAAAAATATTCAATTCTAAACACATGAGTAAAATAGTCTCCATTGACTGTTATAGCTGATATAAAAATATTTAATATTAGATACATGAGTAAAATAAATCCTTATTGATAGTTATAGGTGATATAAAAATATTCAATACTAAACACATGAGTAAAATAGTCTCCATTGACTGTTATAGCTGATATAAAAATATTTAATACTAGATACATGAGTAAAATAAATCCCCATTGACAGTTGTAGCTCATATGAAAATATTTAATATAAGACATATAAGTAAAATAAACCCCCATTGACAGTTGTAACTGATATAAAAATGCTTCGAAAACTCATAAAAATAGTAATTACTAATGAATAATATACATCCCCAAATTTTTTGTATTTATATCTTAACATCTAAAGAGAAGGATAGGGTATACTTTGAGCAACATAGACAAAAAAAGAAGAAGAAAACGTGAATAAAGAGCAAATAAAGTACATGAATGGACATACTATAGTTTCGGGTTTCCAAACAAGAACCTTCCTCAGTGTCTAAACACTAAATGGTATGGTTTTTTGATATTTAGACACTAAGGAAAATTCTTGTTTAGAGAACCGAAGCTGCAGTATGTCCATTTCCACACTTAATTGATTTTTGCTTTAATATATTCCAACAATTTCCAGAAACAACTTAGCAACAACTCCTCAACAACTTAGCAGAAACTGCTTGGCTTTTCTATTAAGAAAGCTAAAATTTTGACGGGGAAAGGTCTGGAAAATACAGCGGATGTTGGAACATTTCTATTGTTTGCAAAGCGACTTGTAATATAGCGTAATTATACTGAAAGATTGAGTTATTATTTGGACATAATCTTTTACTGGCGTTGTTATAGTGACAGATGATGTCCAAATTTAGGCATTAAATCTCCAATGCTCAGATGAGTTCAACAAAGTACTATTTTACTATTGTATCAGTTATTTGGAAAAACCTATAATTTTTCCCATATACTCTCTCTTCCTATTAAAACAACACATTCATGGAATGCAATTTAAATCAATTATAGTTTTCTTTACCATAACCCAATAAAAAATATGTTTGAAACTACAGCAATAATCATTTAAGCAGTGAAGCCATTATTTCAAACTGATACCAAATCAACTTCAATATTAATTTTAAAAATGGACTCATTGTAAGCATGAAATCTTTGTTAATTATTTATAAGTTGTACTTACCTGGACATATAGGACAACATGTATTTGGCATTAAAATAGGATTACTGCAAATAGGTTGGCTGCATTGCAGAGAGTGGCAGGTAACTGTTCCATTCTTCAAAAATTGTCAAAATTAAATTAGTTACAAGAAATGCGATTGCAAATTCAACAGTCAAAAATACAATTGCAAATTTAAAACACAACTAATTTAATACACAAAAATACGACAGCAAATTCACCAGTCAAAAATACGATTACAAATTTAATACACAAAATACGATTGCAAATTCAGCAGTCAAAAATACGATTGCAAATTTAACGCACAACTAATTTAATACACAAAAATACGATTACAAATTTAACGCACAACTAATTTAATACACAAAAATACGATTGCAAATTCATTAGTCAGAAATACGATTGAAAATTCAATACACAACTAAGGTGATTGAAGAATAACAAGATCTATGATAAAATTTTGAAAATTATAAAAAAATCAAATCTTACTTTGCATATGCACTCGTCACAAGGATTACTAGAAGATATAAATATTTCTTGGTTAGAATAATTTCTTCCTTCAAAAGAGCATCCATCACAGATTGGGCAACATTTTGAATCAAATAATGTAGGATGAAGACATTGAACGCATGAATATCTTGCACATGCTACTTGTCCTTTCTGGAGGAAAAAAAAGAATAAATTAAAAAAATTTTCAGATGAAAATCGATAGAGGGTATTGTGTAATGATCACTCTTTATCATGTCATTTTTGAGCTTAAATAATATATTTTACTGTAAAAAAATCTTTTCAAACAGCTTACAAAGTTTGATTTTATATACAGTTCTTCCATTATTTATTATTTGGACTCGAAACTTTTTAATTCAACTTTTATATATCGATAAATAATTGTCAAAATATCAAGAAAGTTTGATAGGTATTATTTGAAAATCTGTACTATTTTACTGCATGTATTTTTTTTATTTTTTATAGAGCCATTTACGTATTAATCTCAGAACTTTTTGACCATTTCCATTTCCAAAGCCAAGTGAAATGCCATTTTCAAAGTCTTAACACTTATTATTAAAGTCGATAATAGCAAAGGAGAGACTAAAATTATCAAAACCATTTCAGATGACTTCATTGTTAAAGACTGTGTAAAACCAGATGGTAAAATGTTCATTCCTTTTAATTTTCTTACTTTTTTTTTTAGATTTCTTTGCTTTTTTTTTATTCTAAACCATCTGATGAAATGTTGTGCATTCATAACGAGATTGTAAAATAAAATTATATTAAAAGCATTTGACTACTACTATTTTGAAAATCCTATAGAATCATTACCGTCAAATGGTTAATTGAATTATGAAACAGATACGGAATATAATTTTTTAAGAAGGTTTAGAATGTAATGAAGAAATCATATTCCATTTTTATTTTATTATTTTATTTATTTGATTGCAGAAATCTTAAAGTTTTGATACTAAATCATCCGATAATAAGCTGTGCAGTCACAAGGAGGTAGTCTAATGAAATGATGTTAAAAGTATTTGATTATTAATATCTTATAGAACATCTTATGCAAAAGCATAAACATTAACTCTTTAATTGAATAATAAAATCAGGGCTGAACGTAAGCTTCATAAAAAGGTTTATTATGTAATGAAAAATATTAGAAATGCTTGCAAACATAAGCATGTTTCGCATGGATTTTTAGGTTTTCTAAAATTCTTAATGTCTGCATAAATTTGTTCATGATATCAAAAGTTTGAGCAAAGCAAGACAGCATTCTTATAGAAGAATGACCATTAATTGATTAATTAAATTAAAGAACCGAAGCAGAACATAAGTTTTTAAAAAAGGTTTATTATGCAATATAAAAAGAAATTAGAAATACTTACAGAACATAAACAAGTTTCGCATGGATTTTTAGGATTTGTAAAATTCTTATTGTCTGCATAAATTTGTTCATGATATCGACAGTTTGAGCACTCAAGACAACATTCTCCGGGAGCTGGATTTAAGCAAGTTATTGGGGGACAATCTCTAACGTCACATAAAACATCACCATTCTGAAATAAATATCACAAAAATACAAAATTATATACAATATTCTAAGTCTGGGTGCAAAATCTACTAATTGCACATGTTATTAAGAAAAAATTTGAATTAAATTTAAAAATTTATTAGCTCGATGTAAACTTCGACATGAGAGCACACGAACTTTAAATTTTTCGTTAGCAATAGAAGAAAATCAAAATTAAATTTAAATTTATTAAAAAAAAGTTAAGCGGTTTCCTAGAAAAAAGTAACTCTTTTACATTAGCTTGATTTTCCACGCTTTTTAAGTAAACAGAACAAATACTACTCTCATCTAGGACTGGGCTATAAATCGATATATCGCGACATATCGATTTAACGCCTATATCGGCAAACCGATACAGCAACTTTCATTCCAAGCGATACATCAGAAATCTGATTTAAGCCGTCGAGTGAAGAAGACGATATAACGATATAGCGATACACGCANTGATTAAATAAATTAAAGAACCAAAGCAGAACATAAGTTTTTAAAAAGGTTTATTATGCAATATAAAAAGAAATTAGAAATACTTACAGAACATGAACAAGTTTCGCGTGGATTTTTAGGATTTGTAAATTTTTTATTGTCTGCATAAATCTATTCATGATATCGAAAGTTTGAGCAAATCAAGACACTATTCTTTTAGAAGAATGACCATCAATTGATTAATTAAATTAAAGAGCCAAAGCAGAACATAAGTTTTTAAAAAAGGTTTATTATGCAATATAAAAAGAAATTAGAAATACTTACGGAACATAAACAAGTTTCGCATGGATTTCTGGGATTTGTAAAATTCTTATTATCTGCATAAATTTGTTCATGATAGCGACAGTTTGAGCACTCTAGACAACATTCTCCGGGAGCTGGATTTAAGCAAGTTATTGGGGGACAATCTTTAACGTTACAAAAAACATCACCATTCTGAAATACATATCACAAAAATACAAAAATTATATACATTATTATAAGTCTGGTTGTAAAATCCACTAATTAAACATCTTTTTAAGCAAAAATTTGAATTAAATATAAATTTTTTTTATCTCGATGTAAGCTTCGGCATGGAAGCACCCGAACTTTAAATTTTTCGTTAGCAATAAAAGAAATTCAAAATTCAATTCAAATTTATTTAAAAAAAAGTCAAACGGTCTCCTAGAAAAAAGTAACATTAGCTTGATTTTTCACGCTTTTTGAGGAAACAGAACAAATACTACTCTAGTCTTAATGATATTAAAAAGATTTTTTTTCTCAAGCATAAAAATGGAACACTCTCCATTACGTCTATGATCTTCTCCAGTTTTTATAACCATATTTTGTTTATAACACCATTCAGTTTAATTATTATGAGTATGCAACATTATTAACATTAGGGGAGAGTGGGGTCAATCGTAACAGGGTACGATTGTAACAGAGCAAAAATTTCGAGTGTCGGGTTCTAGATTTGGTTCCTATGTGGCGCACAAGGTGTATTTAATAAATTTACATGTACACCGCTGCTGGCAACCATTTTTATGTACTTTTGAAAGAGTTACAACACAAAAGATGTTTTCCCGCTACGTAAGTACTCTTTTTGGTATTAGAATATTATATTGTAATAAAGTAATTTTGTTTAAACAAATAAAAATTATTAACCGAATATGTAAGTGGACACCTTAATTAACATTTAAAAAAAAATATTAGTTTTGTTAATTAACTAGCATTGTTTTTAACAAATGAAACTGAAATGGCGTATTGGGGGGACGATTGTAACAATAAGTAAAGGGACGGTTGTAACAGCTGAAAATAAATAATCTTATGTTTACAAACCATTACTCAACTCTTTAAGAACCACCAATAATTTCCTATATCATTTATATTATGCTGCATGTGTATTATTTTATTTATCACTTTTCACAGCATAAATTAAAAATATTAACCCCTTAATTAATAAATAATTATGTAATTAGGTAATTAATAAATAATCATAAGGAAATATTTGCGAATCAAAATAAATGACCGAAAAAATTTAAAAAAATTTTCGATGCAAAGGGTATGTTCTACTGAAATTAAGCTTTTTTGATTCAATGAAAGATATACATATTGCTACCAAGATTTAGAATTATTTTACATATTTACTTTTTGAGAGTGAGTTCGATCATTTCGATGTAGAAACTATTAATTTATAAAACTAATGCATTTAATTCTTAATCTCTATTTATAAAGATGTTTTTCTTAAATTTAATTAGCAATAGTCCAATAATTATTATTATTTATTTATTTAATTATTATTCTTTTTTATTTACTTATAAATATACCTATAAAAAATAACGCACTAAATATAATTACGTTGCAAGAGCATTCTTTGCAAGGATCACTTTCGTGATTAAACACAGCGTCAAGTTCATATCTTTGCCCATTATAAATGCAATGATCAGGACAGTAAAGGCAACAGTGTTCGTCATCTGTAATGGGATTCATGCAGGTAACAGTTTCACATGGCTTTTCTGAACAATAAACTGAACCTTCCTATTTGGAGAGTAAATAAAGTAATAGAGTAAGTGGAGTAATAGCAAACTAAAGTAATAGAGTAAGTAAAGTAAAAGCAAACTAAAGTAATAGAGAAGAGTAAAATTAAAAATTTAAAATATTTGATATATTTAATATATTTTATGCTAATTAAAAATTTAAAATATTTAAAGATTAGATTTTGTACTTTAATAAATTTTTTATGAACTCTTTTTCGTTAATTTTTCATAAAAACTAGACCTTACGTAAAAACTATTATAGATAAAACTTGACCAAAAATTAAACTTTCTCCAATAAAATTCGCACAAACATCTGTTTTACTGTTTCAAGTAATTTGAAAGTGTGAAAATTAGAGAACATTTTTCTGGAAACGATTCGAAACTCAAGTAAATGAGAAGTAACCAAGGTTTCTAAAAAAACCTTGTTTAAACCTTGTAAGCCTTATATAATGATTAACCCCTTAACGATCGGTTAATTTTCAAGAAAACGGTCATAAAGTTGTCTACTTTATTGGCTTTTGTATTTGTATTACGCATTTGATTAGTGCTGACATCTAGTTTAAAATAAACTAACTATCTACAATTACCTTAAAAATATCCTGGCACTGCCATCTAGTGTGTAAAATGAGAAATAAAATGTTTTCTGGGCAAAAGAAATGACTTAGTTTTATTCTTATTGGAGCGTTATTATTGGACACTCCAGCCCGTCAATATCACGGGTGCGAGAAATTGAGAGCGAAACCTCACTCCGTCATTTTCACGTCATTTAAACACAAGCGTCATCGAAGCTTGAACGCCTTCCTGAATCAGCAGATTAAAGGCAACTATTGTGAAACATCTTGCATAGCATGTTTTATACAGTATGGACAGATGAAAAGCAGCCAGTAAAACATTTAAACTATCACTGATAACTTAAATTTAACTTACATATTTCAGTAGTAACTTACATTTATTTTCTTGCCACTTTTATTTTCGCCACCCTGCTTTAAAGCGTGCTTGAATGAAATAAGTCTCTAACTTTCAAGGTTGTTTTCTAAAACTATCAGGTTTCAAACTTGTAAATTCGAAACTACTTATTCAATTTTCGTGCAATTTATTTAAAAATTTAACAGCAGACTCATAACTATTTTCATTAAGCTATTAAACCAATTATATTTTAAGTTATTAAATACTAAATCCTAACATTAAGAGCAGTTTTTGTTACAAAATACCTTAATTATGTTAAAAATAATTAAAATTAAATGGAACAAGAAGCATTTCAAAGTAAGCGAAATAAATTTTTAGTTTTTTTATAAGCATTAAAAAAATAATAAAAATAAAAGCTCGATAGTATGAAGACAGCAGGTTACTATAAGTCTGATATTGCAACAATATTCCGTCAAAATCCTAATATTAAAGATACAGATTGCATGTTTATAACAAGTTTAAAACTACTTGACCTCCGTTATGGTGACAAATGTTTAACAGGGAAACAAATTTTCCGCTGTTCAAGTGAGGAATACTATACAAAAAATGGCTAAATGGGAGACATTTTTATGTATTTTTAGTATTAATAAAGAATAGGTGAAAAACGGACATCATCTCACCTTACTTCCTACCTACAATATCAATCACTTATGCTTATAAAATTAAAGTTAGGGAAATTATCAGTTAAGTTATCTTGCTCCTTCCGATAGAATACTTTTACAAATTTGTGGACCTCATACTTCAAAAGAATACACCACATATCTACTATACTTCTCCTATTATCCTATATTATTTCCCTTCTAGCCCGCTTGCCCGTTTTCTATCGTAATCAACATTCAGTGTTATTAATAATGTCAAAAACTATTGTACTTCATTTCATTCTTTTTCTCCTATTTAAAATTTAAAAATTGTATTTGCGTATCACGACAAGCTCACTATAACGTCGATTACATTTGCTATTGAGAATTATCGTTCTAACGGAAAATGTATATGCTGGTGTTTTTGGATAACTTGCTAATCTGGATAATAGATCTGGATAATCTATCAGGCTAAAATCCAGATTAATAGCGAAGAAAAAAATTCTGGTAAATTTCTCGTACTATATCGTGTTGTAAAATTTCTAACAATAAAAGTAAAAATAAGTAAATAAATAAAAATTTTAAAAAAATTAAAAAAAATTTTTTTTTCAATAAAACCTAAGATATACAGTACTTAAAACATTCATGCGGTAATTTTTCCGTTTATATGGTAACTGTTTACCAGAAATTCTGGTTTTAAAAATTATAGTGCATATTACCATACATTTAGTAAAAAATATAAAACTGAATAGTAAAATTAACTAAATAAATGTTTTTTGTGCCATGCTCTAAGTTATCATGATAAAATTGCCAAATTTTACCACATTTATCAAATTTTATGATAATTTATAAAGCCGTATTCTTGTTAATTTTACTAAAATTATTCCCAAAAGGCTTCGGTAAAAATTACCGAGCTCTTTCTTGTTCTCACAGAGCCAGAAACACAGTAAATTTTTTACCATATTCTGGTAATTTTGACCACCACACTCTGTTTCTCAATGCCAAACTTTGACTATATATGCTAGTTAAGTGACAGCAGTTATAATAGTTATACATATTCTGTAATTATTTATTCCGAGGAAGAAAAAAAACGCCATTTGTTAGCTTAAAATCATTCACTTGCTTGATAATAAGGTTTGGATTTCTGAATTGATAAACTTACCATGCAAGCACATTCTGAACAAATATCTTTTGGATCATCAAACTCTGCACCAACATTATAAATTTTACCCTCATAAAAGCAACCTAAATGAATAAAAAAAAACATTAAAATTATCGTATAAGCGATTTCTTTTGAAAGAAAATAGGATGTTTTGAAAACACCAAACATATTATCGATATTTTAAGAATTCTCATTAAGAATGAAGTTAAAAAAAATATTCAGATTAGAGATCGCATAAAACAAGTATACAAAACTCACGCAAGTATACAAAAACTCAAATAAAATTCTAGGAATTAATATTGAAAAGTGATGTTAAAAATATCAAAACCTGTTTGATTCATGGAAGGTGTTTATACTGTTTGTTTTTACCTCCTCTAAATTTAGACAATCAAACAGACTTTCATGTTTTTAACCTTGTCTTCTGTGTTAATAATTGTTAGTTTTGAAACAGTTTTTATTTTTTTTCTTTATGCACGTATTAATTAGCAATCACAAATAGGCATATTTTAAAACTAGGTTTTGACAAAAATGCAAAAAAATATTGTTGCCCTTCAGGATCAATAAAAAGAGAAAGAAGTGCTTCTAATGTCCGCACAGATTAAAGAGTAAGTACATGTACTAACACGAGAGTACCGAATTGAGATTACATCCATGTGATCTTATGCCGCTGGAGTCAGAAAGGCTAGTTTCATGTACGGTACCTTGGGACGTGAATGGAGAATCGTGTGATAACGTATGCTTTATTACAGTCCGGAACAGGTTAAGGCAACACCCCCTGAAAGAGAGAAGGCCTCCGCACGGTTTACCATAAACGAAAAATCTGATTCTTTAGTAGCCCGGACGTAGTGACATTTTTAGTATTTCCCCCCATTGCGCAGTTTAGTAGCCTGAAGTTAGTAACATCTGTTTCATTTTTCAACTACTGCGAATTATGCGTTCGTTAAGTCGGATTACTAATTTGATTTGTGAGGAGGCTTTATCTTTTCTAGAAGTGCTGGTTAAGGGCGAAACCCTGTATATTATTTAGAAATTATAGAAGCGATACCTGAGTCACAGACAGGACAACAATCCTTAATAACTGGATCAGTGCAATGAACGATGTCGCAAGCTTTTGGATTGCATTCAATATTTCCTCCAGTACAAATACAGATTTCACAGGATTTAATCGAAAATTCAATCTCTTCTCCAATGTTATAAATTTCACCATTGTGCGAACATCCTAAAGACAAAAAATGGAGTCTAATAATTCATTTTATTCAATAATATTTAGGAACAATTAATATTTTTATTATTACCTGAATCACAAACAGGACAACAGTCTTTTATGATTGGATTGGAGCATTCTACTTCATTGCAAGTCTTTTGTTTGCATTCTATACTACCATTTGTACATATGCAAGTGTCACAGATACTTTCAGGTATCAGTATTTCAGATCCAAAATCATAAATTTGACCATTATACAAACATCCTGAAATATAGTTTCGTTTATTTAACTTATCTTTGCTTTGCGAAGAATTTCATTGGTATACAAAAAAGGATTTTTAGGTTTGGTTGATGATTTCAAGAACAATTGGGCTGATTTTAAAAATAATTGATATGAATACAAGAGTAATACTAATAGAGAAACCAATTGACAGTTATAATACGAACTTATATCGTGCGTAACACTAGTGCTAATCTTTTCAGGGGTATGGTTGGCCATGACTCTATTTGAATGGACGGCAACGTGCGTCTACGTAAAGATCACCTAATCCAAGATTTCCAGACAAGATATCCAGACTTGAACTTTAAAGAACTTTTGGAGAAGACGATGGCAATTCACAATTCCTTTTCAACTATCACCCAGAGGTTCATGACAGTAACTCACAATCTTCCCACAACCATAAAGAGCTTCCAAACAGTAACTCACATCTCCCTCCGACTACTACTCAGGGCTACATAACAGTAACTCACGATTCCCCTCCGACTACCACCTAGGACTACATAATAGTAACTCATGATTCCTCTCCGACTACCACCCAGGGATACATAATAGTAACTCACGATTCCCATCCGACTACCACTAAGGGCTCCATAACAGTAACTCACAATTCCCCTCTGACTACCACTCAGGGCTACATAACAGTAACTCACGATTCCCCTCCTACTACCACCCAGGGCTACATAGCAGTAACTCACAATTCCTCTCCGACTAACATCCAGGGCTACATAACGGTAACTCTAGATTCTCCTCTGACTACCACCTACGGCTTCATAACAACATTGCTGAAAGATTGAAAAAAACGACACAGGGCTTTGGTTCAAGCTTCCAGGATGCAAATCTGTAAGACAGAATCTTTGTTTTCTTGTTCAATTATTTCTTTAAAATCACTCTAAAAGTTCTGTAGATAATATACCAAATCAGAAATTTTTCTTCATTTTGAACCCAAGTATATAGATGTAACGTTTTTTTATGTATCTCTGTAATATATGAAATAAAAAAATTGGTCCCATTTTAGGTCGTAAGTTGCATTTTTAAGTTTAAAAAAATGACATTTCAAAACTTTTACCAATCGTTATTAAGACGGCAAGAACAAGGGAGGGATTTAAATCATCATTAAGACCAACCCTGGTACATGATTGGGTTTAAGTGTTCAGATTTTCAACCTGTTCTTATTATTGCTTAAATTTAAAGAATCTTAAGTAACAAACTGTGATTTTTCCAACCCACGTTACTTAAAATCACGTCTATATCCCCCGAGAATTCAAGAATAAAATAAAATAGTCCCTATTTGTATTCGATCTACTCTGGTATCTTAGATAAAATGTAATTATATTAATAACTATTATAAACATACCCATATTGCATACAGGGCAACAATCGATAATTACTGGATTAGAACAGTGTATTTCCTCGCAAGTTTTTGCATGGCATTCAATATTGCCATTTTTGCAAGAGCAAATTTCGCATTCATTTGAGCTTATGTAGTCCAGAACTTGTCCATCTGGTATTATTTCACCATTTTGAGAACAATCTAAAAAATAAATTTAATGTTACGGAAGTTTTTATGACATGAATAAGTAATATTTGCACACACGAAGAACTTGCATACTAACATTTTCTCTTATTTAGGAGAACAAATTTTCTAACTTAATTTAATTTAAAATTAGTATTCAAATATATTATTTTATGAGAAGAACAAAGATTACAATAAATAAATAAAATAATATTTAGTACATTTCCAGAGAAACCAGCTTGCTCCGGGCTAATGATAAATATTTTCTAGTGACAGTGTGTATGATTCTTGGTAAGTAAATTCATTTTATGGGGCTTTTACTCACTACTATTTCTAAATAATTCAAAGGCTTATTACAAACGCCTTTTTGTGACAGCTATGCCGAGTTGAGCCTTCTAAAAAGTTGCCAAAATTAACCGAAAATCTGCAAATTTTGGTTATAGTTCTCTACTGTTGTTTAAAAATATTTTGTGGAATCTGGAGCAGCTTGTATCTCTGCATTTTTTGTTTCGTTTATGTGAAAGCGTTTTTATACAAACAGACTAAAAGTTAATCTAATAAAGTTATCTCTTATTCATGTGAACAAATTTTCTATTCAAACGAACTAAAAAATAATAAAATAACGTTTATCTCTTATTTATGTGACGAAATTCCCTACCTCAATTATTTAAAAATCGGTATACTAATATATTATCTTAAGAGTGAGAAAAAATATTTTCATATTTTGAATTGAGCCAACCGGCCTGCGTAGGGGGCAGGGAATTGTCTTTGCATCAGAAAGGTTCTGGGTTCGAATCCCGGGCAAGCCATGGATGTTCTTTCATTCTCTGTACTATCTGTCCTCACTGTGGGAGCGACGTTGGCCCACCTAATATGGTGCCCCTGAAAGAGAGGCCAACAAAAACGCCCTGTATATGCCTNGATATATTGCCGACTGGCCTATGTAGGGGGCAGGAAACTGTCCTTGCATCAGAAAGGTTCTGGGTTTGAATCCCGGGCAAGCCATGGATGTTCCTTCATTCTCTGTACTATCTGTCCTCACTGTGGGAGCGACGTTGGCCCACCTAATATGGTGCCCCTGAAAGAGAGGCCAACAGAAGCGCCTTGTATATGCCTGAATTGACGGATGTTAACACAGGTGGGCATTGGGGAAAAAAAAGAAATATTTCGAATTGAAAATTAGTATATTAAAGTTTGTTTTTATTCGTAAGAATAAACTGCATAATTAAATGCGAAAATTAAATTAGTACACTAACATTTTCTCTTATTTATGCGCATTTTCCAACAAATAGTTTTATAATCAGAGTTATAGTTTTTTCTTAGATGATTTTGAATTATAAATTTTTAGTTATATTTTGCCATTCTATAAATGATTATGTATTTTAATAATAACGCATCTGAATTTAAGAATTTTCGTTTTATATTATTTTGTATATTTTTTGATTTATTTTGTTTATAATTCACACAAATAAAAATTACACATTACTGCTGAACTAGTAAAAATACTTATCAGCATTTAACCATATATTTTCTGGTAAATATGCCGTTAAATATGCTTGTTACATGTATGCCTGTGGTTTCAAGAGTACTTTTAAATAACTCATAAGAAGGAAAAGAAACATGCAAAATAAATTAATAATTGTTTAAAATAACTTCTAAATGTGCAAATCTGAAATGTTTTTGCAAAACTTTTGAAGACAATCTAAGACTATTAAAAAATGTTTTTAATAAATCTTAATCTCACCTCTGCATGTAGGACAACAGTCAAGTATAATGGGATATTCACAGTCAACTTTCGGACATTCTTTATTTCCACATGTAACATTACCATTTTGACAAGTGCATTCGTTGCAAGGATTTTGAGGATTGGCAAATACTTGCGATTCAGCGTAAATTGTATTATCAAACCAACAACCATCAGTGCATACAGAACAACAGCTTGTTTGAACTGGGTGAGAACAACGAACTGCTGGGCAACTTCTTTCAAAACAAGTAGTTCTTCCATCCTTTTTAAAACAAGATTTTGTGTAAAAATAATATGATAATGGAAAGAATATGCCACTTAATTTTATAACTATCTCTGAGTGTGAAATTTGTTTAGATGAAAGTTTTGAATTACACATGATGTGGGGTATCATAGATGTCTAGGGTTAACTAATGATTGTTAACTTTTTTCATCTATGATACCCCTGCCATTGTCGAAACATTGATTCGAATTTAATTCGATTATTCCGTGATAATGTAGTTTTTTGTATTCGCAAGTGTTGTCGGGGATGTGTTCCAATAAAACAACTGATCGTTTTTTGAATAGAGTTTTTAAGAGGGAGCAGTCGTCTAAACGGATCGTGCTTAGAATTCCGAAAACTGTTATTCTACAGTCGAATTTCCATTCGGATGGTGATGAACTTGTACTGGTTCCAGGTCGAGGCATTTTAGAAGGAAACTGGCACTGTTGGTGATGAAAAAGGATGAGATGATGCTGACTACATTAGATCCTTTCTGAGTTTGTTATTTTCGTTCGGAACGCACTGCCTTTTTATATTCATCTTCAAGGCTGTTTTCCTCTTCAGACAAGTCTCTCTTCCTCTTTGAGTCCCGCAGTGGACTGATCGTTAAGATACGGTTCCCATCAGATCACCGAAGTCAAGCATCACTGGCTGCGGTCAGTGTGCGGGTGGGTGACCACTTAGATCAGTCTGCGTAGGGACCGAGGGTGTGCGGTATTGATCCTCGTTAAACTGTNCTCGTTAAACTGTTCTGCCGTAAAGTGCTCGACTTCGCGTGCAGGTCGTCGGGCTGCCGAAGCGGGGGTGCCATCCCCTCTGCAGAGGATCAAAATTGTGATGGCACGTCTTCGGATCATCCTCAGCGATGTTTCCTAGACCTTCGCCAATAGTCCATTGTGCAGTTCTAGTGCGACGTAAATAAACTACAACTACAACAACATTTTCCTCCTTGAACAAGTGTTTTTCTAGAGCGCTCGACGTGATCCGTTGGTTTATTTTTAACTTTATTGATCTTGTCTGGGATGAACAAGTATCCTTCGGTTTAATTTAATAAGTGATATAATTGATATGGTTAGTTAATTCCGTAATTAATTACATTTTCTTAATTACTGAAATAAATCGATTGTCTGATCTGATTATTGATCTTGTCTGAGATGAACATGTATCCTTCGGTTTAATTTAATAAGTGATATAATTGATATGTGTAGTTAATTTCCTAATTAATTAAATTTTCTTAATTACTGAAATAAATCGATTTTTTCCTTAATTTAGAAAAGCCTGCTTGAACATCACTACCTCCTATCCTGCACGTTAGGGTAGGAGGGTGTATAGTGTATCTAGCTCTAATATGTATGACGTAAGATATGACGTTATGAGAATATTAAGCTAGTAACTAAGCCCTCCCTCCTCTCCTTCAGGGATAGAGCTAGTTACTCTATGCAACCTCCTTCCCTGAAGGGAGTGTGGAAAGTCTGTATACTAGATCTTCCCCTTAAAGGAAGGAGGGAGTATAGTATGTCTAACATAAGAACTCTTCCAAACATTCGTCTGGATCTGTGGCGGTGACCATGGTAACGAGGCATGATTATTTTAAGTAGGGGTGCTGGGTCACTGTTTTGGAGTGGTTCGGCAAGAGATAGGGAATCTCTTCGAATTATTGTGTTAGTCCTAGAGTGAAGCTACCTTCCCTAAAATGCGCCATTCCTGTTTCCATAGCACCAGACGGCTTCAGACTGTGTGGCAGAAGGAGTTCTTAGCTTAGACAAACAATACTGCTATACTAGAGAATCCTCTATTTATTAGATGTAATGGACTACCTATTCTCTCTCATACAGCCCCGCCTGTTCTCCCTATACCCCCCATTCACCCTCTATGTATCCCTATGTAATATAAGCTATAGGAACAAAGGAGGTTGACCTCCTTTGTTCTGTGTCTGAGTTTGAATATAGTTCAGAAGAAAGTTTTGAATTATACGTGGTTTATGGTATTATGGATGACTATAGTTAACTAATGATATTAACCCTTAAATGGGCCATTTATTTCTAGTCAGGGAAAATTGAAATATTTTTTTGAATCGAAATTGATAGAAGTAAAAAATTCCTTTAGCTTATTAGACAAAATTAATTCATATTTAAATGACATTTTTTAGTCGTAAGTATGATTATCACCACCTCTTAGGTGTTATAAAAAGTAGGAAACTTAATGACATTTATTTATTTTTATTCGTAAAATAAATTTTATGAATGCCACCAACGGAATTTTTGTTATAACTTTCATGAACTTTCTAAAACTGGCATATTGTTACCAATTTTATTCAAACCTACTTCATCAGAGGTAAAGTTATTTACAAATGGATGCCCAAATTAAAAGTGGTGAGCTAGTTTACAATGTGCTTTTAAAATTAAAACTTTTATTTCATTTATCGGTTATGTTTTATTCACTGGCAAATATTATTTTTTGATATTGAGTTATTGTAATTTTTATTATATATCGAGTTAAAAAAATAAATCAAATACGAAATAGAAAATATTTAGCTTCTAAATATTTTTAAAAAAAAGTTAAGGAAATTTTTGACATTTTTAAAACAACATTTTATTCACATTTAGATATTGTTCATAGATTTAAATAAATAAACATTACAAGATAAGACAATAAGACCAGAAGTATTATTTGTATTACCATAGTTATTATTTATCTTACCATGCAACTGCAAATTTCACATGCATTTTCTGGATGAGTAAAAACTGCTCCTGACTCATATGTATCTTCATAAAAGTAGCACTCTGCAATACGATAAGATTTTATTTTAATAAATTATTTTGAAAAAAAATAATAATAAATGAAACGAGATGGGATAGGATGAATTATATGAATAGAAGAATGAATTCCTTTAAATAAAAAACAATGTTTATTTTGATGATTTTTTTTCCTTTTACAGAGTAATTTTGTAGTGAAGTAGTTCTTTAATGTTTCACACAACAATGCTTTCATTATTAAAAAAAATAATACAAATGGCCGGCAGATGGCGTTTAACAGAATTTTTTATCTATGGTAACACTTGGCATGCTTACAGCAACATGTAGATAGATATAGGAGTATGAAGTATGTATGTTTCTATCTTGATTTTGAAACCGAATAAAAAAATTTTGTTTAGAGGCTATAGAAAAACTCAAAACTGTATTGTTCCTATTGGTGAAAATGGTTATTTTATAATCGACTTTGATCAGCTGACCCAATTCTAAGATTACGACTATCAATTCAATATATCTGTTCAATACCGTAGCTTTGTACTTTATTACCCAACACTGAAGACAAGAGATAGACATTGAGACAAACTAGCTTTCGTGGAGGTCTCTTTGTTGGAACTAACCCACATTTGCGTTACATAGAGTAGAAAGCCACGAAAACCTCCCACGGTTAGCTCAAGGGAAAGAGGATCGGGTGCAAGATTATTGTCAACCAGCCGCAGTTGGGATTCAAACTTAGGTAACCTCATTTGAAGGCGAACGTTCTATCCGCTGATCCACTAGAACTTTGAAAATAGGCATTTTATTTTATTTTATTACCGGCGTTGAGAAGTTGAGTTTACAACTATCAGTGTTCAACTCTGTAGATTTAAAATTTTTAACTCAATTGAGAAGGCCAGTGAACCCTTTGATTAAGCATTGAGAACTACCCATCTGGAAGACTTTCGTATGGAGCTAACCCACATTTGCGTTGTATGGGGAGGAAAAACATGAAAAGTTTGCCAGACTGCGAGGTGATTCTAACACATGATCGTTGCAAGTTAGGATCAGAATTCATATCAACCACTCATCGCTGAGATTCGAACCAGGATCACCTCATTGGGAGCTAAATGCTCTTTCCCCTGAGTTACCACGGTTCCAAAATCACCATTGGAGAAATTTTAAAATGAATTTTAATCACTCCTAAAATGAAAAGCATTGTGGAAGATTAAAAAAAAAAACAGAATTCATCATCGAAATGTCCTACATGCGGTGCTTAGCAGAATTCTTTACTTGACGTTATTTTTTGAAGCTCTGCCATCAAGGAAAATTTAAAAAAAGGCCACAGTTTAAGTGCTTTACACTTAAAGCAATGCGATGATTTTTAACCCTTTGACGGTCAGGGAAGTGAGCAGTTTTCGTTTCATTAATTCGCGCAGTATTACGAGCAAACAGTAGTCGAAAGTGGCAGCTGTTTTCCACCGCCGTTCTTCCGAAAATGTCACCCTTCTCCGGCGATGCCAACTGCTGTGCTCTCTGGAATTGTTATAATAAGGTGGTAGCAAATTATGTAGTAAATTTCGTTGGAGAAGGACAGTTACGCCTACTTTTTAATAGAGTAACTAGTAGACTGTTGCTTTAACGTTGCATTTTATATGATACTTATAGTTTTTGATATTTAGTGGTGAAAAAATTACTTAAAAGGAAAAACACTAAACTGAAAGTAACTTGACTTTCACTATCACTAGGAAATACTATTTTACAAAGCGGAGCATCTCTGGATGCGGTAGATAGCTCGCCTCAAGCGTTTTAAAAATTTCTTAAAGTACTCGTAGTACATAAATAACAGTTTTTACGTACTTCTCGTTTTTAACATAGCCAATGCAGAATAATAATGGCGAACGAGCTCAGCTCGACAGTGCGCATTGGGGAAAAATTTCACTACGCGAGTAGTGCTCGTTAATAACCATTACGGTCGAAATCTTGCTCCCGAGCGGAACTCGTTTGCGCGCATTATGAGGCACGATTCAATTGCGAGCAGAACTCGTTCATAACCGTCAAAGGGTTAAGCTATATGCATCATCCTGCCGTGAGGAATTTCCTGGGCTTTAGAATGGACACCTAGCACAAATATTTTAAAAGTTAAACTTTTTTAATTGCCAATTTGGTGACATTTTCCCTCCTAGATTAAAATATTCAAAATCACTGCCTTATTTTTAGTTTTTACAAATTTTTATGATCCCAAATACCATTGGAGTAAGCTTTTAAGTATTAAAAAATCAGACCACAAGCGCTTTTCATTTTCACATAACTGTGGCGATTCTCTATATGGACTTTTTGCACCTTTTTCAAAATAAGCATGGACATCTCTGGTTTTAGATAGGCTAAACTTGATCCAACTAATATGATTGATTGTTGCAAATTCACAGCAATTATAAAAATAGCTTATTATTCGCAAGGAAGCATCATTTCATAAGAGACTTCGAAAAACAGCCTCAAGGCAGCACTATCTAGCATGCTTTCAGCTTAAGCATGTGGTGAGTCATAGGAACTCTTGTTTCCGTCTTGATTTTGAAACAAATTTTAAAAAAAGTAAGCATTAAAAACTATATAGAACTCAAAATTATATAAAATATAAAACTTAACTACATATTTAATCCAATCTAAATGTGAAAAGTATTGTGCATGGTGAAAACAATGTAATACATTTACATACAACTAATTTAGTGGAAGGAACGAAAGAAGAGAAGATCCTAGACATGGAACCTTAGTTTGCCCCAAGAGAGGTATTCGAGATAACTATTTGGTATGTAATTTTAAAATTTAAAAAAAATGTCTCTACAATTTTCATTTCTTATATGTGTCAAAATGTAAAGATGGGAATAATCAAAAATGTAGAACCTGCATTTCTGATGTCACACATGTTGTTCTGGGTATCGAGACAATCATTATTAGAACACTCTGATAATTCGCAAATTGTATCTGGGTATTCGCAAAAACATTCGTTGCAAGGGTTGTCAGGATCTAGAAACCTTTCACCATTAGGATACAAACGGCCTTTAAAGAAGCACTCTGAAAATGAAAAATAATTTTCCATAAAAAATAACATTTTTCATTAAGGTAACTAGTAAATAGAGATGATAGTTTATGATTATAGTTATGCTCTCCAGAAATAAAACTCTCCCTTTTGACAATTCAGCAATTCTTGAGTAGTATTTCGTTCATTTTAAGAATCATTTCGTCACGAAATCACTCGATTTGTGACGAAACGCGAACTCTCAAATGTATGAGGAAATCGTTTCCTCAATTCGAAGACCTCACCATAATGCATTGTTAACTAGAATGACGAACCAAGAATAAATACTAGACAATCGAAAATAAACTGACAAATTACGCTGACCGGTTTGTACGGGGGTCAAGATGTTGTCCTTGTACCAAGAAGATGAGTTCAAATTCCTCTTCGGGTATGGGTGCAATTTATTTATCTGTCCTTGTGTTGTTTCATGTGCATGGTACACACGTTAAAGTGACTATTAAAAAGTTATATACATTAGGCAATACAAGTTATATACATTAGGCAATACAAGTTATATACATTAGGCAATACAAGATATATACATTAGGCAATACAAGTTATGTACATTAGGCAATTTTGGAAAAAAAAAGAAAGACGAAATATTTCCATTATTTTGACGAAATTCGTTTCCTGGAAGAAGTGACGATAGTTATTTTGTCACTTTGACGAAATTTTTGCTCGGAGCATACACCAAGAAACAGTTTCGTCAAAAAGGAGAGTTTTAGGATAATCGAGTATCCATTTTTTACAGTGTAATTAGCAAACAAATCGATTAGTTGATTAATTATATAAATATGATTCTTTTTTTAAGAAACTTTCTTATTGAATCAACTGGTATAAGTTCTTATCCCAGCAACAGTTGTTATTTTCGGAACATACCTTGTAAAAAGTTTTTTTTTTTGGAAACAAATATGTTACATACTGCTAAAAATGTCAATAAATCAATAAAAGTCACAGTAATTATTATTCCTCTAATTCTTTTATTTAAGAACAATAAAATAGATTCCTGAATCTATGTTTGTATAAGGTCAGTCAATAATAATTTTCATGTTAGATTAAAACGTATGACTTTTATATGCGTATGTATAGTGTGCGAAATAAAAAAGGAATTACTCTTTATAAGTCGGATTTTTATGCAATTACTTGAAATCTTAATTGTGTAAGACACAAAAATTAAATACACTAGCTAATTAATAAGAACGATAAATTAAATTGCAAAATTAAGTATATCACCTTCATAAGTATAAAAATTACTCACCTTCGCAAACTGGACAACATTGTCCTTCAATGTAAATAGGTTTCAAGCAGTCTGGGACCACAGAGCATGATTTCTGTTGGCATGATATTATTCCTGTTTGGCACTGGCATTCCCGACATGTGTTATGTGGATCATAAAATGTAGCATGATCAAGATAATTCTTTTCACCATAAGAACAACCTTCAAAAGTAAAACTTATTCTTAATAAGTTATAACTAGTAAAACAGAATATTCAGGGAGAAGAAAAGCCATTCCTTTACTAATTGACTATATTTGCCCTTAATTGTGGACACCATAGTCATTGACTACTGGTGATTCCAAATATGAACATGAAACCAATCGAACCCAAATGTGGACACTAAACAGATTGATTAATAGTCACCCCAATTACGGATACCTAACCGATTGAAAACTGCTGCCTTAAATTATGAAGACCAAAGTTATTCATTATTGATGCCCCTAATAATGTATACCTAACTCATTGACCCCCCGATTATAGATATAGATTTATTACTGATTGTCTGATTGTAGAATTATTTCTGATTGCACCAATTATGCAGATTTGGTCTATCATATCATGATGAACAAGATTTACAATAGAACTTGTATCCGAGAATACAAACTAGAACCCAAGTGGGCAATGTTCGCAGGCTGATAAGAGAATAGGAAGTGCAACGATTTTACGCGAGGACGTTGCAGGGGAAGGATGAATAGGTTTAATAACGTAGAATTGGCCAATATGATATACGTGTATGGTGTTGCAAATGGAATTGGACGAACAGTGGAACAGATCTATTTTAGGACCCAAACAGACTTCAACCAAGTCATGCTTGTTTGGAAAATTATTTCGCAGATAGCATAAGCCTGGAATTTTCCAGGTTTCGATGTGACATCGGTTGAGAGCCCACTACACACACACATGTAGTAGAAAAAGCTGTATCACAGTAATTTGAGAAAAAACCCGGACACAATCCTCCGAGCAATCGAACAGGTCTTGGGCAATCTGCACATACTGTACGAGGACTTGCCACACCCCTACCACGTCCAAAGAATGCACTGTGTGAGGACAATTATCTTTAACTAGTTGTATTCGCACGATGGTATTGGCAAAAATGGATCGCAAGTCAGATTTTCAATCGTGGATTTTGTTCACTGATTAAGCATCTTTTACATGGGACGGTGTTCTGAGCCCGCATAACATACACGTGTAGGTGCATGAAAACCCGACGTGTATACGTGCCAATACAACTTAACAACGCTACCCAATAAAAGTTTGGGCCTAAATTATACGTGGCATGTTACCTGCTACTCTAACGCCTAGACGGGAATACCTATACTTTTTTAGAAGGAGTGTTGCCGGATCTGATAGTTAGCATTCCAGTTACAACACGCCAAAACATGTGGTTTCAGCATATTGGAGCACCTGCACATTTTAGTAACACTGTGTGGGAATACCTGGATAGGACATATCCTGATGACTGGATTGACAAGGGTGAATCAGTCACATGGCCACCGTGATCCTCTGGCCAAATTTCCCCGGATTTTTACCATGGTGTACGAGACGCGAGTAACATTGGACACGGATCTCATTTCCAGGATCGGAGAAGCTGCAGCACGTGTCCGTGACACACCTGTCCATTTTAAACGGCTCCATGAATCTATGCTTCGAGGTTGTGAAGCTTGCATTGTTGCAAATGGAATGAATTTTGAACATTTTCTATAGTTTAATAAAAGTCATATTAACACCTCTTTCGACTTCGTTTCTTACTCTTCCTTTACGCCAGTGAGCATTGTTTACACAGTTTACATTTTAGGATTCAAGTTCCTATGTATATCTTGCTTATCATGATATGACAGACCAGCACATTAAGTTTGACAACTATCTCCTGTGACATCCTGTAGATTTATTATTTATGTCCTGAATTCTGGACACCAAACACATTGACAATTGGTGTTAACAATTATGGACAGCAAGCTCATGGACTCATTGTGCCGGTGCTACTAACTATTGAACTGGTTTTACCTTTTTGGAATGATGGAATTTACATTATAAATATTTTTAATATAATTTGTTTGACACTTGCATGCCATATTTTTAAAAAAATCCTACAAATAGCAAAATTCAAAACAAATTAGCTTTCAGTTGTTTTAAAATTACTTCAAATAAGTGTGGCTTAAACTTTTCGAAATTTTTGCATTCAAAAATAGTATTTCGATTGTTAGGAACTCTATGAAATTGATACACCTATTAAATAACAATTTTTGATAAAGCATAGATCCTTTAAAAATGGAATATTAATTTTTCTTGGTCACTAGATTGAATAAAGCAAAAATATTGCAGCTTCCAGCCTTTCGTCCTAAGAGGATTAAAAATTATGTTTTAAAACCTTTTTAAAAAGTATTGTCACTTAGGTAAAATGGAGACTTAGGTCCATAATGACGTTTTAGCTAACGTCACACTAGAGATAGGACTAAATTGCATTGTCCATTAAAATTTCATGACAAGGTGGATTTTAGCCGAGCATACAAGACGTTGCGTAAAGAAACGTTATAATGACCCAGATTTAAGATTATTTTCACCTTAAGACTAGCTTTATTCAAAGATTTTCAAACGCTTGAAAACCCTAAGACAACCTCGATTTAAGGTTTTTATGTAAAAGGTTTTTTTTAAGGTTTTGGATTAGAGTAATGTGCGTAGAATAGAGTAGATTGTCACAAATCTCGATTTAAGATTCGAAGGTTTACACATAAACTGCATAAAAAAGTGTTTTAGGTTTACATTAAAAGGCTTTTGCTGAGTGAAAATAAACCTTATTTTGTTATCTGGGATATGTTTACCTTCGCATGATTCACAGCAGTGTCCCAATTGTGGATTTGAGCATTCCGTATTCAAACAAAGAACAGGATGACAGCTAAACACTCCATCAACACAAACACATTCACTGCAAGGATTTTCAGGATCTAATACATTCTCCCATGCATCATATGTTTTACCTAGATGATGACATTTGACTTCAGGACTGCATATTGGACAGCACATTCCTTCTAAATTCTCTGGATGCATGCAAGGTAGGGGATCGCAGACAATTGTATCACATGATACAGAACCATTCTAAATAGAATAATAATTACAAGATAATAATAATTAATAATGGATAATAATAATAGAATAATAATTAATTCGCAATGAAATTCAAAACATATTTTATTAAAAAATATTTGATGTAACCAGATTTTATACGTTTATCATTAATGAATAGGATATCACCTATGCTATATACTACAACTCTAATGTACATTGAGCAAAATAAAAAGTGGAATTCCCTGATTAACACCGGATTTGACCGGATTTTCACTTACATTCCCTGTCGAAAATATTAGACGCACTATACGATTCAATGTAAAATTGTAATTATCAGTTGATAATATACAGTTTTCACGTGATTCGAACGAGTGACGACAACACAATAAAAAAGATACTGCTTTTTAGACCCACTGGAAAAAGAAAGCGGGGATGGCCGCGGTTGAGATGGGCTGACTCAGTGGAGTCTGATTTTCTCGCAATTAATGAAAAAAATTGGAGATCAAAGATAAATCGGAAGTTTTTTTATTTTATTTCCAATGAGCTGCACAAGTGCGCACACATGAGCAGACCTAGTGCGTTCTCCAGAAGTGGCATCCACTCTTTCAAGACCACCACAAAGGGTGAGATACCGTTGGCCATGTAAATTTGGACGTCTACTGTCTGCCACACTAGATGTCAGCACCGAGACTCTTACTTGGATGCTAAAGTGCACTAGGAATTTAATTTTGCTGGAAATGCCAAGAGTAAATCGGAAGTCGTCATGGAGAAATTTTCAGAGGAAGGCATTGGCTCACATTGGGCTCTCTGGCCAACTATGATGATGATGAATATATAGTTTTATTGATTTTAAGCTGTTGAAACCGGTTTGCACTTGCTTACGTTCTTGTATTAATTGGTTAACATTGTAATGCAATATGCTAAAAATAAATACAAATAGGAAGTATATAAAAAATCTCCTGAATAAAACCTCATTACATGTATGTTTAAATATAAAGTATTGCATATAAGCTCGTGCTAGATGTAATTAATAAAAAACTACAGTGTATCCCATAGTTTGATCTACTTATTATAATATAATAATATAATACCCAATGTAATAAATATTATATATTTATATAACATATCACCTAATTTATCCAAACGTCGAATTTATATTGCATATCACCTAATTTAACCGATTGATACACGAAAGCAAACAAGTGCAAACCGGTTTGAGCCGAGTAAAAACAATAAAGCTGTATATTATCCCCTGATAATTGAGATTTTACATAGAATCTTATAGTGCGTCGAATAATTTGGCTAAGGGCTGTATTTTTAGAGTACATACCAAAAGGAGTCAAAATCAGATGCACATTTCTGAGTCTTAGATGTTTCATAGAAAAGAAAATCAAAATCTAACGAACACTATTTAGGACATTCATCAACATTTTTGGTTGCCAAAAGAAATTCAGAAGAAGCGAAAATCTATTTCTAGAAATACCCCCAATTTTAGTCTTTCGAGTAAACAGACCTTCAAGCTTACCCGTTTTGCTTCGGCAGTTCATAGTATACTAAAAAATGGAACGATGCAAAGGAGATTAGCATGGCCCCTACGCATGGATGATACGCATATTCAAGAAACAAACCTCCTTTTTATGAAACGCGATGGCACAGTGTTCGAGTGCATCCTGAAATCCTGTGCATCCTGTCATCCTGAAGGATATAGGTTGTCTTCCTGGTAATGGCGTGTAGTCCAGGTATAGTTTGTCTATATAAAGAACTCAGGAGATAGAGTGCTTGCCTCTCAATGAGGTAACCCGGGTTCGATCCCAGCTATAGCTCGTCGATTTGAATTCCACACCCGGTTCGCACTGATCACAGTGCTGACGTAAAATATCGTCAGAGGTAGACGGATCATGGGTTAGAGTTAACCATGAAAGGTTTTCGTGGTTCTCCTCTCCATATAACGCAAATGCTGGTTAGTTGCATCAAAAACTCTTCCATGAAAGCTAGTTTCTCTCAATTCTTGATCCAGGAGTTCCCTTGTCCTCTGCAGTGTGTTCAAAATTACAAGCCTACGGAGTTGAACATTAGCAGCCATAAACCACAAATTTGGCCTGCTGTTCAGCAACGGTTATAAAATAAAAAATAAATTACACAAAGAATTTCTTTTCCCACCATCTGCAACTACTGAAACAAGAAAATAGCGCTTTTCAAAGTGGGGAGCTGCTCTCTCCCGTAATTCTTTAGTCTCGCCGATCTGAGCTAAATTCTCTCTTAAATATTGACCCAACTACGTGAAATAGCTAAACCTTGTATCCATGATTACCATCACCACCCCAGATGAATGGCGAGGGGAGTTATTTGCATAGACAAACTATAGATCAAATCTGTGGGTGCCAGTTTCTTTGGGAAGAAAAAGCAACCGGTACACAATGCTGACCTTGTTGCCCCCATCATACTCTTGGTTTTGAAATTAAAAAACATTATTCAAGATCTCCTTGACCGACAAATTTTTGTCTTAATAGTTATTTGCCAGATTTTGATAACGTTTTCTTTTTTATAAGCTTAAACAGTGATTTGCAAAATCTAATGCGAAAATAATGATTAAGGATTCTAAAAGGTATATTAAGGGTGGTGATTATGGAACGTCCTATATTTGACTATCTCACATATCACGAATATTCCCTCGACAAAAATTCATTTGATTCTGCATGACACCTATTTATGGACTTAATATGATCATATAAAGTTAATTTTCGATAATCTAGTATACAAAATGCAAATGAAAATATTTTATCACTTGAGCCTGCATGACACCTATTTATGGACTTAATACTATCATATAAAGTTAATTTTCGATAATCTAGTATACAAAATGTAAATAAAAATTCTTGATCATTTGAACCTGCATGACACCTACTCATGGACTTAATATGATCATATAAAGTTAATTTTCGATAATCTAGTATATAAAATGCAAATAAAAATACTTGATCATTTGAACCTGCATGACATCAATTTATGAACTTAATATGATCATATAAAATTAATTTTTGATAATCCAGTATGCAAAATGCAAATAAAAATACTTGATCATTTGAACCTGCATGACACCTATTTATGGATATAATATGATCATATAAAGTTAGTTTTTGATAATCTAGTATACAAAATGCAAATAAAAATACTTGATAAAACTATTGATGAATATTAGTTTTTAATACCTGACATTTACAGATTTGGCACGGATCGTCTTCATGAGTAAATTCTTGCCCATTTCTATACAATCTATGAGTAAATTGACAATGGTCACATTCAGGACAACATACCCCGAATGGGGCAGCTGGATGTAAACAAGATGTAGGTGGACAGCTAGCAGGTTGGCATCGTATAATTGAATCCTATAGGAAAAAACTGATAATTATATACATATACAGAAATATTTTGACGTCAAGCATGCGACTTAAATTATAAATTTCAATAATCTGGGTACAAATTAATCTGTATTTTTTACTTCCTATCTTATTAGTATTTTTTGTTTGATGTTCACCTTTTTTTTTGTTTAGTAATAACCCTGGAAGAACAGTTTTCTGATCCAAATTGCTGCACCATCTTCATAAATTAAAATTTATCTGCTCCCAAAACGCAAACAAATTTAGATTACTATTGTAAAATTTAGACTCACCTAAACTTACAGCAAAATTTGAGTTTGTAGATAGTAGATAAAAATTAAATGCATGTTTAAATTTAATTTGAAATTTTTATAATAAGGCTTAAAAGAAATATTTAATGAAATCGTAATTATCATCAATATAACTAATGAGGTATCTCATTGGTATCTAGCTCTAGTTGATACAATAAATAACTCTAAGATACATAACTCCAAATAAAACTGTTTCAGGCTATCATTGGAATATTTTGGCTTATTAAAAAATTAATAGCGGAATTTGCACTTGTAAACATAGGATTGATAAAAAAAACATATAGACTTTTTTAAGTTTAATTTGAAACTTACACAATAATACTTTAAAAAAAATAAGAAAAATAAATAATAATAAGGCTTAAAAGAAAGATTTAATGAAATCGTAATGATCATCAATATAACTAAAGAGGAAAGCATTGGTATCAAGCTCAAGTTGATACAATAAATATCTCTAAGATACATAACAACAAATAAAACTGTTTCAGGCTATCATTGGAATATTTTGGCTTATTCAAAAATGCACATGCGGAATTTGCACTTGTAAACATAGGATTGAAAAAAAAATGTGTAGGCATTTTTAAATTTAATTTGTAACTTGCACAATAATACTTAAAAATATTAAATAAGCCCATAATTAGAGTTTCTAAATATTAAATGAGGTTTCTCTAAATATAAAATGAAATCAAAATATGATACTAATTTATCAGATTCAAAACTGAAACATGTGTAGCAATTTGAAGTTTGGGTAAAAAAATTTAATATTTTTTCTCCCTTTTTAAAAATTTTAAATGGGTTTTTATATTGAGTATGCAATAATGTTTCTCTTTGTTGCAGTACAGTTGCTCCTGGCTCCTGCGCCAGTAAACTATTTAATAATAAAAATCATAGTTATTTTAAAAATATAGGACAGCAATGTTATGAATTTAATACAAGGTAATTCATTCACTCAAAGCAGGTATACATTATTTTAAATAATTTTCGTCTATATATTCTTCAATTACTATTATTTAATATCCAAACTTTTGATGAAACTGAACTTTAAATAAACACTATTTAAATAAATATTATAATAGCACTAACAGTTCTTTAATTACGTTGCTCTAGAGCTGCTTAATACGCCATTAGCGACATCTGGGAAACATCCTTGAGAATGATCCAAAGGCGTACCATCATAATTTTGATCCTCTGCGGAGGAGATGAACCACCCGTTATGGTAGTCCGACGAACTGCATGCAAAATCGAGCATTTTACGGCAGAATAGTTTAATGAGGGCCGATACTGCTTACCCTTGGTCGCTTCGCAGGCTGATCAAAATGATCACCCACCTGCTCACTGACCGACAGCGAGTGATACCGGATTTCGTTGACCTACTGGGAGCCATATCATACAATCAGACCACTGTCTCCCATGTAATGCCCCTACTGACCCCCATGTGACTAGAGTTCGAATTCCAGAGGTGGCTGTTCGATACGAATTTCACGCACGGCTGCGTGACGGTACTGACGTAAAATATCCCCTGTGGTAGACGGATAATGAGTTAGATTCGCCTGTCGTCAGACTAGCTGTAGAAGGGTTTCGTGGTTTTCGTCTCAGTGTAGCGCAAATGCCGGTTAGTTCCCTCAAAAAATCCTCAAGAATACAAAGTTCTTCGAATACTTGATCCAGGAATTCCTTTGTCATCTGGATTGGATTCAAAATTGCAAGGCTATAGAGTTGAACATTGGTAGTCGTAAACTCAGAATTGGGTCCGCAGTTCAGCAACGGTTGAAATAAATAAATAAAACAGTCCACTATGGGACATAAATATAATAGAATTTTGATATAGAAAATGGAAATACTATATTATATAAATTTAACCTTAATTTAATATTAATTTAATCTTAATCTATATTATATTAAGTCTATATTAGTTTAATCTCAATCTATATTATATAAAGTCTATATTAATTTAATCTTTCGAATTGAGAACTCACCTTACAAGTACAGACGTCACATTTATTTTCAAAGGATACCCACACTTCGCCTTCATTGTGAACTTTATTATTGTCTTTTGAGTCCATGCAGTAGTCAACGCATTCTTCACAGCATGTATTTTCTAATCGAACAGGATTTAAACAGTTGAGTTGAGGACAAGGCTGCTTATAACATCTGATGTTGCCATTCTAACATAAAATAAAAATTACAATAGGAATTACACAAAGCTGCTCATTTAACTACTCTAAAGCAAAATAAAAATTCCAATAGGGCATATACAAGGTTACTCACATTACCATTCTGTCACACAAAAAAAATCCGAGTAGAACTAATGTTGGGTTTACACAAGATTGATTAAATTAAGAGCTCATACAAAGCTACTCACATTATCATTCCAACATAAAATAAAAATCTCTATGCGCCTTACACTGTTAGAATATTCTTTTTGAAATTACTGTAAAATAACCGGCAGTATTCTATTTATCTAATTAACCGTAAATATTACGGTTAGGAACATTTCTTTACCTTTACGGGTATGAAACCGTTTATAATTGTTATGGTGAAAAAACTGAAAAAAATTGAATTTCAGCTGGACACTGGAGTTAGATTATTTTCGGCTTTTCATTAGATAATGGATATTGTAGTTAGGTTGCGGTTTAATTGTGTTTTGTGATGTGAAACGTGGAATGTGGTTTTGTTAATTTAGTAGTGTCATCTATCGTATGAGATGGAAAGTACTAGACTTTTGTTATCTATGTGCGAATGAAAATTTCGGTTTTAATAGTCTATGGTTGGTCACCAATTGTGGAGCGCAGGACTCAGAAAACTCCACATATGTTGATGAAATACTGTGGTGCCATAGCTGGGATTTGGCTTACAGCCGGGCATGAGATTGCTAGTTAGTCCCCCTCTACTAAATTATGTACCCAGCTGTAAGGAAAGAAGTGGCTTTATAACAAGCACACTACATGCATATTACTATAAAATTATTAAACATCCAACGATGGAAAATAAAAATATGAAAATGTAATTTAACTCTTTTTCGCAGAAATTTCTAACAGTGTATAAAATACTCCCGGCATTACTATTCTAAGATAAAATAAAAACCACAACAGGACGTAATACAAAATTGCTCCGCAACGCTAACATTTTAACATAAAATATAAATCACAATCGTACATATGTAACGCTACTCACATTGCCATATGTATATAAAATAAGAATTTCAATTGGACTTATATAGATGTTTAAATTAGAAGAAGACGTTTCAGAATTGAATTTTAAATGTGTAGAAATTGCTCTTTTTATTTAATTTACAACGCAATTTATTTATTTTTATAGTATTTTTTAATTTCCTATTAATTGCACATTATTGATTTGTATTGTTGTAATATCTTATTTCTGTAATGATAGTTCTTATTATACAAATTTATATTCATGTAAAAAGGAAATTAAAAAATATGCGGGCCGTAAGCTAACATTGAAGCAAAGGAAAAACTTTTCGAAAATTGGGAATGGTTTGATTGGAAAGTCATTGATTGATGAAGAAGTTGAGGTCTAAAACATCAAAACCTGTTTGGTTGCCGGAAGAAATTTTGAAAGGTCTGTCATTTAAAAACTTTCAATTTTTCAGCATTTTAACTGGTTTTGATAATTTTAGACCCACATTCTCAATAGTTGTTCGTAAGATTGCGATAACGCTCTTGTCTTCCTCGGTTAAATAATAATTGCTAAATGTGTAAATCTATATATATATATGTATAGATATAGATAGATAAATAGATAGATAGAAATAAAAAAGAAATCAAAAATCATATATAAAGCAGTTAAAAACTATGATTCCAAAGGAAAGTTGCGAAATGAAGCAGAAATTCCATAAGAAAATTGAAACCAATAGAAAATTTCAAAGAAGAAACAATAAAAATAATATGAAAATGACAACCTCAGCTGACGTCGTCAGGTTGTGCCAGCCCCTGAAGTTATAAAAATGCAAAACCTTTTCCATCGAGAGAGCAAAGGTTTTGCCAAAGACCAAACGGACTTTGGCAAAACCTTTGGGGTGCAGAGAGAGCAAATTTTAAACATTTGTCGAGCTCTCTCGATAGAAAAGGTTTTGCCTTTTTATGACTTCCTGGTACCCACTGGCGACGTCAGCTACGGAATCTCATTCTTATATTATTTTCTTCTTTAAAACTTTCTATAGCTAGATTGATAGATTAACACGTGGAATGCCACGCTAATTTTACATAACTTGCTCGTCTTGCAAAACGGTAAATAACTACAAACTAAATTTGAAAATATTAGACAATTGGCTAGTTTTTTAAAAGGTTTAGCCTGACATATTTGAAAAAAGTGGTGAAATATATATAAACCTACGACTTGTTTAGAAATAGTGGAGGATAAAAATCTACTAAATTGAATTTATTAAACCAAGAATCACAATTAAGAAACTACCACTTGAAAACATTTATTCGCTTTCATCTCTGTGTATATAAATAAAACTATTTCTGAGTGTTCTATATTGCATTAATTTCTCCAAACTATTTTAGTAACGATAATAATATAAAAAAATTAATTCGAATTATGTGCTTTCAACACTCCTAGCTTCACCGGTCACCCCCATGGCATTCAACGTGTTAATAACAAAACTCAAGCCTTTTTTACACATACAGATGGTACAGCGCGAACGCAGTCCCAACTAACAAAAATTTTGCACACTAACCAACCACAATACGTGGAATTAGCGAGCGCTGATCTCTTGCAGTGCAATAAGAGACCTGTGCTCGGAGGAGCCTCCTTGATGATCAAGACTTGCCCGGTGCCAGGTAGGTATGCGAAAATTCAAATTGACAGAATATTAGAGAGCAACAATATATTTTTTAAATTGGTAGATAATAACAACGTTTATTTTTAAATTTTTGTGGGCAATATTAATGAAAGCAATCATTCATATCACAAGAACGAAAAATATTAATAAGTCAGACGTGGATAAAAATCGTGTTAAAAATACAATTCAAACCCTTCTTGACCACGCTCTGAAAAATTAAGAAGCCTTTTTTTTACATACAAATGGGACAGCGAAAGCGCAGTCCCAACTACCAACAATTTTGCAGCCTAAACAACCACAATTCGTGGAAGTAGCAATTGAATTTATTAAACCAAGAATCACAATGATGAAACTACCACTTGAAAGTATTTATGCGCTATCCAGAGCAAGTTAGACTATTTGTGTAAATAAATAAACTATTTTCGTGTGTTCTATATTGCATTAATTTCTTCAAATCATTTTAGTAATGATAATAACATTTAAAAAATTAAAAATTTATTCGAATTTTATGCTTATAACAATCTTCGCTTCACATGTCACCCCCAAGGAGTTCAACGTGTTAAAAACAAAATTCATATCCTTTTTTGACCGCGCTCTGAGAAATTATGAAGTCTTTTTTTTTTTACATACAAATGGGACAGCGCAAACGCAGTCCCAACTACCAAAAATTTTGCACCCTAAACAACCACAATTCGTGGAAGTAGCGAGCGTTGATCTCTTGCAGTGCAATAAGAGACCTGTGCTCGGAGGAGCCTCCTTGATGATCAAGGCTTGCCCGGTGCCAGGTAAGTATGCGAAAATTCAAATTGACAGAATATTAGAGAGCAACAATATATTTTTTAAATTGGTAGATCATAACAACGTTTATTTTTCAATTTTTGTGGGCAATATCAATGAAAGCAATCATTCATATCACAAGAATAAAAAATATTGATAAGTCAGACGTGGATTAAAATCAACTAAATTGAATTTATTAAACCAAGAATCACAATTATGAAACTACCACTTGAAAATATTTATGCGCTGTCCGGAGCATGTTAGACTCTCTGTGTAGATAAATAAAACTATTTTCGTGTGTTCTATATTGCATTAATTTCTTCAAATCATTTTAGTAATGATAATAATATTTAAAAAATTAAAAATTTATTCGAATTTTGTGCTTATAGCAATCTTAGCTTCACATGTCATCCCCAAGGCGTTCAACGTGTTAAAAACAAAATTCAAATCCTTTTTGACCACGCTCTGAGAAATTATGAAGCCTTTTTTTTTTACATACAAATGGGACAGCGCAAACGCACCCTAAACAACCACAATTCGTGGAAGTAGCGAGCGTTGATCTCTTGCAGTGCAATAAGAGACCTGTGCTCGGAGGAGCCCCCTTGATGATCAAGGCTTGCCCGGTGCCAGGAAAGTATGCGAAAATTCAAATTGACAGAATATTAGAGAGCAACAATATATTTTTTAAATTGGTAGATCATGACAACGTTTGTTTTTCAATTTTTGTGGGCAATATCAATGAAAGCAATCATTCATATCACAAGAACGAAAAATATTGATAAGTCAGACGTGGATTAAAATCAACTAAATTGAATTTATTAAACCAAGAATCACAATTATGAAACTACCACTTGAAATTATTTATGCGCAATCCAGAGCAAGATAGATTCTCTGTGTATATAAATAAAACTATTTTCGTGTGTTCTATATTGCATTAATTTCTTCAAATAATTTTAGTAATGATAATAATATTAAAAAAATTTTAAATTTATTCGAATTATGTGCTCATAACAATCTTAGCCTCACATGTCACCCTCATGGCGTTCAACGTGTTAAAAACAAAATTCAAATCCCTTTTTCTTTACATACAAATGGGACAGCGCAAACGCTGTCCCAACTACCTAAAAATTTGCATCCTAAACAACCACAATTCGTGGAAGTTGCGAGCGTTGATCTCTTGCAGTGCAATAAGAGACCTGTGCTCGAAGGAGCCTCCTTGATGATCAAGGATTGCCAGGTAAGTATGCGAAACTTCTAATTGACAGAATATTAGAGAGCAATATTATATTTTTTAAATTGGTACATCATAATAACGTTTATTTTTCAATTTTTGTGGGCAATATCAATGAAAGCAATCATTCATATCACAAGAACGAAAAATATTGATAGGTCAGGCGTGGATAAAAATCTACTAAATTGAATTTATTAAACCAAGAATCACAATTATGAAACTACCACTTGAAAATATTTATGCGCTGTCCGGAGCAAGTTAGACCAACGCCTCCTATAACTGAAAGCCTCCACACGGTTTTTTTCCAGGTAGTCCGATCTGACCACTGTGAGGGATATCCACTTACCGAACGAGTCATTTAATACAGAATATAGTTAAAATAAGAAAGTGGTAGCAAATATATGACTAAAAATTTATTTTATTTATGAATATTAGTGGTTTGCCTAATTCATTTGTCAACCTCTACAGATTCTATTGTCAAATATATAAAATAAATTTCTGTCAATTACTTTTATAAAAGGTTTTGGGTTCATGCGCAAAACTGGTTCACTTTTTAAACAGTCTGCGCGAACTACTTATAAAAGACCGTGTGGAGGCTTCTTGATGTAGGAGGTGATGGTTAGACTCTCTGTGTATATAAATAAAACTATCTTCGTGAGTTCTATACCTGCATTAATTTCTTCAAATCATTTTACTAATGATAATAATATTTAAAAAATTAAAAATTTATTCGAACTATGTGTTTCTAGAAATATTGGCTTCTCCGGTCACCGGTGACCCCCGTGGGATTTAATGTGTTTAAAATCTTTCATAAACTTTAAAATGTAACAAAGTTTTATCAAGAACAATTATTATTTTTATTTACTTACAAGACACTCACACATGAGGCATGGCTCATCTGAGTTAGGTATGATACGTTCTTTATTTTTCATAGTTCTTCCTTCATAGAAACAACCTAATTTTACAAATTAATAAAATTGTAAATGCACGACATATTAGAAAAAACATTTAGGAAAGAAAGAATATGAGACAATTTTATTTTTTAGCTGAAAATTGCAATAATGTATAAAATTATCAATTAACTATTGTTTCAAAATGTGGTCCCAAAGTGGGAATGGATCGTAAAGACACGGTTCGCATTAGAAAACCAAATTAAGCAGCACTGGTTGAGGTCAGTAAGCGAGTGGGTGACCACTTTGATCAGCCTGCGTAAGGACCGAGGGTGCGCGGTATCGGTTCTCGTTAAACTGTTCTACCGTAAAGTGCTCGACTTCGCTCGCAGGTTATCGGACTACCAAAGCAGGGGAGCCGTCCAACACCTCTTAGAAGAACGAAGGCCTCAGCGCGCATCAATTTAGTAGTCCGATGTGACGAACATAAACTGCGCTGTCGATGAAAAAGAAGAAGATGCCACTACGTTTGGGCTACTAAGTTGCGCAGTAGTGGAAAATACGAAAGATGTCATTACGTTTGGACTACTAAAGGATGAAATTTCTTATTTATGGTAACCCGTGCTAAGGCGTTCTCTTTTCTAGGAGGTATTGAGCCGTCCCCTCTGCAAAGGATCAAAATTGCAATGGCATGTCTTTGGATCATCCTCAGGGATGTTTCCCAGACTGACGCCAATAGCCCATTGAGCAGCTCTAGTGTGACATAAATAAAGTACCTACCTTCAAAATATGAAAAATCAGATATAAATATTGAGATCTAAGCGATCTCACTATCTATAATTTAACACATGCAATAAAAGAACACAAACACTATAAGCATTTCACTAACTAGGCTTTCCTTGAATTTTAATTGTTTTTTCTTCTGATGGCAGGCATTGAACTCTCGTTCTTTCGGAAGATGCCGTAAGTGTGGCTTTTAAGTGTGCCGTAAGTGTGGCTGTCCGTTGGGCACAACCTTAGTCACGGAAACGAGCAACATTACCCACGCCATGCAGTCCAAACACCAGGTCATAGGACGCAGCACATTCACACAACAGAGGACAACACCATACCTACCAACTTTTAATTCCTTCAATTATGATTTTTCCCAGTGGTATTAAAACGGAATTAAAATTTCAATTTTAAACAACGAAATACGTTGTAATTGAAAAACATTGAGCTGAAATAGTTGAGAGTAACGCATAATAATATATATGCGTAAGTTTTTTTAAAAATAGTGGTGATCAAAATCATTTAAAAAATAAGTTTATAAAAGAAAATATAGCATATATTTACTACCACTTTAAATGTAAAAATAAAATTTTGCGCCAAATGCGTAAAAGTTGGCAGGTATGCAACACGCAGAGAGAAACGTCCACATTCTACGTTGGATTTGAATCCGCAAGCATTGGCTTCGCAGTCAAGCACCCTAACCGCTCGGCCTCTTGACCGAAAATTTTAGTTACAATTGCATCCCTGCCAACTTTTAATCCATTCGAGGTTGATTTTTCTCAGTGGTAGTAAAATGGAAACTGAATTACAATATTCGGCAGAAAAATGCGTTGTATTTTGAAAAAGCTTAAACAGACAACCATGATAATATCACATATTTATATATATGTTTTATTGTTTTAAGAATAGTGGTGGTTAAAATCATTGAAAATTAAGTTTATAAAAGTAAGGATAGCATACATTTACTACCACTTTAAATATAAAAATAACGTTTTACGCAAAAACCGTAAAAGTTGGCAGGTATGTAATTGTAGTTACACATTGAGGATTGCATCTAGTAACGACTCTTGATATCTTTGCAGCATTCTGAGTAGCATAACTGCGCAATGACCTTTCGAAATGGTATCTTTCAAAACAAGGTCAAATAAGCATTGTGATCTAAAATGAAACCATTGCTGCTGTTTATGAAATGAACAACGAAGTAATTGAAGAATTACAACTCTTGTTATTTGTGGAGCATTTAGAGAGAAGGAACAGGGCAATCATCGTCAGAAGTTTTCTCTTTAGTTACCCTTCGAACAAAAATCCATTTTTGGTAACTACAGTCGAACCCCTCTTTAATGAACATGGAATATTATGAATACTTGGTTGTAATGAACATTTTGAGTGGCCCCTTCCGAATTTCCATTTAACTAATGTTATTTTGTACGCTTATTATGGACAGCTAAATAATTGGAAGTACGTTTATAATGAACTTTAATTTCATTTCTACAGTTCTTTTTAATTTCCCCAATTTTAAATTTGCATCAGATGCAATTGCAAATAACGGCATTTCGTAACATTTTGTCAAATCTTACTCTAGCACGCTCGTCGCTTATAAACTAGGGTGGACAAGTTGTTAAATAGCCCATTCACCCCTCTAAGATAAAGAAATAAAAAAAAGATATGTTAGCAACTTTTGTCTCAGAAGTGAAATTGATATTAAAAGACCTATTTTTTTTCACTGAAAGAAATGAAGGCTAGAAAATATTTAATTCCTAACTAAATGTTGATACGGAAATTGGTAAACTCATCCTAAAATCAAACTATAGTTAATCGAAAGGTACTAATTTTTTCTATAGAATGTAAAATTTAATTTATAAAATATTTCTTTAATATTCGATGTATTATTTATTTAATTGGTAAATAATTTATAAACAAATATGTACTATGGTAATCAATTTTTCCAGCAATACTGCTGTCATTGGCTAAATAATAATTTTTAAATGATTTGGATATAGTGAACCCCCGTTTATGGTTAACTTATTTCTGGATCCGCAGACAGTACACTATAACGGGGTTTGACTGTATTTAAAAGCCTTGATCAATTAGAGATGAAAATCAAAACATGAAATTTTGATCTTTTTGTTGGATATTTTAAGGGATTTTAATCATCATATGTCGCATCAGATGTTTATTATCACTTAATTTCAAAGACAATTTTTTAAAATTTAATTTTAGTAACATTTTTGTCACTTACCATCACATACTGGACAACATTGATCGGGTAGTTTTACAGGGTCACTACATTGAGGATTGCATCGATCATCACGCCTTTCACAGCTAACAGCTCCTTTCTAAAAGACAAAAATTCAATGTATTTCCATTTTTTTTGCATAAATTTTTTGTTAGTTCAAAAGATTATTAGTTAATTAATGATTTTTAATAATTTGAGAAATAACAAAATTAATTCTGATGCCAAACCATTGATTAATAAGTGCACAATAAAACATAACAAAGATTAGTCAACTGAAATGGCTATCAAATTATTTAAAAATCTCGACGTAAACGAAAATTATTTATTTCCCTCATTCATTAAGCATTCAATAATATCATATACTTGCCTTATTTTCTTCAAAATCATGCAAATAGCTTGCATTTTCTTAATCTATAGGACACCATCTGGATGTTAAATACTCCTGAAACCTGAAAATTTAACAGAAATGTATGAATACTTTTTGTATGAGTGTTCTATATATGAAAATATATAATTAGCACGTGTAACATCCAGATAGCTGAATCATAGGCTAAGAAAAAGCTTTTTATGCTATTTACACTTTATTTAGAATTAGAGGAATTAGAAAAGAAAATTGTTGGCTTATTTCGATGCTTATAGGTTTCTATTTCTTTAATTTCTAAAAGTATTATTCAATTACATTATATTAGTTTTATCATATTATTTTGATACTATTTTGCAGTCTTATCAAAAAAGAGTTACTTTTTTTTAGCATTTTGAGTTGTGAAATTTTGCTTTCTAACTGTAATAAACATTCTAAGATGAAAGAATAAACATTCTAAGCTGAAGAAGTCTGGCATGAAAAAATAACATCTGAATCAACATCTGAATCAAGCATGCAAATAGCTTGCATTTTCTTAATCTATAGGACACCATCTGGATGTTAAATACTCCTGAAACCTGAAAATTTTACAAAAATGTATGAATATTTTTTGTATGAGCGTTCTATATACAAAAATATATATTAGCATGTGTAACATCCAGATAGCTCAATCATAGGCTAAGAAAAGGCTTTTTATGCTATTTACATTTTATTTAGAATTAGAGGAATTAGTAAAGAAAATTGTTGCCGTATTTCGAAGCTTATAGGTTTCTATTTCTTTAATTTCTAAAAGTATTATTCACTTACATTAAATTAGTTTTATCATATTATTTTTATACTATTTTGCAGTTTCAAAAGGAGTTAATTCTGTTCAGCATTTTGAGTTGTAAAATTTTGCTTTTTAACTTTAACAAACATTCTAAGTTGAAAGAATAAACATTCTAAGCTGAAAAAGTCTGGCATGAAAAAATAACATCTGAATCAAACATGATAGTTTGTCTTACTCGAATAGAAATTTGAAATAGCTTAGTATTATTTATAGCAGTTTTTAGAGCAAATTATCATTGCTGTTTAATATTTTTCTTAATTAATATATAAATATGCTTGCAAGAAACAAAAATGAAGTAGAACATTAAAAAATAAATGAAAAACTATATTTCATACAACCGTTAAAAAAAATCAGAAACCCGTCAGTTTTCTGTACTATGAACAGTGCTAAAGAAAAGAAGAAGAAAAAGCACGACCAACCCAGAATAACTTTTGATCTAATGATTCACGGTCTAGGATTCTATCTTCATGTTTTGAGGGGGTGACCTCCAATATGCTAATTAATTAAGGCAGAAGATATTTTAAATTACGAAATTAGGCACAAAAACGCATTTTCTCTGAATGAACATATCCTTTTTTTTTAACGTATTCGGATTTCTAACCCCCAAACTATAAGGGGTACCCGCAATCTGGGAAATATGGTCACAATGGTTTGGTCAAGAAAATGGTCCAAAATTTGGACTCCTTAATAGTAATTTTATTTTTGCATACTTTACCATATCCCGAACACTTTTTTTTTTTAGCAAAACTAAACATTTTTGCACACAAATATAAAATTCGTTTGTCATTCAATGATTTCCCAATAAAAAAGACTTTTAGCAAATATTTGTTGTTGTTTTTTGAAACTTTTATTTAATACTAGTCAATAAAAATATGATTTATAAGTTTTCACAATTCTTTACATAATTTTAAAGACTGTAATTTTACGCGACAAAATATAAAATTTGAGCAAAATTGATTTGATAGTTTCTGAGAAATTGAATTTTAAATATACGACTTTCTTAAAATTTCCTTTCTAAGGAACTATTCGAATGGTTGCTAAATCATATTTAATATANTATATATATGAACATGCCTTAGTATGCCTTTTTCCGCATGGAATAATAGAATATATTAAAAATGTAAATAAAACTCCACATTAAAAAGAAATGATGGAAAAGAAGTCCTATGAGGAATGATAAAAATTAGAGAATTTGAAATATCTTCTGTTATCATGTACTTTAAAAAGCATATGTTAATTTTGTTTTATTATTTAAATTTGCATATGAATACTTAAATATACTCGTAGGATATTTTTCTTTTCCTTATTCATTTCTTTGAAATAACTTTCAGGTAGGAAGGAAGGAAATTGTGTTGATTTTTTTTATTGCACAATATTTTCAGTTATTATAAAAACATTTTATTTTAATTTTTTATTCTTAAAAATTGCTTTTGTCTTTGAAGTGATATTTTATTCAGAAATAGGTAGAATATAAAAAAAAATGCTTTGAAATTTATATCTGGTTTTAACTAGCAAAAGGATTTTTATAGAGATATTTAGAAAAAAATATGACAATTATGTCCCATAAGAGGTCCTATGAAAAAATTTTAGTTGGATTTTGTATTGGACAAATTATTTAAGTATTTGGATTGTTAAAGTTGCATTTTTAGAAACGGTATAGAATTTTAAATAATTAGTTATTTATCATACTTACATCACATAAACAAGAGTAGCAAGAATCTGATTTAGGTGTAAACCTTTCTCGATCTTTGTAAACCAAACCCTGAAAGTTGCATTCGTCACATACTGGACAACAATTATTTGCTTCTTTTCTTGGATTTGAGCAAGTGACAGTCGGACAGCTTACGGATTCACATTCCATATTACCTAATATACGAAATAAGTAAAGCAAAAAGCTGTATTCACACTGTAAGAAATGGATACTCATTCATATTTCACAAAACATTCTTCGTTTTTGATGATACTGTTTTCTGGTATATGCTCCGAGCAAAAATTTTAAAAAAAAAAAAAAACTGTCATCAGAAGTGAATAAATAAGTACTTTATTTTATATTTTATAACTGTAATTCAATAGCCGATCCAATTTTATGGGTTTACTGCAATTAAAGTTCAACTCCGTAGCCTTGTAATTTTGAATCCAATCCAGAGAACAAAGGAACTCCTGGATCGAGTATTGGGAGAAATTCGCCTTCGAGGAGGACTTTCTGATGGAGCTAACCCGCATTTGCGTTACATAGAGAGGAAGACCACGAGAACCTCCTACGGTTAGCCAGATGGGAAGGGGACTCTAACCCATGATCCGTCCACCACAGAGGATATTTCTCGTCAGCACTGTGGTCGGTGCAAGCCGGATGCGGAATTCATATCGACTGGGATTCGAACCCGGTTCGCCTCATTGGAAGGTGAACGCTCTATCCCCTGAGCCATTGGGGCTCAATAATAAATAAGTATTGTCACTTTTTCAATATAGCAAATTTCGTCAAAATTAAATATATATATTTCATCATTCCATTTTTTCCAAAAAAAAAAAAAAACTCGTAGCGCCTATTGTACCTAACTTTTCTACTAATCACTTTATCGTGAGCACCGCACAGGTGGATCAATGTAGCCCAAACAATACAAAAAAGAGTGATAGAACCGAAAGATAAAATACACCGATGCCCAAAGCGGGATTCAAATCCGGAATCTTCCTTACTCGCGGGCAACTCTCTGACCACCAGGCAAGACGGTCGACTTTATCGTCACTTTATTTTCATCGTCTACTCTTCATTTCACATCTCCCACTGCACTACAATGAAGTTAAGTAATTGAGAAAACATTTATTTGAAAGTTCTTGTTTCGTCACAAATCACGTGATTTTGTGACATAATGATTCTCAAAATTAAGAAAATACAGCTTCAGAATTACTGAATCATCAAATGTGAGAGTTTTATTTCTAAGAGTGTAAGTAGAAGAAAAATGTTTATTTGGCATACATAAAGTTTAAAATTCTGAGCTTCTTATTTTGCAATAAAGGGCCGTACAAATATTTTGTAAGCACGTAATGGGGAGAGAGAGGGTTTGTAATTTGCTTATTTTCGCTAATAATGAGAGAGAAAAAGTGTAAATCCATATTTGCCCCCTTATTTGCATCCTTTTTAAAAAATGATTACACAGAAAAATAATGAAAAAAATAGAAAAAATACACATGGAAAAATTTTTAATTTTAAAAGAAATTTATTCTGAGAAAGTAAAAGTTGAATAACATTTCTACAAGTCGTTTGAAAATTATGTAAAATGAATTAAAGCATAAAATTTGTTCTCTGCATCTTTTACTTGAATTAGTCCTTAGTCCTAAAATTCTTAAAATTAGATATTACTATAGTGGAAGTCACAGTTAAAGCAAAAATTAAGAAGGATTATTGCATCTTTCCTAAATAAGAGAGGGGTTTTGTGATTTCCTAGCACTTTTTTTTTTTTAACAAGAGGAAATAACTAAAATTGCCAAAAACATGTTTACCTAATATTTGAACTGCCTTTTAATCTGATTTATTGTTTCAAAACTCAAAGATGTTTCTAATGATCGCCCTTTTCCTCTGGCAAGATGACGGGCTCATGTTTTTAATTTCGGCATCGTTATTAATGATTCCTCTGGTTTTCATTACTTTTTTCTATTTTTCCTAACTATTATTTCGTGACTCTTAACGTATATATTCTTTCAGTTTTTGAAAAGCATGACTAAAATTTGTAATAAGGGTGGTGATTACAAAACACCCTGCATTTACAAGAGCTTAATTAATTTCCCTGTAATGATTTTGCCTAAATTATAACATATAATGAAGTGCTGAGTGGATTCCCAGAAAAGTGAGATTTCCAATCATGCTAAAAAAAAGCCGTGGTAGCTCAGGGGAAAGAGTGCTCGCCACTCAATAAGGTGACCAGGGTTCGAATCCCAGTAACGGCTGGTACATTCGAATTTCCCAACTGGCTCGCATCGACAACAGTGCTGACGTAAACAACAGTGCTGGATCATGGGTTAGAGTTCCCTTGCGATCAAGCTGATTGTGAGAGGTTTCCATGATTTTCCTGTCATTGTAACGCAAATGCGAGTTAGTTCCATAAAAAAAAAATCCTCCAGGACGGCTAGTTTCTCCCAATGCTTTATCTAGGAGTTTCCTTGTCTTCTGGATTGGGTAAAAAGTCACAAGGCAAAAGAATTGAACAACGGTAGTTTTAAACTCAAAATTGGGTCGGCTCTTCAAAGACTGCTAGAAAGGAAAATCAGGGTAAACAAAAGTAGTATACAAACGATTTTATCATAGATTTATCAGAAGATGGGCTGATAATTCCTTGTCTTATTTTAAGTATAACTACATAATTTGAAATAAAAATTATGCAAGAATAATTAAAGCTTATATGCATTAGTTAAATTTAAATTAAAGTAAAAGCAAAAACAATTGTTACATTAAATTACCCATATTGATGCAACTACTTTATGTTATTTTCCCTGATTAATGAACACCCCTGAAAATGTCACTTACCTGCTTCTTCCACTAAGCTCTTTATATAATTTTAATAAAATTTCACATTTAAAGACATAGCTACGAAATGAAAGGTAATGTTGAAAAACAATATAACATGGAAAAGGAATACTAAGAAACAGGTTTTATTAAAAGTATTTTTTTTTTTTTACCTCCATAGCAAACACATCTTCTGCATCGATCGCTTGATGGTATCTCTTCACTGTTTTGATAAATTCTACCCAAAACCTGACAACCTAGATAAAATAAACATAATTAATTATTTAAAATAATTTTTCTTCCTGAAACATATATGAGCGTTTGGTTTTAAAACCATTTTGATCCATTTAAAAAAATAATAGCTGTAACTACATCATATTATTTCTTGAATAAGTTTAAACAACGAAGAAAAATATGACATAAACAGAAATATTATTCTTTTTGACCAATGGTAAACAAATGTTTCCAGTATTCAAATACAGAGGGAAACAGAAAAGTACATAGATGCTGAAGAAAATTGCAAAAAACTCTGTAAAAAAGGGGTTGACCGACTAATAGTTCAAAATAAAGATATTAAGGCTGTTTTTTGAAAGCTCTGTCGTCATGTGAAGTAGTAAATAATATGCTATTTCCTTAACAGTTGTGAATTTGTAACATGTATTCATAACCTTTGGGTCAAGTTTAGGTTCTCTTTGGCCCGAGACTTTTATGCTATTTCTGAAAAGGATGGAAATGTCAACATAAAAAAAAAGTCGCACTTTTTGAATGTAAAAAATGCTTGTAATCTAAATTTTATGTGTTTAAAAAGTTATCTGGGAGCATAAAAATTCGCAAAAACTGAGAAATATTTACTAGTTTTAATAATTTTTATGTAAGTAGAAAAATCTTGCGAAATTGGCAATTTCTTTAAAAAAGTTTGATAACTTTCAAATAATTCAAGCTATTTGCCCTTTCTAAATCTCAGATAGCTCTTTATAGCAAGAGGATTTATATAGTATAAAATTATGGCTAGTAAAAAATAAATAAATAACGATAATTCAGGTTAATAAAATCAAAATATACAATAATCAAACCATTCATTTGGTAATTTTTCCGTCGGTATGGTAATGGTTTACCAGAAAATATTGTTTTCAAAATTATAGTTCTTATTAACACACATTTTGTAAAAAACACATAACTGAAAAGTAAATTTAACCGTTTAAATGGTGTTTATGCCATGCTTTAAGGTTTCATGAAAAAATTACCAAATTTAATCACACATTATAAAACCATATTTTATTGTTATATTTACCAAAATTAGTACCAAAGAGCTTTGGTAAACATTTTCATGCTTTTTGATGTTCCCATAGAGTTACATTCTTTATATAAATTATGTAAATTATTAAATAATTCTTTGTGGCATTACATCATGTATAGGTAAAATTGACATCTGTATTATAACTTTTTTATACCATTGCACTCAGGACAGCAAACTTCAGGTTTCATCACTGGATGTGTGCAAGGAATTTTGCAAGTAATTCTCTCACATTTGGTGACGCTATCCGAGCAAGAGCAGATTTGACAGATGTCTGAATGATGAATCCATTTTTGGCCATGTTCAACAACTTGACCTACACTATTGACACAACCTAAAAAATAATCATAGCATAAAAAGCATTCTTATGGATCAAAATATATAAGATGGTGAATAAACAAAAATATTTAACCTTAATTATTATTTGAAATACATCAAAAATTACTTTATTATGAACTCCTCAAATCATTGCACAGCAAAATCATTAATTACACCATCGTTATTAATAACGGTTGCAGTTATTATGTGCTTTAAAATGAGGCCACTACCTGGAGAAAACTGAATAGAACGAAAAAACAGGGAGTTACAGGGAGTTATAGAATAACTTGATGAGCAACTATCATTGATATAGCACAAAAGAGTGAAAATCCTCACTAGGAGAAAAAAGTTTATCACTAAGTGATATTGCAATAGAGATACTCCCCTAGAAGCAAAATAACTTGGGCCCTCATTGGGCCAATGTTCATGAATCTTGGCTCAGCAAAGTTCAAAGTGCTTTTATTTTTCCGATATTGACATTATATAGAATTTTCCGATTCACCAGATATTTTACAGCCACTTTACAGCCAATATCGGTCTTACATAGAATTTTCAGATTCGCCCGATATTTTGCATTCATTATTTAGCCAATGTAGGTTCTATATTTGCCAATGTATGCCCTATATAGGCAATTCTAGGACAAATTTAAAAAATCTAGATATCCCAATATTAGTCCCTCGGTGCATGTTCTTATAGGACCCATATCGAGCCAGTTTTGAACCCAATTGTGGCCAAGGTAAAATTGTTGCTATGGTCTTGTACTGAAATGTCATTTTACTACACATAGACGCCATTTCTATAACTATGACTTCAAACGTTCTGAAGTTAAGAAAGTGGATGCGCACTTCAGTGTGCAACCTGTCTTTTCAGATACATCAAATTAATATCTTTTTTATCAATAATAGAATAAAAATCTTTTAAAATAATTTTTATTAGTTATAGATAACTTAATAAGAAAGATATATTTTGGGTGGAAACTTTATCAGTACAACCTTTACAGACTGAGCAGCAAGAACCAGCCGGTAGTTCAGTAACAGTACAAAGAAGAGTTGGACATTTTTCTCTCACGCATGTAATATTTCCTCTTTGACATTGGCAACGTGAGCAAGGATCATCTGGTGGAGAAAACTGCATTTTATCTGGAACTAAATGATTCTTGTATCTGCAATCTAAAATTAATTTAAAAATTCACGTGAGCAAAAGTGTATGGTTGGTTATTAATATAAAACTATTAATATAATTAATTAATATTAAAATATTAATCTAATTAATTTAAATTTAAATATTTATCTAATATAATATAAATTCAAATTTAAATATTAATCTAATTAATTTAAATTGAAATTANCGAATAACTTTTTACGAATTATTTGATTCGAATCACTAAAAAGTAAAATTAAAATATTTTTCTAATATAAAATAAATTTAAATTCAAAAATTAATCTAATTAATTTAAATTTAACTTAAAATATTTATCTAATATAATATCAATTAATATTCAAATATTAATCTAATTATTTTAAATTAAAATTAAAATATTTATATAATATAATATAAATTGAAATTCAAATATTAATCTAATTAATTTGAAACCGAATACTAAATATTTCGAGGAATATTAGATAGATCAATTGTGCAATTATTAAAGCTTAGCTACTAAGCATTATTATAATAAATCATAAATTATAAATTATAAATAATAAATCAGAAATAATAAATCATTATAAATATTTTTAGATGTATATCTAAACAGAATGTCAAATATTTACCGCATTCAAAAGTGATATTAGTTGGATTAATTATGTAATTATTAAAGCTGAGCAACTAAGCATTATTTTAATAATTCATAAATAATAAATTGTAATAAATTTTTTTAGATTAGTATTAAAATCAAATATAAAATATTTTAGCATACAAAAGTATTATTAGTTTAATTAATTATATAATTATTAAAACTTAGCTGAGTATTATTATAATAATATTGAATATATACCAATACATGATGAACAACATTCACCAGGTGGTTTGACACCATGCGTACAAGTTTGGTGAGGACAACTTTCTCGTTCAGAGCACATAACAACTCCATTCTAAAATATTGTATAAAAAGGAAAATGTTATGAACTTATACAAAGTGGTCTCCAATAATTACCCTTAGCATCTATTTTTTGAATCCTTGACAAAAGTGTACACATTAGAGATCACAAATTATTATTTAAGCGAAAAAGAATATTATCGAAGTTAAACGAAAATGTACGGAGGAAATCGGACTAGAAAACTTCGAAATCAAATTGATTCTCTGATGAAATTTTGAACTTTTTCCAAATAATTCCACTACTTTGTTCCACACTCAAACAAATTTTGATACTTTCAGTAGCATCTTATAGTGATTTGTTCGATTTTGGTACAGGATTTTGTCAGTTTGAGACTCAAATTGCTTTTTACTGCACTTTTGACATTGATTCTAACAATATATATTTAGAGTGGCCATTACGGAACATCCAATATCATAATAGAAACAAATTACACATTTTAAACTGAAAAATTAAGAAAATAATATATTGTAATAAAAATATAATCATACTTATTCTAAAATACGTGATTTTTTATTAATACATCAGAAATGATTAATTTTCACATCATAGAACTCTTACAAAATCAATACATTTTATATGTCAGCATAAGATTTTAATTCTGATGACATTTTTACTGTCTTTGAAGGATTAAAATCTGAAAATATATTTTCAAGTTTTCAAAGAGTTAAGGCAAAATTGAAGCAGTATGAGCTTTGTTCATGCCTGTAGCATTTCCTGGTAAAACTATTAGTACTTTTTTTCTCAGATGTTCAAAGTAATTAAGTTGAATGCATTTTGTTTATAAGTATTTAGATTTTCTATTCCAATATTTTGGAATTGAAGTTAAAGATATATATTTCATTAAATTTCAATGTGTGAAAAGACTTACCATGCAAACACACGTTTCGCAAGAATCATTTGAAATTTTCCATCTTTGACCATTGGTATACTCTTTATTTTCAAATGTACACTCTGAAAAGAAGCAAGTACAGGCAGACTTAAAATTAAATCAGCACTAATTTCTTAAGCACAAAATATATTTTGACCTGGATCCCATATTATCCCATTCGAAAACATTGTGTGTCCCGAAAATTAACGATGATTTAAAAAACAATTTAAGAAAAAAAATGGAAAGAGTAAAAGGAAAAGTACTGTTAATTGCGTTCCGCTTAAGAAACCAGAAAATTTATCATCCCTAAGTTTAAAAATTAAATGAAAAGTTCATCAATAGATGGGGCTGTTGACTAAGAAAAATTATACAAACCTAAAAAAGCAATGTTTTCAAAATAATCATTATTTTTATAGCGCAATATAACCACCAACATTACGTAGTCTACACTGTAAAAACTTTCAGAAACTAATTTTGACTTGACAAAAATGTTTCCGAAAATCTCAGAGAACAATTTTTCAATATCGATCAATTGAGAAACATTTCCGTTATTTTCAAAAGTAGGAAACTGAATCGCATTGACACAGATTCAGTTTCAGATACCGTAGCTACCACTACAAGTGTTAAATTCTATTTCACTAGTATATAAGACATGTTAACTCGATTCTATCTTGGAAGATCTTTCGATAGATAACGTTGACTTTACTGGTAACGAAGTCCCACAAGAGGTTTCCGAAATATTCAGAAACGCTTATGGGAAACGCTTCATATTAAAAAAAATTCGAAATTACAAATAATGCTTCAAAATATTAATGCAGTACTGCAAAATGTTTCTGTATATTACAGAAAGAGGTTTCCGAAATATTCAGAAACTTTTTTGAAAACTACATGCACCGTAGCTACCCCATGTATTCAAAAACGTTTCGTGATATTTTTTACAGTGTACTGACAACGTTACGCTGACAAATTAGGTCATTAAGCTGAAATGGTTCAGCATACAGCAGTAAATTTTGTTTTACAATGTTTCCGACGGATCAGCGCCCTCTGTTGATGAACTTTGTAACTCATTTTGAAACTTGATGAGAATAAAGAAATATTTTGTTTAACAGAATGCAGTAAAATAAACATTCTATATTGTTCATATTGGCAACATTAATGGCTAATTCGAATAAGCGATCCAACTCATTTGATTCGAATAACTTTTTACGAATTATTTGATTCGAATCACTTCTCATGAATAATTTGATTCGAATTTACGGTCCGAAACATTTTATTGCAATAGTGATTAAAATTGCTTGATTCTATAAACGATCTGAATCAGTCAATTGAATTAGAAATCTCAAAACATTTTTCTCTAATCAGTGAGCTGAACCACGAGATTTGAATCAGTAATTCGAATCAGTAAATTCGAAATATCTATCCAAATTACTTGATTCCAATCAAATAATACCTAAAATATTTTTCGTATAATTTACTTCATTCCAAATTGCTATATATTTTAAATTGTGGTCATTTAAAAAGAATACAAAGAAACTACATTATTTATTAACTACATTATTTTTTTACCACAAATGTCATTACCGACAGTACAGTAAATTTACCACATTTTTTTTTCTTTATGCATTATTTAAGAAAAATAAAAGAAATTTATTTTAATTTAATACAATACACTCTTGCTTTCATTTAATTTAATACAATACACTCTTACTTTAATTTAATTTAATACAATACACTCTTACTTGGGCATTGTGGACAACATCCACCTGGTGGAAACACAGGAATTTCACATGTATCTTCTGTATCTGGACATTTAATAGGTTGACAACGAACTATACTTTTCTGCAAAAGAAATCAGTATATTTTCTTTAAAAACGATATCCGCATTATTTCAGCTAAGAACTACGAAATTATATTTATTATTGTAACTTTAATTATTGTTAAAATATTAACTTCAAGATAGTAATGGAATTAACCATTAAATATATGTTCCACTAAACTAGCACATTTGGTTAAGGCATCACCCATACCGCTGCTAGGGAGCTGCTGGGTTTTGAGTGCGATCCTAGCAGCCGATTAACCGGCTTGTATAAATACAGAATGCTTCATGATTAATCTTCTGTAACAGAAAATACTCTCTTTTGTTGTTATGTGAAAGTTTGGAGAAAGGTATACCAGCTGAAGCGCTGTCCTTTTCGTCTGATCGATGTCAAAATTAGGTGAAATTTTGACCACGGCTTTTAAAGGAAAGAGCCCAGAAAATTTAGATGCTTAGCCATGATTGATTGTGAACTGTAAAAAAAATCTGTTTAATTCACAGAAAAAATTGTCAATTAAAAATGGATGCTAGTTCCTTAAGCATATAAGCACTGTTATTTTAACAAATTATCCCCATTTTTTTAACAAAAAAAAAAACTCTGTTATTTTAACATCAACAATGAATTTCGATAAAATAAGTAAGTCAGCAGTTCGTTCGGTGCGAGCCGAGTGTAGAATTTATATATCCAATCAATGTTGAGGTTCAGACCCAGGTCAGCTAATTAGAAGACGAGCGCATCTGTGCCTTGAGCCTCGGCAGCTTTAGGGTTTAGTTATAAAGAAAAGTTTTAAACTGCCTTTATCTTAAAAGTCTTATTAAAATCATATTTAAGTGCAAAAATGCTTAAAACCAGATTGCCAGATTCCCAGATTGCGGTTATCCCCTATATTGTGGGAGTCAGAAATCCGGATCTATCGAAAAAGTTGTATGCTCATTCAGAGAAAGTACATTTTTGTGTCTGATTTCGTAACTTAAAATACCGTCTGCTCTTATTACTTAGCATATTTGAGGTCACCCCCTCAAACCTTTAAGATTGAGTCCTAGAACGTGAAGATCCGATCATTAGATCAAAAGTTACTCAGGGTGGTTCGTTTTTCTGGTGCACTGTACATATAAATGTAAGTTTTATTAGTGCTAGCACCTAATCATAAACTAGAGTGCAATAACTCCAAAAAAAATATCTTACTTCGCAGGAACAGTTCATACAAGGATTAAAACTGGGTTGAAAAATGGTACCATCTTCATACACTTTTCCGTCATACTGACAATCTAAAAATAAACAAAAATCACATGATTGTTGTTGTTATCAATTCTTCGTGATGCAGTACTAGCTAGATCAGATTCATGCGCCCGTTAACTGTGGAAAAATCAAGCATCAAATGCGGTTGCAAGGATTAATCTTTGAGTTCTAGATTCATGCAAGCAAGGATACAATCAGGAGAAACAGGATTGATTATGCACTTTGTACATGTAGGGAGGACCCTGCTCCTAGACTCGAAGGCCATTGATTTCAAATGTCTGCTAATGAGTCGTGATGCAGCATTTTGATGAAATCTGTCTCCCTTTAAATCCAAGACACCACCTGAGCGCTGTCGAACATACCAGAGGTGGACGAGGGGAATAATGATTAATAAGTAATCTTCATACACAGTAAAAAATGGATACTCAAATTTCATGAAACTTTTTTCGTTTTTGATGAAACTATTTCCTGGTATATGCTATAAGCGAAAATATTGTCAGTGTGACGAAACAACTGCGATCACTTCTTCCAGCGAACACCTTTCGTCAAAATTAAGGAAATATTTTGTCATTCCATTTTTTTCTCCATAAAACAAAACTCGCTGCACATAATGTATTTAACTTTTCTAATAAGTGCTTCGTGGACGCCATGTAGATGGAACAATGTCGCCTAAGCAACACAAGAAGGACAGATAAAACAGACTGATAAATTACATCACACCTGAGGCGGGATTCTAACCCTACATCTTCCTGATGCGAGACCAACTCCTTGACCACCATACATCCCGGTTGACTTTTACCATTTTAATTTCGATCACGTAGTCTTCACTCTTGTTTCGTCACCTAGTTAATAATTTTCCTCTACGATGAAGTTTCGAGTTGATGAACTATTTTCGTCATACATTTGGGACTCAGGGCTGAAAGCCCATATATATCAAGACGGAAAAGAGTAAAAACTGGTAACAAATAAATTTCATTTTTTAGCTTTTTTCCGGGAATAATAAAAATCTATAACTACCAATTGTTTTTAACGGATACAATTTTTATATTGAATTGCTTCTTCGCCGAGAAAAAATTACTTACAGTGAATTGTTTAATATTAAGAACAGAATAATTCCTCCCGAATATTATCTAATGTTGAAATAGTTCTCCTATCAGTATTTTCTCTTTTCCGTCTCGCTTTCAGGCCTGTTGGGACTTCGCGTTTCATCACTAATTACGTGATTTCGTTGCACAATAATTCTCATAATTAACAAAATGTAGCTCAAGGATTTCTGAATCATCAAAAGTGCTGAGAGAGTACAAACAAATCAATACAGTAAAACTTCAATAAAATGAGTATGAGAAATGAGAAGTTGACTATTATGACAACTTTCCAAGTCACTGTCAAAAGTCCAATAATAAAGATACAAAAATGAATTTTTTAATAAGCTGAAAATTACTAGTCTATCGCTATTGCGATAATTATTTTTAGGAAATGCATTTCTACTGTTTTAGTGAGCACAGGTGAGTACTTCATTTACGTCGCACTAGCGCTGCTCGCTAGCCTATTGCCGACAGTCTGGGAAACATCCCTGAGAATGATATGAAGACATGCCATCGCAATTTCGATCCTCTGCAGAGGGGATCTCATTCGGGAGGCCAATTTCTCAATTTAGACACAGATATGGAGGAAAGGATATTTCCTCCAGATCCCTGTGTCCATCTACTCAACGATAGACCAGATGACTTTCGATTCCACAGATTTTACGAGCACATATATCACTTGTACTTGGTGGGTCTTAATAGAGTCGAGAATCGAACTCCGCTCCTCCGGCCTAGAGTTAGATTCTCTAAACACCGGACTAATGCGGTCCTTTAAGTGAGCAGTATTGTACAAAAAAAATTGCATTTATATTCGTTGTTGTTGTTGTTAATTTACGTCGCACTAGAGCTGCACAATGGGCTATTGGCGACGGTCTGGGAAACATCCCGGAAGATGATCCGAAGACATGCCATCACAATTTTGATCCTCTGCGGAGGGGATGGCACCCCCGCTTTGGTAGCCCGCCGACCTGCGCGCGAAGTCGAGCACTTTATGGTAGCACAGTTTAACGAGGACCAATACCGCACACCCTCGGTCCCTACGCAGACTGATCCAAGTGGTCACCCACCCGCACACTGACCGCAGCCAGTGATGCTTGACTTCGGTGATCTGCTGGGAACCGTGTCTTAACGATCAGTCCACTGCGGGACTCATTTATATTCATTTATGCTATCAATATAGAAAAGGTAAAAATTATTATGATTTCATCTTAATTTGTAACCTTTTATGTATATAATATTACCCGTGTGTGACCATTGTACTATTTTTTTATTATTTTGCGCACTATACAATTACAAATAACCAATCTTTTGTTGTTGTAGTAAATGCAAACATACCTTTCTGACAAAGACGGCAGCATTCTTCATGTTGAGCATCAGGGTTTTTGCAAATAGAATGAAAGCAGTCAATTTTCTGGCAAGCAATATTCCCTTTCTACTGAATAAAGAACGAATAGAAAATTAAATGCAATACAACCTGATTTATTTTTTTCATTAAAAAGTTATCTTCAGGTGAAAAATAATATATCTGCATGAAACGAATCATACCGAACTAACTAAAAAGAAAATATACTTCAATTAAAAATTTTATTATTGTTTCATAAAAAAATTAGAAAGAAAATCAGCAAACTGCGAGCGCTCGAAACATGACGCTCTATGGGAAGACGAAACATGGAATTCGCGTCCAAACGAGAAGCATCGTATTTTACACACTCGAAATATACAGACATTTTTCTATTTCTAATATGAATCATGATGAAGAAGTAATTAAATGATGTATTAAACGATGACTTAAAAGATTTCCTAATAATGGTCAATACAAAAGAATAACAAATTATAGAATTATTAATTAATCAATTAACCCTTTAAGAACTAAATTAGTAGTAAATGATAGGAGAATTTAAATTTTTCCCCATCTTTTATAAATTGAGTTATAAACCTTATTGAGGAAAAGCTTTATTGCGTTGCTTTTAATTTTGATAAAAATCTTTATTAATGAATTGGTTATAATTTTGACGAAAAACATTATTCATGAATTGATTATAATTTTGATGAAAAAATTTTATATCAATTTTCCAGCTTTGTTAGAGTTTTTAATGATGTAATTAAACAGCCTATGGTTATTAAAAGATAATTTCTAAATGCTAATATAAATAATTTTATGTTTAGGTATTGAAATATTTATAATACTTTAGCAATTTCAATTATTTTTATTTCGTCAAAACAATATATATTTTTTAAATAATTAAAATATTGTTACCTGACATACACATTCGATACAACTTTCAGGGTAAAATTCTTCCGAGTGTTTCACATAATTTCCTCTGTATTCGCAATCTAAAATATTGTATTTAATTTATTGATTATACATCCAGTAAATTTCTTAAGCAAAGATGTAAACAGTTATGTAATCAAAATTTACAAAATAAATTCATAATTGTAACGAGGTTCATGCATACATAATCTGACTCTTACAAACAATATCAGTCTTCTAATTAAAAAACGGGAAATTAAACTGCTTTGAACACAGAATAATTGAACATTTGAACAGTAAATTCAGCGCAATTTTAAAAAATGCAATTTGTTTATAATCGAAATCTATGAATCTAATTTCAGATACAATGTGATTCGTATTCACTTACCTTTCTTGTTAAAAATGTTGAGAGATGTGAATTAATAATTAAATAATTTATGTCTAAAGAAAAAAAATATATAAAGCAAAAACGGAAGGACGAAGGATAATCCAATAAATACAGTGTTAGTGTGCTAAAATCCGATCATTAGATTAAAAATTATAAAATTGTTCCGTTTTTTATTTTACTCACTGTATAGAAAGACAAAATGGCCGGTCGATACGAATTCCGCACCCGGCAAGCACCAATCACAGTTCTAACGTAGCAAGGGGACTCCGAATTTCGTGGTCTTCCTCTCCATGCTACGCAAATGCAGGTTGGTTCTGTCAAAAAGTCCTCCACGTAAGCAATTTTCTCCCAATACTTGATCCAGGAGTTCTCTTGTCTTCTGGACAGGGTTAAAAATCAAAAGGCTGCGGAGTTGAACATTAGTAGCCGTAAAACAAAATTGTTCGGTTGTTCATCCATAATTATAAAATAAAATAAAATAGTTGATTAAATATGAACAATAGTTGATGTCAACGGCCATACCATGATGAAAATACCGGCTATCGTCCGATCACCAAAGTCAAGCATCATCGGGAACGGTCAGCACTTGTGTGAGTGACCACCTAGAAAACCGTTGGTATACCTTTTGGGTCGGGATAGCCTAGTTGGCAGGGCATTGGACTCGTGTTCGTGAGAACGGGAGTTTAAATCCAGCAGTCGAAGAATCCCCTTGTATTAAATGCTGACTGGTGCTCGTCAAATCTGTCGGGATCACAAAGTACTCCACTCTCCTATAACAAATCATTACCTCTAGGGGTACTGATCCAGAAGTTCCCTTGTCTTCTAGATTGGGTTCAAAATTACAAAACTATGGTGTTGAGCATTGGTAGTCATAAACTAAAATTTGGGTGAGCAATACAACGACGGTTATAAAATAAAATAGTTGATTTTGAAAAGGAACATTTTTTTCATTTTGTTCCAATAAATTTGTACATTATGATAATTCTGGACATAGATTAAAAAAAAGCAGTTTCACTTCTACCCCTTAAGCAAATTTTATTATCCACAAATTGTAAATACAGAAAATATGTGAGGTCGCTTATCACTTTATGCAAATTTCAGTTTCAAATAATATTAATATATTCAAGAAAACTTTGAACTACTTCTTCATCAGCAGAAACTCTTCACAAAGATAATAAAAGTATTCGCACATTTAAATGAGGAGAAAAGATTAAGAAGATTACCTCTTAACTTAGTAAATAAATGTCCTACCTTCGCAATGTCTGCAGCATTCTCCTGGAGTTCGTGCCGGATATTGGCAACCAGGTAAGGAACATTCGATGACGGTACAATGAACATTACCACCCTGTAAGATCAATAATTTTCTAAAATACTCAAGAAGGTTATACAATAGTATAACAAATGATTTTAATGACTTTAAAAGTTAGTCAAACATTGAGTATTTTACTATAAACTGGACTAGTAAAAAAGTATTAAAAATAAAGTGACCGCCGACATCAAAAAATTATAAAACTGGTAGCAAAATGTCTAAGAAAACATTCAAAAACTCACCTCTTTAATTTTCGAATTACTTAAAAAAATTATGAAATGTTTAAAAAAATATCCTTCAAAAAAAAACCACGTCTCTATCTTTCTAGTTATTAAAAAAAAATACTTATTAAAAACAGTGTGGGGGCCTTCTGATGTAGGAGGTGATAATACAGCAAGCCAGAAATATATTTAGAAAAGAGCCTGCGGTACTCCCTAGAGCAGAAAATGCAATCCATTGATTTAGAAATTTACCTTGCATGTGCAGTTGTGACAAGGACTCTCTTTCCAATGAGAATTTTCCTGATGAGGTCCACACATCGAGCATTTTGGACAACATTCTCCTGGCAAAGTCACAAGAGCGCTTTCCATACATGGCTTCATTGGCTCACATGCCACAGAAGTGCACAGTATTGAACCCTTTTGACATAGACATTTTAAACAGGGATTGTGAGCATCTATAAAGTCTTGTCCATTTGTATACATTATATTATCCTTTTTACAGCCTAAAAAACAAAGAGAAAGTTAGTGAATAAAAAAAGAGGGATTTTACTTTTCAACGGGATGGGAATAGTGGATCCTTTTGGATTTCCGATTAAAAATGTTCAATTCTATAGTTTTTCAAGTTTTAGGCCAACACAGAAGACAACAGAGTTTCTGGGAGCTACTGTGGCTCAGGGGATAGAGCGTTAGCCTCCGAATGAGGTGATCCAGGTTCAAATTCCAGCAGAGGGTGATTGATACGAATTCTGATCCTGGCTCACACCGACCACAGTGCTGGCTTAAAATATCTTCAGTAATAGACGGATCATGGGTTAGAATCCCCTTGCCGTTGGGCGAACCTAGGAAAATTTTTACAGTTATGCTCTCCATGTAACGCAAATGCCATCAAAAAATCCTCCCCGAAGGCTAGTTTGCTCCAATACTTGATCCAATAGTTTCCTTGTCTTCTGGCTAGAAATACTTGATCCAATAGTTTCCTTGTCTTCTGGTTAGAGTTAAAAATTACAAATAGTTTCCTTGTCTTCTGGCTAGAAATACTTGATCCAATAGTTTCCTTGTCTTCTGGTTAGAGTTAAAAATTACAAGGCTACAAAGTTGAACATTAATAGTTATAAACTCAGAAATGGGTCGGTTGTTCAACACCGGTTATAAGATAAATTTTTTAAAAAAAAAATTCGAGCCTTGGCACTATTTTAGCAAATTCTTATATAAAGTTCCCGCCTGAATCTAAGTATGACCCCCATTTTCCTCCACCACCCGCCATTTCTAGGAATACCTTTCCCTATTATTTTATCACTTTTTAATAATTTTATGAATAGGGGTAAAAAGAAGGTAAAAAGAAAGAATTTAATCATTAAATTTTTAAATTTAATCATTAATTTTTTAAAAAACGAGAGCTACTAAAAGATTGTTTCGTCTGGATTTTCTCGCAATTTCTTAATTTATTTTCTACAAATTCCAGTTTTCAGCCCCTTTTACCTTTCTGAAAGTCCCCCAAATTATAACATTTTTACTGTCACAATTTTTTCTAAAAATTGAAGGGGGAGAGGTCCTAAAGTTCTCGTAAGAAGGATATAATCTGTTTCAATGATTCAGTACCAAGACTGCCCTCTCTATCAGATATTTTTACTAAAATCATGGATAAACAATTATTTTTACTGGTGTTTTGAAGGAAAGGAAAAAGTTTTTAAAAATTTCAGGGAATAATAGAAGAAAAAGTGATCAACTTTAATGATTTCTTTTTCATTACTTGAGAAGTTCAATCCCTTTAAGTCCTGCAGAGGACTCGTCACTAAGACAAGACTCTCAGTAGAACACCGAAGTCAAGCATCACTGGCTGCGGTCAGTGTACGGGTGGGTGACCACTTGGATCAGTCTACGAAGAGACCGAGGTTGTGCAGTATTAATCGTCGATAAACTGTTCTACCGCAAAGTGCTCGACTTCGCGTGCAAGTCTCAGGCTACCCTCTCTTCTGCAGAGGATCGAAATTGTGATGGTATGTCTTTGGATCATCCTCAGGGATGCTTCCCAGACCGTCGCCGATAGCCCTTTGTGCAGCTCTAGTGTGACGTAAATAAACTGCAACAACAGCAATCAATCCCTTTATGCTACCTCCTAAAATCTCTCTCCTTGTTGCAGATTTTTTGATGTTTCAGAAGCATTTCTCTTTCAAGTCCTCATAAAAAAATTAGAGGTTAAAATAATTCAGATCTTCCAAATCAAAGTAAAGGTCACAAAATTAATGAAAAGTGATTAATTTATTGCTAAAGTGATAAAATTAGGAATAAACTTAATGGTGTTCCCAAAAATAGTGTATGGAGAGAGAAAACAGAAACCATATTAGAATTCAGGTTGTTTCACATAAGAACCAAATGGAATAGTTTAGGGACTATTTATAATGCTGCGCAATGGGATTTTGGTCTTCCTACTGATTAACTTAAGAAAAAATGGTGAAATAATATTTAAATAAAATTTATTAAACCGTTCAATTTTTTGCACTATACGTTTTTGCTACATATTCATGACTTCCCTTTTCATCAAAATTGACAATTTTGAAATTTACCGTTAATCAGAAGTTTTATAATCATTTATAAAAATTCTGATTTTTTATTGAATCTAGGAAAATTTAAAATAACACAACTTCCATCCAAAATATTAGAATAAATATCATACCATCACAAATTGGGCAGCAGGAGCCTGGAACAACAACAGGATGATCACATTCTGTTTCACACTGAATTGATGAGCAAGAAACTAATCCTGACTTTAAAAAAAAAGAAAGATTATTGTTAGCTTGAAAAAAATTGTAGCTAAAAATCATAGCAGAAATTAAACCTTTATATTTTCTGTGAAAAAGAAATTATTAGTTTCTTATAGTATAGTCCGAGCAAGCCAATACTTTCATATTATTGAAAGTAAAAAAAATCGCATTGTGGGTTATTTTTTATTTTATTTTTTTAACTGTGATAGAAATTTTATACCTAAAAATAATATTTTAAATGAATATCTATGAATTAATTAAATTACTCTATAAAAATTAAGAAAAATAAGAGTTTCTCCAAAAACGATGAAAAGTATTGTTCTTTCTGAAGGAAAATTTTAAATAATATTGTGTAATAACTTCCAGCACAAAAATATTTTCTTTTAATAAATTATTTTTTTCATATCTTATATTATTAGAAATTAATTTTAATGCAATATCCTCATGTTTTCAAAGCCCGTAAAAGTTCATACACGATTAGGCGGTGAAGGAGTGCGGAGATCGGGTGATCTCAGTATTGACTTATTGGAGGTGAGTGCATGCACCCATATTTACCACAAATATCAAACAGTTCATGAAATAAAAATAATAATACTTTTACAACCTGGCAATTGCAACTGTAGCACGAATCTTCTTCCCAAACGTCTCCATCAACTTTTATATTTCCGTCCATTGAAATACAATCTGTAAATAATGGTCAGGTTCACACAGATTATTAAAAAAAAGTTGACTTTGTTTATTTATTAAAATAGATAATAATTTTACTTGATTAAAAACTTCACTCGCTTTAAAAAAATATACAAATAGGAAATTACGGTCGACATGTTTCAAGCTCTCAGAAATGACGCCCATTTTCAAGATTTGCCAGACGTTAATGAGAAAAAACAAAAGTGATTTGAAATATAAAACGTAAAGTTGCCAGCGAAAAATGGAAAAATAAAAGTGAGAAATAAAACTAGGAAAACAAAAGTAGCCGAAAGTGAAAAAAATATTAAAAGCAGGACAAGAAAAACCACAGTGGTTGAAAGGGGCAAATCAGGGTAAAATGCATTTCCACGCGCTATGGAGAGGTAGTGAGGAACTAATGTCATTATCAAGGGAATATCCAATTTGTATAGTTGCAATTTGTATATTTTTGAAGTGAATGAACTTTTTAATCAACTAATTTCTCACCATTTCAGTTTCTTGGGATTATTTTTTTAGATAATGATCTATTTCTTAATCTTACCATTTTGATTGCAAGATGTTGGTTTCTGTGTTATGACATTCAAATAATTTGCTTCACACGACCCGCAGCCAAAACTTCTGCATCGAGCACTTGGGACAGTTGGGCAGACAGCAGAATTGCAAGTATGAAATGGACAAGGTATCGGAGGTTTATTCAAATCACATTTTGAGTGATGATATAGACGAAAACAGAATCTATACATAAAAAAATAATAATAACAATTATCTCATGTATAAGCTTGAGGTAAAATAATTGTTTCATTGACAAATTGATATTTCCGCATTTTGTTTACAAGAGTCTTTGGCAATCTATCACTAGAATATTTTTTATATGAGGATAGAGGTCGATAGGGCGCTGGGCCCATGTTCAAGAGTTCGTGGGTTCGATTCCCGTCGGCCGAGGACTCCCCGTGCAGTAAATGGTGACTGGTGCACGCTAAATCTGTCAAGTCACAAAGTCCTCCATGTTCCCATAGCAAATCAATACCTCTGGGGAAACTGATCCAGAAGCTTCCTTGTCTTCTAGATTGGTTCAAAATTACAAGGCTACGGAGTTGAACATTAGTAGCCTTAAAGCCAAAAAATTGTGTCGGTATTGGGTATATATATATATATATATATATATATATATATATATATGAAGATAGAAAATTTATTAAAATATTAATAAAAAGTTAGAAGAAAACGCCAGTATGAAAGTAAATTAAAGAGTTTAATGACAGAAAAGTTTAAATGATAAGGATAAAAAAATACTGAAAATGGGAAAATAATCCTGTTACTTAACAGAAATGGTGCTCCTGTTGCGTTTTCATTATATGTTTTTAAATATCTGTGTTTTGCATATCGCTAACAAGTCCTAAATCTCGATAGCCCTAGGGTTCCATGGAACACCATTTGGGAACCTCTGTGGTAGAGAATATAGAAGCTGTGAATCCGCTTACTCTATCAGTAGATAGATTATTTATGAATGAGAATATTAATAAAGGGAGAATGATTGAATGTGATCAATGTGATTGTTAATGAATGGAGAAAAAAGTGTAAAAATAATAATTTAAATCGAGAACGCTTTTAGTAAAAGGGACCCAGAAATAAGTCCTGGTTCCAAATGACCCATATTTTCATAAGTATAGCAGAATCACTATATGAGTCAAGTTATAATGATAGACATTCTATCAGTAAATATATTTTGTTTTACTTTATAACCGTCGTTGAGAAGTCGATCCACTTTTTTGGTTTACAACTTCTAATGTTCAACGCCATAGCCTTGTAATTTTAAACGCAATCCAAAAAACAAGGGAACTCCTAGATCAATTACTAGGGAGAAATTTGCCTTCGTGGAGGATTTTTGGATGAAACTAACCCGCATTTGGGATACAAGGAGAGGAAAACCACGAACACCTCCCACGGTTAGCTAGACGGCAAGGGGAATCTAACCCATGATCCGTCTACCACTGAGGATATTTTACGTAAGCACTGTGGTCGGTGCAAGCCGGATGCGGAACCCGGTTCACCTCATTGGAAGACAAACGCTCTACCCCTGAGCCATCGTAGCTCTATCAGTAAATATAGTAAGAAATTTATTTATCAATATAAAGATAGATCAACTATAGGTAAAACAAAAGTTTACCTTTCTATATGAAAAAATTATTTTAGCAATGCAAAAAGTATATTAAAATATATATACCTCTCATCTGGCGTTGGTGCCAACCAAATTTGGTTTTTTCCAAAGAAAGGAGAATATGAATCTTCTACAGCAGCAGAAATGTGAATTTTTCTGTCGGGATTTACTCTATTCATCCAATAGAGATTTAACCACCATTCTGGAACATCGGATATACCAAAACAAATCGTTTTAATTTGATCAAGTTCCTCCGGATGTAATGTATTTAACTTCCGTTTGGCATTTTTCATGAATATCGGATAAAAAGGACCATTAAAAAAGTATGAACAATTATTTGCATCACGCCCGTTAGAATCAAAACCGTATATGTCATAGCCATGAAAATCAAAACCGGTCGGTCTATAACCTAATTCACTGAATTCCTCCCAAGGAGATGGCATTGGAATAGCAGCAGAACCATCAAGAGAGTTTGGAAAACAAAATCCCATAGAGTTGCATCCATATCTATCAAACCCATAGCGATTGAATCCTTGTTCATCGAAACCTGACGCATCTAATCCATCTCGATTAAAAGAATTTCTAGAAAATCCTGTTTTTGTATATCCCATGCGATCATATCCAAAGGAATCATAACCATCTACATCATAGCCACTTATATCGAATGTTTTGAATTGCGAGTTGTCCATATATTTATCATGAAAAGCAGCCATGGAGTCATCGGTACATGGTGCCCCTTCTGTGATTTCAATGTAATGTACACATAGCTGAAATTCACTGAGAAACACATCATCAGGCAGTACACTAAAAGGCGCCAAGGGTATATATCGCTTATCTTGTGGGTAAGTCAGCAAACGGTTTGGGTCTCTAGCGACCCATATATCCCAAAGTTTATCAATAAAAGCATAATGAGCAAAGAAAATGGGATCATATGCAGCTTCAGCTGTTGCCATGTGTCCTCCAACAAATAAATGAAACAAGCTACTGATCTCCTCGATTTGGTAGTTAAATTCCTCATATGTTTGCAATCTTAAAACTTTTTCAATCTCTACAGCGTTTGGCAAAGACACTGAGAGATTAAAATTGCGTCTCAAACAAGCACTCCAATATGGTGGTTCGTGACTTTTAAAAGGGTGGTTCCTAACGCAATAATTTCTAGTTCTGTCACCATTCCCGCCGAAAATATTTGCCTGCCAAACAAATGATGAATCTAAGCTTCCAACATCCATAGTCCATTCAAAATATGGTAACGTGACCGAGCAATCGATTTCTTGTAATTTCATTTCGACTAAGCGTAAATAATATCGAATCCATGGCAAGAAATATGGGTTTCCATGAAACTGTGGTAAAGCATTTGTAAATATATTCGTTAAATTTTGCCAAATTGATGGATGACCTTTTAACGCAAGGTACTTAACAGCATCTTGAAATCGTTTCAAATCTTCAGTTGTCATATCCCTAATTTCTTTGCGCATGCTCACTGTAGCACACGGGCAGGAAATTCGACCAGTTTCCGAACATTCACAATTACCACAACCAATAGGGATTTGCTCATGTATTGAGTAGATATCATGAAGAAAATTGCATCCGCATTTCTTTTCACAATTTACTTCCTCGCATCTTTTACCAGGTGTAAAAGATATTACTTGGTACGATGTTGGCGAATCTTTCTCCATCTTCTGACAGTCTTTCAGATTCATTGCTCTGCAATCAAAATTCCATCCATTACTTGTACCATAGTTATCCCATCCTTCTACATTATTGCCTTGACAATTGAAACCTGCTCTATTATATCCTTCATTATTGTAACTAGACTCACCAAATTCAATAATTCCATCATAATCTCCGAAAGAATTGTATCCTAAAAGTTTAATAATTCAAATAATTATAATTTATAAATATACAATGAAATTATATAGTTCCTTTGCTCATTTAAAACATTATCACTTCAAAATTTAACCTTAGTAGACTCCGTTGAAATGACATCACAAATCACCACTCAATTTTATACTTTAATATTTAAAAACATTATTTTTGGTCATTTAATATGAAATAAAAAGATTGCATACTATTTGAGAGGGGCTGTGTTTGGAAGATTTTACCTTTAACGCAAAAAAGATAGAAATACAGCAAACGCAGAAATACAGCATGAAACGTGTTGTTTCATGCAGTATTTCATAACCAAAAATTACTATTTTTTTCCTTATTGCTACTTAATTTAATATAAAATAATGAAAAATCTCTTTAATACAAATTCTGCGTCAAAGCGTAATTTAACGTAGTAATTTACTCAGAGTGCAAATGATTAAGAGGGTTAATTAGTGCAAGATACTAGGCTACAACTCCTTTAACTAAAATAAAATTGTATTTTGTAACGAATGGGTAACATTTATGATAAATACTAATGATTAAAAGAGTAAATAAAAATGTGACTAATACCCAGTGAGTATTTGGAATGTTGGCCGGGATAGGCTGGTCGGTTGGGCACTGGGCCCATGTCTGAGAGTTCGTGCGTTCGAATCCAGCGTTCGAAGACTCCCCGTGAAGTAAAGTGACTGATGCACGTTAAATCTGTCGAGTCGTAAAAGTCCTCCATGTTTCCATAACAAATCAATACCTCTGGGGGTACTGGATTGGAGATCGATAGTTCTCTGATTCAGGTCAAAATTACGATCCGTGGATGAATGAATGGATGTATGAATGGGTCCGCCCTATAAACGGGTACGATTTACGGTGTGGCAGAAGTAGAATTCTTGGCCATAGATGGCACCACTGAAAAACAAGAACAATCGCACCCCTTCTGCCTAAACAGGCATACGTCAACAACAACTTGGAATGTTTGTAACTTCAATGCGTCACCGTTTTTTTATATAAACCGTTTAATGGAGTGTATTTTCTGTATACATTAAACGACACTCTGGAAGACAAAACGACTAAAACAGAAAATTCAATACTTGCTAAGGTGGTTCTGTTGATATTTTTTTCCTTGATGAGTGGGGAATTTCTCAAACAATATAGTCAAACAATATGTCGAAGAAAATGTAGAAAGTATATAAGATTTACTGAGAGTTGTAATGAATATTAATGAGAAGGTGTATACTTCCTTATTCTAAAAACATCGCAGTAGATTAAATTCAAATTTTTACAGGCACCAAAAACCATATTTTAGGAAGCCAGCTTGTCATGAAATAAAAATAGTTAAAAATACTAAAATGCAAATGTCAGTTAAGTGACCTCTTCCCTCGCTATCTTAGATGTCAGGTAAGACCTCATTTTAGTTGTTTTTATGTTCTTAACAAGCATTTGACAGACTATTATTCGGCAGTACCGAATAATACCTCTAAAAAGAAGTCGAAAATAAAGACGTTGGTTAAGATTAAGTCTATTAAGAGAATAAGTCTTCGAATGAATTTAAGAAATGGCGCTTTAGAACTTTTAGATATTTTATGGATTTTTCTCAAAAATGTAAAGCAATAAAATAATGCGATTGGTAAGTAATCGGTTGTCTGTGTTTAGATTTTTTTTAAATTTTATTTTATTTTTCTTTAAACTGATAACAACTAATTTATGGGATGCAGAAAAAATCTGATAACTAAAACCACGCAAAAACAAAGATATTTATCTAAATTCTAAAAACAGACTGACGAACAATACTGAAGCTGACGTACAATACTCTTCAAAACATGCTGAATTATATGCACATAATTTTGTGAGAAAAACGAATAATGTTGTTGTTTCTAATGAAACTTGGAAACGTCAAGCTCTCCAGCCATTGGCCTTGAGAATTCAATCAGGAAGGAGCCTTTTCGTTTGACAAGAGAGCACCACAAGGGTGAAAGCACGTCTTAGCTTTGCACCCTCCAGAATGACGGCAGCACTACTCAGTCGTGAGGCTTCTTCCACAATTTAGACATAGATCTGAAGGGGAAGGAAATTTTCTTCAGATCAACCACTGGACTTTCGATTCCAAAGATTTCACGAGTACGTCAACCGCATGTACTCGGTGGGTCTTGGCGGAGTCGAGTATCGAACTCTGACCCTGCCGGACCTGAGTCTGATTCTCTAACCACTGAGCTACCACGCTCAAAATAAGATTGTAAAATACCACATGATTTATATTTATATTTTAATTGAATTTCGGCCTTGTATTTAGATGTTTCGAAAGATACTAACGAACTGAGAAATATCCATCGTCAATTAATTTGTGAAAATGTAATAAATATGTGTAGAAGGAGATTTAGAGCTTTACTCTCCGTCCCCACTTCTTTGACAAAAAATGTCTCTTATAAAAAATGTAGATATTGTTGTAACTTGGCACTTGTTTTTGGTCCACCCCAACTAAAACATCTAATATTTTAAACAGCTTACCAGACAAATTGAACTTAGTTTTAATGTGATATCCATCAAAATTATAGCCTTGTCTGTCTAATCTGGATGCATTAAATCCTTTTTTATCATAACCTAGAAAACATAATAAAACAGATTATTTAAAGTTGGTAGATTTTTGCAGGAAAAAACATTTTTTTTAATTTATATTTAGATAAATACCTTGATAGTCTAATCCATTAAACCTGAAAATTCCTTTTGAACCACCAAAACCATTTTCTGCATTTCGTTTCTCGTTTTCTTTTGATCTTCCATCCAAATTAAAACCATACCTAAAGCAAATATGGTAAGATGAGGTGCAAAATATCAGATTTGAGCAAGGTTGGTATTTCGACTAAAATGCTATAATTGAAAGATTAATGAACTAGATACATGTTATCGTTGTTTCATTTACTTCCAAGTACACAAGTCGATATCTTTTACATTGTTGCAAAAAAATGAACGGATTACCTAAATAACATTTGATCTAATTCAGATCTTTACATTCTAGGACTCAGTTTAAATGGTTTAAAAGGGTGATTACAACTGTGCTAATTAATTAGTGCTGTCGAAATCAGCACAAAAACGCAGTTTCTCTGAATAAACGTATAATTAATTTTTTTCGACAGAATCGGATTTCTGACCCCCAAAGCAAAGGGAGTTTAGACCACTTAATGCTAATATTTTACTTTTTTCGTATTTCACCACAACTCAGGAATTTTTAAGCGAACTGATAAATCTTCGGAACACAGTTATATCCAAAGATATTCTATGATATAACTTTCAGTAAATATTTATTGTTTTCTATGTGAGAGTGTGTGTGATTATATTATTTAATAATGGTCAAAAATTTTTTGAATAGTAAGGTATAAAAAATTTTACATCATTTTAAAGAGTGAAATTTTAAATGGATAAATACAAAATTTGAGCGAAATCGGTCAACTAGCACTTGAGAAAAAGAATTTTGAAAAAGTCGAGTTTTTCTTAAATTTGAGTTTTCAGGAACTACTCGACCAATTTTGCTCACATTTTGTATTTTTCCACTTAAAATTGCATTCTTTAAAATGACGAAAAAATCGTATTAATTTTACTATTCTTAAATAAAATGATAAAAAAAAATAATAAATATTTACTAAAAGTTATATTTTGCATGGAATTATCTATGGATAAACAAATTTGATAATTGTGCGCAAAAATTTTTCATTTAGCTTAAAAAATTCTCGAGACATAGTAAAATTTACATTAAGGGGTCAAAACTTTGGACAGCTCTCCTGACCAAATTAATGGGATCATATTTCACAGATTGCGGCTACTTCTTATGTTTTGAGGGACAAAAGTCTGAATCTGAAGAAAGAAAGTAGACGTTTACTCAGAGAAAGTACATTTTCGTGTCGGATTTCGTAACTTTAAATATCGTCTGCATTAATTAATTAGCATATTTGAAGTTACCCCCTCAAACCAACAAGATTGAGTCCTAGAACAAGAAGATCCGATCATTGGATAAAAAGTTATTCTGGGTGATCCGATTTTTATTTTGCTCACATTACAAAATATTTTTTATTTCGGCCTTAGTGGAAGCAAGTTTATACATATATCTATGCAAACTGGGTTATAAGAAATATAGAAGGTGTTCCATAGTTACCGCTCCTTATCTATATTTTTAGACATTATTTATGTATTTTTAGATATATTTATCTATATATTTATATTTTATCGAAGTAAAGACAAAAGAAGTTAACACGTTTGGCACACAATATGCAGACATGCTAACTTCGCCTGTTTAAACTTGAGATTTTTGTTAAATACTTTAAGTAGTAAAGTTTCATTCCTTATCATTTTACTTTAAATTTAATAAATTTAATGTACAATAATTTGAACCACTGCAATATATAAACAATTTTAACAAATATATACGACCTTTCATTTGGTTTTTATAAGTTTTAACCCTGGTCAAATAAAACAAATTGAGTGGAAATTAAAGGTACTTCGCAACCACGTAAAACATGGTGGGGAGTTAAGGCATCTATAAGTATGTAACTGAGATTTTTAAAAAAAGCTATCAAAATATGACAATCCTTTATTGAAGAAGTCTGGTATCAAAACAAAAAAAATCTGATTGTCTTTTAAAGTTTGAATTTTCTAATTATATTCTTTTAACCCATCCTTTTTTCTCGCACAATCAAACGTCCTGCCTCCCTATTTTTAATCCTGCCTCCCTATTCGTTTGACTTTAATAGCATTTTTTTAAACTTCCCTATTTGAATGTTAATTTAGGTCTTTTGATGAGAATATGTTTTCAACGTCATTTTTAACAAGGATTCTAAAATATATATTTACATCATCCCGTTATCATATATTAAATATCATCCTGTACATTGTGTATTGTTAGAATTAATTCATAGCCTAACTGAATTCTAGGAGCATTCGAAATTAAGTGGAGAAAAAAAAACAAAATTAAACTTTACCAATATTTGTATCAATACCGAAAATATTAAATATTTTTTTAATTTTGATTAAAATATATTTTAAAACATGCAGGGTTTGAGTCAATACAGTGATAAGCCACGTTTTCATAACTGTTCAGATGCGTTTTGGGTGATAACACCATGATTTCCATGCGCGCAATGAGATGTTTTTTTGAATTGTGCTGCTATCTAGTTGGAATTTCTGTAACTACATAATGTTTGGAAAATAATATGTTTGGAAACAATACTAAGGAAAAGATTGATCTAAAAAATCCCCTTAAGAAAAAGAGTGGCTTATCATTACATTGCTCCAAACTCTTCATATAACTAAAAAATTTAAAAACTTGGAAATAGTTTTAACCTGTCATATCCATCGGTGGTATATCCTATTATTCTGTTAGGAAACAGAGGATATCTCCAACAGCAAGCACCAATCATGCAAGACACGCGACAAGCATAATAAGAAAAAAAATTATTTGCATTTCCAACACATCCTTGATAGAAAAACGATACACAATCTTGTTTCTGAACGTCAAAGTACCAACGTTTGATAGGAGAACCACAGCCATTAATCACTAAATAAGGGTATAGAAAATAATAATATTAGTATAAATGAAAGATAAAATATGTAACATAATAATTAGTTAGCATCAGATGAGTTCGAAACCAATAATTTTATAGCCAATACAATAAAATTTGTGGATATTAATTCCAATTCAATTTGTTTATAGAAGTTTTAAGCATTGTCTTATGAATAGATGAGAAAGTATGCGTTATTATGGCTCGCTTGTGCAGTATTACGTGTAAGCAATTTCAAAAAAACATTTGTATTATTATAGCTCTTTCATGTAGTATTATGTATGAGAAATTTCAAAGAAACATTTGTATTATTATAACTATTTTGTATAGTATTATGTAAGAGAAATTTAAATGTATGAGAAATTTTAAAGAAACATTTGTATTATTATAGCTCCTTTGTGAGTTTTAAGTTCTCTATTTTGGTTAGTGATTAAAAATTACTTCATGTAAATGTAAGAATTTCAATAGGCTATGCAGTGCAAGCCTATTTCTTTCCATAAAGATTTGATAAACAATACTGAACACAAATGTCAACTTTGGAGAAAATCAGAGGAAAAACAGGGTTCCTTGTGACGTTAATATGTTAATATATATATATACAAAGGAAATTCTGATTCAGATTCCGTATGAATCACTTTCGAGGAAAGCGTTTTCAGCGAAATGAACACACTTTTTTGTTACTACAATTAGCATAGCTATACGGAAACTGACATGCATTTGTGTTAAAGCTTCATGTTTAGATTGTCTAACCATAAAGTTGTTATACAAATTAACCAAACTAATGCGATGACTCAGGGGATAGAGCGTTCACCTTTGAATGAGGTGAACCGGGTTTGAATCCCAGCGATGGCTGGTCGATACGAATTTCGCATCCGCCTTGCACTGACCAAAGTGTTGACGTGAAATATCCTCAGTGGTAGACGGATCATGAGCTAGAGTCCCCTTGCAGTCATACTAACCATGGGAGGTTCTCGTGGTCTTCCTCTCCATGTAACGAAAATGCTGATTGGTTCCATCAAAAAGTCCTCTATTAAGGCAAATTTCTACGATCCAAGAGTTTTCTAGTCATCTGGATTGGGTTCAAAACTACAAGGCTACGTAGTTGAACATTAGTAATTGTTAACCCAAATTTAGGTCGGCTGTTCAACGACGGTTATGAAATAAAATAAAAGCTAACCATGAAGTCAGCTGATTTGGCTAAGACTAGGGCTGCCTTTTCTCACCATTGGGGAACAGTAAATGCAAAGAATCACTATACGAGTGCATCTACGCCATTCAGTTCTTGACTTAAGATTCATTCTATATTCAAAATAATAACGACATATTTAAGCTGCAATAGATTTTCCTTTATTTTTGCTACATGCCTTACTGTTAATATCTTATAGCCTTTGCCCGAACACTATAATACAGGTTACAAGCAATTATGCTTTATAAAATTGTTTTTTCTTTCAAGTAATCTGCAAAAAAAAAAAATTTTTTTTAAAATAACGTAATAAGCTTACATCAACAAGTTAAAGAGAATTATGATCTTTACATCACCATCATTAGAGTTAAAATACAGATTTTCCTCAATGATGATGGTACTAGCGCAAAATACCGCGCTTGAACTTGTTCATTTATGTTTATTACGTCGAATCTATGTTAGTCTACTATCCTACTTTTTTTGGATAACAATATGTCATTGAACTGGCAACTGTCTGTAGCCAACTTGTATTTATGAAGCGAATTTAAATTTTGTTTATAAATACTGTTTAGTTTAGTAATTTTACCTTATTTTATAACCAATTTTCGGGTTTCAGACTACTAATTTACGTAGCCTTGTAACTTTGAACCGAATTCAGAGGACAAGAAAACTCCTGGATCAAATAATAGGGAAAATATGCCTTCGTGGAGGACTTTTTGATGGAACTAACCCACATTTGTGTTATATGGAGAGGAAAACTACAAAACTCACCCACTGTTTGCCTGGCGGCAAGGGGGCTGTAGCCCATGATCTGGCTGTCAAAGAGGATATTTTATGTCAGCACTGTGGTCCGTTCAATCCGGAAGCGGAATTCGTATCGACTGGCATAGCTGGGATTCGAACCCGGTTCACCTCATTGGAAGGCGAATGCTCTATCCTCTGAGCCATGGCGGCTCTAGTTTCATTCTTGTAAAGAATTCATCAGATGTTAGTTTCTTGGACTGCACCTATTTGGAATTTCATAACTTTATTTTCCAAAAATGGGTATCTACCGCATCGATCAGACGCAAACCAGGAGAATTAAGTTACTTAATCTAATCATCATCAAATTGAACCCAATAAGATAGATTGAGCACTTATTTAGATCAGACCCTAGGAAAATGTAAGTTATTTTTGAGGTTTATATGAGGTTGCTTTTAAGTGTCAAGGTTGATTTGAGGTTTATTCAAAGTTGATTTCAAAAACAACCTTAAAAGATCAACCTTCCAAGGTATATAATCAAAGTGTATGAAGTTGTTTTATTCACACTTGAGGTTGATTTGAAGTTGAGGGAAATCTACTTTAGAGCAACCAACTTAAAGAGGTTGTTTTTTAGGTGTGCGGAATAACTTTTTCTACACTTCAAGCAAATACATACATAAGAAGTGCGAATAATTTCCCCCGATCTGCACTAAAATTATTTTTTATTTATATAGTTTATTTCGTGAGGTGTAAATGAGGTTGAAGTTATTTTTGGTGCAGAACATAACCTTCTAATTGTTTTGAAATCGAGGGAAATCTACTTTAGAGCAACCAGCTTGGAGAGGTTGTTTTTTTTGGTGTTCGGAATAATTTTTTCTGCACTTCAAATAAATACATATATTAGAGGTGTGAATAATTTCCCCCGATCTACAGTAAAATTATTTTTGATTTGTATAGTTTATTTTGTGAGGTGTAAATGAGGTTGAAGTTATTTTTGGTGCAGAACATAACCTCATTTTCTACCTCATGTGTATTTTTTTTTACATCTGTCAATCTAAAAACAACCTCAGAAACATCTTTTTTTTGTAAAGTGAGGATAACAGACCCACTAAGACGCGCTCTCAGATAGTTTGACCTACACTTAGCCTCTTCTTCTTTGACCTTCACCTTCAGCTGGTTTGACGACGTCGAGAAAGATTTGAAAACATTTAGGGCGACTAATTGGAACCTGCGTGCATCTGATAGACTACGTTGGAAAAAACGTGTTAGAACGGCTCTGGCCTACTCTGGACTGTAGTGCCCAGAAACAGAAAAAGAATGTTTAATTAGAAACAAACTACTTACTACTTACATTTTCCTTGATCTAGGGGTAAAGAGCAACGTTGAACTGAAAGCTGTTCACAAAATTGACCCTCAAAACCTGGCTGGCACTCGCAAGTTATCAAATGTGGAAGAGTTGGCCATTCAGATGGTTGGCAAAGGCCACCGTGTTTACAAGGATTAGGACTGCAAAAATCTACAATAAGCATAATTATAGTCCTTGAATGTAAATATTTGAATTTAAACTGCAAACATGAACTAATAATATTAATTCAAGTTTATTTTAAAACATACATTTAAAGTATTACAGCCTGTCTCATATTATCAAGCACACAAAGAAATTCATTCCAATAATATTATACAGTCAAAAAATATGTGCCGTAATAGCGGTAAATTCTCCAATTTAAATTCAAATTGATTTTTAAATTAAATTAAATTAAATTTATTAAAATTGATTTTTAAATTTAATTAAAATTGATATTTAAATTTAATTAAAATTGATTTTTAAATTTAATTAAATTTAGCTTAATTAAAATTGATTTTTAAATTTAATTAAAATTGAGTTTTAAATTTAATTAAATTTAACTTAATTAAAATTGATTTTTGAATTTAATTAAAATTGATTTTCAAATTTAATTAAATTTAATTTAATTAAAATTGATTTTTAAATTTAATAGAATTAAATTTAATTAAAATTGATTTTTAAATTTAGTTAAATTAAATTAAATTAAAATTGATTTTATTATTTAATATTGTGCTTTTTAAAAACTTTGATTAAAATGACTATTTCAAAAATTTAAGCACGTTAGGAACTTCTTGATAAATGTGGAATTGGATGTTTTTCTTGCAAAATATGATGACTGGCAAATCATATCTAATCAAGAGCTCCAACACTCACAATGCTGAAAGCAGCAGAATTGATTTTTAAAAAAATGAAGTTTGGAAAATCTATAGGTAAAAATTCAAAAATAAGAGTGTTTCTAAAATTTCTAGATTTTAAATAATACCATTTTAAGGCGAAATATTGATCAAGTGTTGAAGAAAAAAGATGATTTCGTATGAAAACCGAAATGAGGACAGCACCTAAGCTGGTACCTCCGTCTCCAAACTTCCACACTACAGCCAACGAGAGAATTTTCAGCCACAACAGATCTAACGTGCACCTTGCTGCGATACACGCTTGGTTGTTTGTTTTATCGGCCACCAGGAATTTTTAAATTTATAACATTATGGTATGCACCGAAGAGCCATTACATTATAACCACCCTCCATCTATAACAATGAACTCGCCCAGGTTTTCATGGTTTCTCGCCCAGGAACAATGTTTTCATGGGGCACATTAGGACCCATAATCCTCATAGAACAATTCCTGACGTCTGTAAGCTACTTGAACATAGTTGCAGACCAGGTTCACCCATTCATGGCAACAGTTTTTCCAGCTGGGGATGGTGTTTATCAACAGGATAATGCACCATGCCATAAGGGTCGAATCGTCGAGGAACATTCCAGTGACTTTCAAATTATATCTTGTCCCCCAAATTCAACTGACCTTAATTCAATAGAGCACTTGTGGTCCTACTTGGAGAACCGAATTCGTGCTGCCACGCTATCCCCTTGCAATGTGAGGGAATTGCAGGACCAGTTGGTGAGCGCTTGGTACCAGATACCTCAGACTACCTATCAGCACCTTGTGGAATCAATGCCACGGCGGGTGCTAGCAGTTTTGAGGGCTAAAGGTGGTCTTACAAGTTGTTAGCAGGGTGATCATAATGTAATGGCTCTTCAGTGCATTTTAAAAGCTTTTTCATTTGCTTTATATTTTTTGAAATACTTTTGAATTAACTATGTTAACTTTTCTTAATCTTAATTTTTCTTTAAGTATAACTTAAAGTATTTTTGTAAAGTATTTTCTTAAAGTATTTAAAGTAATTTAAAGTATTAAAAAAACTTAACTTTCAAAATTAACAGAATATAACATATTAAAAATAGTTTTTAAAAAGAGTAAACTTATTCAGAGTTATTCTTATTATTTATAATGGTCGATATTTTACGATCAATGAATGACCGACTCTTTTACCGGTGTATAAGTCGACAGCCTGATTTTTGCAAAATTTTGGGTGTTTAAAAAGTCGACTCATACACCGGGATATACAGTAGTTTTAAATGCCACTAGAAACTTTTTTTGAATTATTAATTATTTCTCAAAGTACAATATGTTTTAAATATACTTCAAAAATCAAATTAAAGACAACAACAAAAAAAACATGAGATTGACCAAATTCAATTGTTTTTGGAATGAAAAACAGGAAGATTTCCACCAAGTATCATTCTGAGAGACTTTAGGCCCACACTACGGAGGCTAATTTTGATGATGCTCTTTCTATTTATTTATTGACATACGTAAGTTCTGTTATTGTATCAAGGATAAATTTTTTAGATAGCTAAAGGAAGGTATGTGCAAAACTTAAAAAATATTGCAGGCAAAAGATTTTGTAGATAAGTTTCGTTTTTTATTCATGTCAGTGGTTAATCTGCTTTAAAATGTATATTTTTTAAGTAAAACGTTGCTAAATACTTCCAAATAGCTAAAAAGTAGTCCTATAATAATGAAAATGTTTCTAGGCTATTGAGTAGTTTTAACATATTTTAAAATCACCAAGGATTGAAATTTTTTCTGGTGTCAAAAAATCAAACTAATTTAAATTTTTGTAGATTAGGTTTCATACGATATCTAATGAAAAACAAGACTTAAGTTGAAAAATATGTTTAAATATAGAAGCTTTCTTAAGAATATGAACTTTACCTAATGCTGATTCTTTGCATTCTATATCCTGATTATTCACGTGACAAGTTAGGGAACAATTTCCACATAAAGAAAGTCTGCATGGAGCGTAAGTGTAATAAGGACACTTTGATAGAGCTGACTCATCACATACGGGTACGGAAAGCTAGAAATATTCAAATATGTAATGTAAATTAAACATTTATATGCGTGTATAAGTGTAATAAGAACACTTTGATAGAGCTGACTCATCACATACGGGAACGGAAAGCTAGAAATATTCAAATATGTAATGCAAATTAAACATTTATAAGCATGTATAAGTGTAATAAGAACACTTTGATAGAGCTGACTCATCACATAAAGGAACGGAAAGCTAGAAATATTCAAATATGTAATGCAAATTAAACATTTATATGCATGTATAAGTGTAATAAGAACACTTTGATAGAGCTGACTCATCACATAAGGGAACGGAAAGCTAGAAATATTCAAATATGTAATGTAAATTAAACATTTATATGCGTGTATAAGTGTATTAAGGACACTTTTATAGAGTTGACTCATCACATACGAGAACGGAAAGCTAAAAATATTCAAATATGTAATGCAAATTAAACATTTATATGAGTGTATAAATATGCTTATAAAGTATTTGTTACCTAAGAAAATATTCATCTGTATAAGTTAAATGAAATGTTCACTTGTAAGTAAAAATATTGGTATGCATATCCTGACTTCTCCCTAGGAATAACAAAGGGCAGGGCGCTTCCTCAGAGTAAAGGGCACTTTGAGTTTTGAAAAGGCACTCACTTAACATTTTGGAAATTTATCAAAATGTGTAATATTATGTATTAACTAAATTTGATACTTAACAATTTTTAAATTACTTTCTTATACTATTTTCTGTACATATTTCAAAAAGTAATTCTCACTCATTATTAAAATAAGAGAAAGATTTATAGTCTATAAAGATGATTAAAGGCAAGCCAAAAGATAATCACTGTGCACAAATTTTTTTTCAAACAAAGTAAACTAAAAAAGAAATCATTATTAATAAATAACTTGAAACCTTTTTTTTTTTTTTTTTGGTAATTTAAGCTAAAAATTATGAGAGAAAAAAATTTAAAGATGTCATTTTCTTTTAAAAAAATTTATCAAAAAATAATTTCAAAATTTAAAATCACTTAAATTCCTTAATATAACTCCGAAAAAAGAGAAATTTAACCAGTTGAAAATAATTCTGGCAAAATAAACATTTGTAATGGTAATCAGAATTAAAACTATAAAAACATTTAATTTAGCCAGTGTGTAATTATTATTTATACAATTAATTATTTTTTTTTAAATGAATTATGCATATAAAGGCTGTATTTTTATAAGATGGCTGCTTATTTTTACAAATAGGGTGCATCAAAAGGCAGGCAGAGCTGGCCGCCCTTCAAAAAACTCTCAGGAAGAACACCGCATATCAACTAATATTGAATCAAATAATATTCTACAGTTGTAGTTAAAATTGTCCTTTTTAAATAAAAGGTATATTAAGCAATATACACTTATTGCCATAAAAATTGGCACACCTAAAAAGAATTGTTTTACATACGCAAGTATAACACTGATATATGTAAGTGATTAAAAAATCAAATAAAATCAGCACCCGGCTCTCTCCGACCACAGTGCTGACATAGATATCGTCGGTGGTAGACAAATCATGGGTTAGAGTCCCCCTGCCGTCATTCCAATCGTGGAAGATTTCGGTTGTTTTCCTCTCCGTGTAACGCAAATGCGAGTTAGTTCCATCAATATTAGTGCAATAATATCAAAAGACCTTCACTAAGTTAAAATTTCCCGCAATACTTGATCCAGGAATTCCCTTGTCTTCTGCATTGGCTTCCAAATTATAAGGCTAAGGCTCAAAAATTTGAGACGACTGTTCAACGGCAGTTATAAAATAAAACAAGCAGTGCTCGGTGCAAGCACACACAGCAAGAGTGTCACAAGAATTCCTCCTTGATGCTACCACCTTTCCCTGGCCTGCACGATACCCAGATTTGCCACCGAACAAACACATCTGGGACCACTTGGAACGGCAAATTGACCAGCTTCCGAGTTTAGTTGATTTAGTGCTGCTTTTACAGCAACTTTGGAACTAGATACTGCTGAGCATCAAGCAAAAAGCGACCCACTTTACTGTCCACACGTAAATTTTTTTCTAAAACTTATTTCTTTATATATTTCAGAATTTTCATTCTTTTTTTTAGCTTCTAATATTTTTGTGCTATTCAAATTTTAAAGCCATGTTTAAATGTTTAAATAGAATAGTAGTTATCGATTATAAGATCAACTGATGCATTCATTTACCATATCTCAGTCATATTACATTTTTTATAGATTATGTTACTGATTAGGCAATCTTCGAGATTAACATATAAATTATTGAACTATCATACTGTTAGTTAATTTAAACCGAGTAATGTATTTCTATTATTATTCCTCATAATATTAATTTATATATGGTTGGCACTTTGTTTATTGATTATTTTAAAATTTCAAACAACTGACTACAGTGTGATATTCTTACCTCATTAGAAGAGCAGGAATTTTCAGAAGGATTACTTATTTCAGGTGAAAGGAAAATATCTGCAGTGAAGCAAAATTTATCACACAATTCTGATTTCATTGTAACTGGCTATAGAGAATGCAGAGAGAAAAAAATTTACAATTTCAGAAAAATATTTACGGTAAAAAAGTTTAAGCATATTATGAGGAAAATTAATTATAGAAAATTAAACACGCTTTATGAGAAATTAATGTAAAATTATTATTGAATTGTTCGCAAAGTGATTTCATTTTTTCCCAACCAAAAACTTCCTTTTAATTTTTCAGTCAATTTCACACTTAAGCTGCATAATCATTATATATTTTGACAGCTGATACAGTAAGGCTTGTTTGTGAAAAAAAAGTTCTAAGGTTCTAGTAAAATAAGTTCTAGTTAAAAAAGGGTTCTACGCAGTAGTTTCTAATTGGAGCCTTTTCAAGTATGAAAAGTGAAAAGTAGAATTTTCAGCATATTTTTCTTTTTTACTATCGAAAAATGTATAAATGCTGTTCAAGCAAAGAAAAAATTATCCGATGGATGTGTATGGAGAAGATGTATTCGTTGTATTGGTCAGTGATAAAACTGATTTGAAACATTTCGATACGGCAAGCAAAATTTCGATCCAGCAAGCAAAATTTCGATTACGATGCACAATGATGCACCACGCCGTCTTAAGCTGACGAAGACAAAATGAAGGTAATAGTTGATGCAAACCTAAACAGCTCGTGAAGATCATGAGACATCAGATTTATCGAATTTGACCGTTCGTGATCATTTGCAAAGCCTTAGATTTAATCTCAAAGTTTGACATATGGATTCTTCAAGTTCTTACGGAAAGAAATTTGTGCCGTCACATTGACGTCTGTGATTTAATTATCAAATATCAAGAAAATTATCCATATTTAAAGCGCATGATCACCTAAGACGAGAAACGGTTTGCCTATAACACTGTTCTGTACACAGTTCTGTACTTCTGTGCAGTCAAAAATCCCTTGAATCAGTTCTTTGCCAGCAAAGAAAAAAATTTTATGCCCCTGGAATTATGCTACTTCCAGAAAAAAATGGCAAAGGTTATTGGATCTGAATGGACAATATATGATTCAATTAAATATTTATTCACTATAATAATGTAAGTCTGTCATATTTTTAAAAAAATTAATTTACTTAAAGAACAACCCAATAATATAAGTCGATCAGTTGCAAAATTGCTCAGCACCATGCAGAATTTTTTTACCCACTTGAATTGAAAATAACTTGTTTACAAACAGGCTTTCATTCTGCTCTGTATTTTTTACAGACTACGAAAATAACTTAGATTACAAACAGTCATACATTTTGCTCTATTCTTTACAGGAAGCAAAAGTACCTTCAATTGCAGAAGTTATTTCATTTAGAAAAATTAGAATGGTACGAGATTTGCAACTGGACGTCTCATATGATGATATTAAATAAAATAGAAAAAAAAATACTTGAAAATTCGAATGCATCTCAAAATCATCAGGTTGGACATTCCATATCTGATTTGTGTAAGTGGTAGGTAAATCGGAAGGAGACAAGCATGTTCTCGGAAGAGTTTTTAGAAATGTTTCTTCCTGATTATAAAGAACTGATTGAATTCTACGTCCAGCATCTAAAACATTTCGAATCTCTTCTTCATTTCCACACTCGTAAGCACATCCAGATGAATAACTGTTCTGATATGTCGCTGTAATAAATAAAAAAAGAATAACAATTATTTTTTATTTTAGGTACCAGAAAGTTTATAAATTCAGACTCTCTCTAAAAGTGCCAAAAAATAATGTAATTTAAATAAAAACGAATGGAATTACTTTTTAATTTCAGATACCAGAAAGTGTATAAATTCATACTCTTTCTAAAAGTGCCAAAAATAATTTTAATTTAAATGAAAAAGAATGGACTAAATCAAAAAACAAGGTGAATAAAGAATAAATGAAAGTGCAGAAATGAGCATACTATAGTTTCAGTTCTTTAAACAAGAACCTTTCTCAATGTCTAAACACCAAATGATGTTTGAAAAGTAAAAAGACAAACACGAGCAAAGTGATTTAACCAATAGGAACAGAGGACCAAGTTTGAACTAGATAATAACAAAAGGATCTAAGGATCTATCTGACGGCAAGGGGACTCTAACACACAGTCCGTCTACCACTGAGGATATTTTGCGTCATCTTTGTTGTTGGTTCAAGCTGGCTGCGGAATTCGTATCGAGCAGTCATTGCTGGGATTCGAACCCAGTTACTTCATTGGGAGACGAGTGTTTTATCCCTTGAGCCAACACGAAGCACCCGACAGTTTTATCGTGCATTCGTCTCTATTATAAACACGGGAAGTCTACGGCTATTGGGATTCGAACTCACGACTACTAGGATATGGACCGACACCCTACCAGCCAAACTTTCCCTGCCTCCAAATTGTTTTACAACACCTGATTGATAGAATGTGGCAATAATGGCTGTTCTTACTTTCCTAACCCGCTAAATATGCACAAATCGAGTATATAGGCGTCAGGATCTTGCTAAATATAATATTTTACATTAGGAACTAAGACATGTTTCCTATATTTATGTAAACTTTCCTTTTTTAACTTATAGAACTCAGTTAGAAAGATACAATTGTATGATGTAATTAATGTATAAGAGAATTATTCCTTGGTTAGACACATAATTTATGTGAATATAAAAAATGAAACAATTCAAATTACCTCTGTTTGAAGTTGAGAAACTTTCTCTATTTGCTCCTCTGAATTCTTCGGAATTATAAGATACACAAAGGTTCTTTTCAGAATCAATAAGAAATTTTTGTTTTGTATTGAAGGGTATTAAATTTAAATCCAATATATCAGCTCCGTAATTTTCTAGGCTTTGGTGGATATGACGCTTTTCCCACTTCCAGAACAGCATATCAATATACGCATGCAGAGAATAATAGATTGGATCAAAAGGACTGTCTAGAAAATTTAAAAAATATATACTTTTAATTCAATAAAACCAAAACACGAGTATTAAACAGTGTGACTGGTGATTGTATTATATACTCTCTCTGCCATATAACAACTGTGTCAGATGGATATATTTCGCGAATTGTATACATTAATTAATATGATTCAATCGTGTCTCCTGAATATCAATATTTGCATGTAGAGAATAATAGATTGAATCACAAGGACTATCTAGAAAATTTTAAAGAAATATATACTTTTAATTCAATTAACTAAAACATGAATATTATACAGTGTGACATGTGATTGTATTACATTACTATCTAGAAAATTTTAAAGAAATATGTACTTTTAATTCAATTAACTAAAACATGAGTATTATACAGTGTGACATGTGATTGTGTGACATGTAACAACAGTGTCAGATGGATATATCTCGTGAATTCTATGCATTAATTAATATGATTCAATCGTGTCCCCTGAATATCAATATTCTCATATAGAGAATAATAGATTGGATCAAAAAATTTTAAAGAAATATGTACTTCGCTTTATTGTACTGCTTTTAAATCATTTATAACTCAAAAAATCAGTATGTAACATCTGCTATACAGCAGTTCTCACTCTGTTTATCAATGTTTCTGCTGAAAAGTAATTTTTTACGCAAAGGAAAAAATTATATATAGTAGTTTGAGTTGTATCCAATGCTCTTATTTGCTAAAAACTAAGTATAAAAAATAAATAAAATATGTCAGTAACAGCAAAATGAAAATTTAGAGATATTCCTATGCTAATTTATTTTTCTCTATTATTACATAATAACTATTTCTAACGAATAATTAAACAATGGCATTTATTTGGACGCAAAAGCTATCGTAAAACTTTATTAATGCAAAATCATTGTAAATTGACAAATGAATTACACTGATTTTGAATTTTACAGCACCGTTGCAACTGAAGTTCTTGGAGGTATACATTCGCATATTTTGTTTACAACTAATTTATTCTTTGACACATTATCCAGGGTGTTCCGCAATCCTCACCGTCAATATGTATTTACGTTTTTTTTTTCTTTAATCATTGTCAAAAATGAAGTTAAAATTATTTACCCATTAGAAATATCTCAAATTAACGCAGTGACAAAACAAAAACGTTGTCAAGATTTAGATAAATTATTATTGAGGAAATTGTGATTAAAGTTCTAAAAATCTCCTCGATTGGTAGAGGACATTAAGATGAGGTTGAAAGCAATAATCGCTACTTATAAACATTAAACTGGCTTAAATATTTTTATCCCATCTTCCTCACTAGTAATTTGGCAGATTTCGATCACGTTGTTTTTTTTTTCTATTTAAGTTTATTTATTTTTTTCAGGGATTCTTAAAATATACGTTATTGCCCATGATTACGAAACATCATGTATACATATCAATGATTGGAATAGTGCTTAGTTGGCTTCTACGGAAAGAAGCATTGGTGCTTTGCAAGCTTTCTCTTTATGTATTTTTTCTTAATTAATAGTTTATTGTTATTATGATCCTGTCACGTGATTGATCTTCAACTCTTTGCACCTAGATACACTGTTCTTATTCACCAATCATCTCCCATTAATGTAATATTGTTTATCCTTACCATACAATTAATAAATGACAGATAAAGTATTTTTTATGGAATCAAAATGAAAACACAAAATTAAACTTACTGGTAGTTTCCATATCCCCTCCTATAAAATTATGCAAATAACTAGAAATTCCTTGAAGCGCTGTCGTGAATTTCATAAAATCTGGTTTTGTTAAAGCTAAAGCTAGATCTATCATAGTTGGTGAATTTCCGTTTGTTTTTACTTTTCTTGTAATGCAAGGTGTCCAAGCAATTTCGGTATTTGGAATGAAACGTTCTTGACAACCATTTTCATTGCAATGTGCTGACCCAAAGAAATCTGGTCTCCAAATTATTGAAGATGATAAATTACCAGCATCCAAAGAAAAATCAAAATAAGGAATGGTGATGGAACAATTCCATTCTTGCAAATGTCTCTCAACAGTTCTAAGAAAGTATCGATTCCAGAATAGGAAATATTGAGGAGAGTTTGCGTGCATCACGTGGGTAACATATAAATTTCTGAAAGATGTCCACAAACTTTTATCCTTTCCTTCATAGAGATGAGATATTGCTTTTTGGTATTCAAGGCGTTCAGCATAGCTCAGGTCACGAATTTCTCGGCGTATGTTCAGAGAGGGACAACTAAGAAGAAAATAATAAAAATGGGATATTAACTTGTCTATCACCTCCAAAATCCTTCGAAAAATTAGAATCAAAATAGATTCAAAAAATTTTATTATATCTTAGCACCAAAAATGGTTGCAACTACTTTACACCAAAAGTGGTGCAATGAAACAAACTCTTGGTGTATCAAACATCATGGACAATTCTTAGTTTTGTTAAACGCCTGGAATGTTCTTATATATTTCAGTTCGTGTTCAGTAGTTGCCACCATTTTTAGTGTTCAGTAACACTAAAACTTATAAGTTATAACAGATGTATAAAAATTTTCACTAAACTGTAACTATATTTATTCACTAAACTCCATAAAGAGAGATGAAAGAAGAAAAGAAATCGAAAAAATGAAAAATAAGAAAAAGCTTTAAATATAAACAGAGTAGAAAAATTTTTCCTCGAATATTAAAGCTTATTGATATAATTCCTAGAGTATACTCTTTTAAACATAAAGGTTATTTTTTAACCCGAAATCATAAAGGAAAATAATTTAATTTTTAAACCAAAATTTTTTGCATATTTATATGCCTTGAAACGCCATCTTTATGGTTATAAAGTGATAGTTATAAATTTCATTGTAAGTTTCAATAACTAAACGTTTCTTCATAAAATATTCAAATTGAACTACCCCATAAAAAAAAATTTCTTATTGATTTTCAAAATTATCTCCTTATCTTAATTGTTATCATACTTCCTTGTTTTTTTTTTTTTCATGTTTTGCAATAAAAAGCAGAAAAATGAAATGAAATAAAATAAATGCCCTACAGAATTTTGATAACAAAAGAAGCGATAAAAGTACTGTGTTTATTTTTATGTCCCGTCTTATTATTCTTTTAAAATATATTCGAGTAAAATAAACATTATAATTTGACTTATACTTGATCTAATAATCGGAAAGAATTGTCAATGGATAGAAACTGAGGTATGTAGAGAATTTACAAATTGGCATTGTTGTGCACATAAATATGAATACAACTAATATATTTTTTTTTAAAACTTAGGTTTAACTCTTAGGACTAATTTAGGACTAATAGATCAAAATTAATGCAGAACTCTATTTACATGAATCGAGTGATAATTTAATAAACATGAATGTATCTTAAGGCTAATATAAATGAATTTATTGATAGCTTAAATATGGAAGCCCCGATTATATCAATCGATGTTCAAAATTTCTGAAATGGTAGTCAACTTACGTGCATGAGATATGTTCATCTAAACATTCACATTTGTCGCATCCAAATGAAAATTCTGATCCAGGACTATATAGAGATATTCCTGTATGGCAAACTTTTGATGCTATCATTCCACAGCCTTCAGGGGGACATTTTATTCCTGGATAATAGCCTAAGACTTCCACATTTTCATCATGACACAAAACTTGGCAATTTTTCATTGTTTCAGCCTGCATATAGTATATAGATAATTGGAAAATGTCTTAGTTATGTTCACACACTGATAGCTGAAATCAGTCTTTACAGTAGTAACATGTTAAAATGCGAAATATCTAAAGAATACTAGATACCGAAATCAGTTTTTACAGTAATAACATGTAAAAATGAGAAATGTCTGTAGAATACTAGAAGCCGAAATCGGTTTTTACGGTAGTAACATGTTAAAATGTGAAATGTCTAAGGAATACTAGAAGCAAAAATCAGTTTTTACAGTAGTAATTTGTTAAAATGTAAAATGTCTAAAGAACACTGATGGAAGCCGAAATCAGTTTTTACAGAAGTAACATATAAAAATGAGAAATGTCTAAAGAATACTAGGATCCGAAATCAGTTTTTACGATAGTATCATGTTAAAATTTGAAATGTCTAAAGAACACAAGAAGCTGAAAACGAAATGTCTAAAGAATAGAAGCCGAAGTCAGTTTTTAAAGTAGTAACATGTTAAAATGTGAAATGTCTAAGGAGTATTAGAAAGTCGAACTCAGATTTTCGAATAGTAACATGCTGAAATGTGAAAAGTCTAAAAAGCGCTAGAAGTCGAGATCAGTTTTTACAGTACTAACATGTTAAAATGTGAAGAGTCTAAAAGCATTCATAATTCTACGTTTTTAAGAGGAGATTAAAAAAAATCGAAGTTTGAACCTAATGTCGGCTATTCAGAGTAACGTTTAGTTAGAACCCGTACTTACTACATGTATGGCAGTAAATAACCAATCGGATCCAGCGCTCGAATCCCCAGATCAATGAAAGCGAATTGATTAATCACTGAATTAATAAATAAGCATATCTAGTGTCTAGTCACCGAGCCTATGAATAAACTAAATCAGTGAATCAATGAAAGAGCGGATCAAGGAATTAGTGATTATTTGACCTGAATTATTCATTAGTTGGCAGGTTTATTGATTCGTTAGCCCACTAATTCACTATTTTATTAATTCACCGACTCATTGTTCCCTCTGATTCATCAACTCGCTCATTCTATGATTCTATGATCTTACTCGATATTTTGTTTACTCGTTGATTCGTTACTTCGTTTAATCGTTGATTCGAGGGTATTTAATTCACTGATTAACTCTTTAAAATATTGGTTTTTCAATTCACTTATTTATCAATATTCCCATTCAACAATTGACTGATTTATTGATTCACTTATTTTTAAAAAATTAGCCGATTTATTTATCGTTTTGTTCAGTCGTATTTTTCTACCTTTATACCTATTTTATTATGAGTAATTTAGTTACGAACTGTTACACGTATAGTAAGAACATATTTACAGTAAGCCAGATTTTGATTCGGGTCTTTCCTATACTGTAAAAAAATTTCTAAAAATAAAGAAAGAAAACCGAGAATTTTAGTAAAAGTACATAAGTGCTTGTTTAAACGCACATAACCCAATTTCACGTAAACAGATTTACAAAAAACGCAGTGTTCCCGAATATTTCTCCAAAAGTATTTTCTTTCAGATATTTCAATGTATATTGTTGTTTATTTCATAGCCAGGTAATCACCCATGAGCGTGGTGGGTAGAGGCTTCGCCTACTACGTCATCGAGTTGGGTTCGTCGACCCCTTTTAAAAGCTGGTTACTTGATTGATTAGCACGTTCTTCGATCATGCCTTTGTCCTCCAATCGTCCCCACTCTTATATAATATCTCTGTCGGTTAAAGAACCGAAAATGTCTGCAAGTCGGGAAATATTTACTGATTTTTACAAGCTTCATTTGTGAAAATTTACTAAACCTTCTGTGAATATTTTTCTGTTTTTCTTAGGAAGATTTTCCGTTTTCAATTCTCTTTAATTTTACATGATACTCCTAATAAAAGATTTTCAGTAAATTCTCATGTAAAATAGTCACGTCTCCGTAGTAAGAAAACGGAATTGGGAATGATTATGTGTGCTTCGCAATATCACTAGAAATTATGCTTAAAAATGGATTTCGGCTGTTTAGAGTAACATATTTAATTAAATGTTTAAAAATTTGTATTACCTGGCAAATTACATCGTGTAAATCTCCTATCTTCATACGGTAACAGCAAGTTCCTTGTAAGCATGACGAAGAACACTCCTCAAAAGTCGTGAAGGTTGAACCATTTTCAAAACAGCCTAAAAAGTTTTGCTTGATTAATAGTGATGAGATTGGCTCATATTGAACGGAAATCTGGCTCAATTTCACATCGTAATTAAGGTTCTAACAAATTTAAACCATCTAAATTATTCAACACGCAAGAAGGGAAAATTTTTCGAAGAGTGTAACGTGTAGCGCAGAATGTTGTAGCATTTTTCTTTTAACCTCTTTAAGAATTAACTAACAGCTCCAAATGTCTACACTATTTTTGACAAGAACTCACAAAATATATATTAAAGGTATCTTGCATACGTATTGTTAAAATAGTAAATCGGAGGAAAATTAAATGCGTAGTATTTTCTGCTTTCATGAAAATATTTATTTTAAGAAAATGCTAATTAATGTATATGAAAGCAATAATTTTTCCAACATTTTAACCAGTACATTCCTTTTTTTCGATGCATGTTTCATTTAAACAATGGTGATACCTTATTTAATCTATAAATTCTTTTAAAACTATTTGTTACATGCATTCTAAAATCACCCATTAAAGATGGCGTTTGGGGAGTTCGCTGTATTATTCAATTTATGTATGATACATTATTATGACTATTTTTTTTTCATTTTATAGTTTTTAGTTATAATTCTTTGAGATTCTTTTAAAAATTATTTGTCTTATCTGAGGAACTAGAATAATACAGAAAAAAAGTGGAACATTTTTATTTATTTATTAAAACTGCTTCCATTAGTGTTTCTTTTTTATCTATTTTTTTTTATTTCGACTACTTTTCCCATTAATCTATTAAGATCATTTTTTTTTTTTTCGGTTTTGAGTACTTTTCCTACTGGTTCATTAAATATTGGGGAATTTTAAGCTCTTAGATTAGGAAAAACAAAACAAAAATCGCCGTTGGATTAAAGGGATTTACTCTTCAAAAGTTTTGCATATTTAGGGATTTGCTTTATTACCCCCCCCCTCCAAAAAAAGTAATAAATAAAGTGATATATTGAAAAAATATTTGTATTCGGTGGAGAAAGCGAAATTGTTTTTTTTTTTCAATTGATTCATAATCTTCTAAAAATAATCAAAAAAAAATTATATGAAGAATTTTAATAAAATAATAAACAGTAATAATTTAAAAATACCATTTTGAAATCAGAAATTGTTTTAAATGCTAAAAACAAAAAAATGCTGGGGGAAAATTAAATTAAAATTAGGATAATTTTAATTCAAATTAGCAATAAATTATTAATATTACAGTAAAATATTTTCATTTATATCAAAAATCAAAAACATAACTGTTTTAAAGTTTTCGCATTTTGATTTATTTTTAAATGGCTCGCAGAAGATTTGTGAACAAGCTATACGTTATTAAGAAATGATGCATGCAACATCACAAATTAGGTTAAAAAAATATATTCATAATAAAAATTCGATGCATGTATTAAAAAAATTTTCAAAAACGTGCCTTGAACCATCTTAAAAAAGGGATCTAAGACTTTGAAACAAATATTCAACTTACATAATAAATATTGATGCATGCAACATCACAAATTAAGTTAAAAAGATATATTCATAATAAAAATTCGATGCATGTATTAAAAAAATTTTTAAAATTTATCTTGGACCATCTAAAAAAAGGGATCTAAGACTTTGAAACAAATATTCAACTTACATAATAAATATTCCCAAGATACTGAAGTGATAAGATATTACTTAATTAAAACTTCATTCACTTCAAAAGTATACAAATTGGAACTTATATCGAACAAACAAGACGCGCTTTAAAATTTAAACTTAAGGAACACGATAGATATGTCCGCTATCAAGAATGTGAGAAATTATTAATTGCTGCGCATTGTTGGAATCTTGGGCATAAATTCAATTTTGAAAATGCCAAAATTATTTCCACCCCAGTCACATCAGCTCAACTTGATGTGCTGATTCCTTTATTAATGACATTAGTTCCTCACCACCTCTCCATAGCGCTTGGAAATGCATTTTACTCTGATTTGGGCATCTCAGCCACTGTGGTTTTTCTTGTTCCATTTTTCATCTTTTTTCTCTCATGACTACTGTGGTTTTTCTATTTTTTGTTCCTCGTGTTAATTTTTCTATTTTTTTGAAATTCAACGTTATTGAATTTCAAAACACTTTTGTTTCTCCTCATTCACGTCTGTCAAGTCTTGAAAAGGGGCGCCTTTTTTGGAGCGCTTGAAACATTTTGGCTGTTATTTCAAATTTGTATATTTTTGAAGCGAGTGAAGTTTTTAATCAAGCAATTCAGCTTACCTGTTTTTGTTGATTTACACTGATTTGAGTAGGAATCAAAGAACCAAATAGACTGATTATGATTGCAGTTATTTCCTGTTCTAGTAGGAGTGCAACTAGTAATTGATTGTTCACACAATGGACCTGAAAATCCATTTGGACAATCACATTGAACTGAATGGCTTCCAAGAGAATTCATACAAGCCCCACCATTCAAACAAGTATTTTCATTACATTGAAGTTCACAGTGAGATGAATGGAAAGATGTATAGCAATTTATTCTATGATTCTGAAGGGGAAAAAATATGTCTTTTAAATAATGAGATTGACAAATCAAAAAGTGTTAAAGTTATTTAATTAATTATAATTGATTATCGCTAATTAAACTTTTATTGAAATTCTTTTTTAAAAGAAAAAGACTAAGTTCAATATAAATTTGTATACACTGAGGATAAATATTTTAAAGACAAGCACACTGTAAAAAATTGATGCTTAAATGTCATGAAGCGTCCCTCATTTTTGACGAAACCGTTTCTTGCTATATGCTACGAGTGAATATTTCGTCAAAGTGTCGAAATAATTATCATGGAAACGAATTTCGTCGAAATTAAAGAAATATTTTGTTATTCGATTTTTTTACCAAAAAAGTCGTGGTGCACAAAGTATCTAACTTTTCTAATAATCTCTTTATCGTGGGCACCATATAAGAGGATTAATGTCACCCTGACAACACAAGACACAAGTCAAAATTCTTAGTTTTTCCATCAAAACATTTTGATGGTTTATGTTAGTTTCAGTGCAATTCATGATGGTCCAACATCATTTGATGGTCACCATCATCCAACATTTTCCATTATGCATGATTCATGGAATTTTTTAATACACCAACAGACTTCCATCATTCCATGATGGAAAACGCTACTTTAATGCTATGATGGTTAACCATCAGGAGAAGTTTGATTCTTATCGACCAATAATCCATGATAATTCGTGGTGGTCAACGATGGTTCCAACTATTCCATTTTTATGATTGTTTAATGGGAATTCTTGCTGGTTCTCAGGAATATAACATCAAAACAGTTTGGGTCTTTTATGTTGGACCATCATAAATCTGTCCGAATTCCTACATTAAGATGATGGTTGTTCATGATCGTTCCAACATTTAATTTCTAAGATACTGTGATGGAAATTCGTGATGGTCCATAATGGTACAACAATGCATTTTTATTGATGGGTTAATAATATTTATTGTTGGTTCAGCAGGAATATACCATCAAAATATTTTTTTAAATGTTGTTCCATCAAAAATTAGTCCGAATTCATACATTGGGGTGATGGTAGTTCAAGATCATTCCAACATTTGATTTCTACCATGTAGCAAAAAGACTTGATTATAGCATAAGAACTTTATTTTCGATCGTCTATTATTCTAGTTTCGCCACATGACCAAATTACTTTTATAATTAACGAAATATAGCTCAAGGAATGATATAATAGGTAAATTTATTGATTTAAAATATTTCTGTTCCCTGTAACCTTTTTTCTAATGACAGTTGATCAAAGGAAAAAATATTGGTTAATTAATTTGAAATCAGTACTTGAGTTGAACAATATTTTGAATCATTTGATTCGAATAACGCGAGTCACCATTGTTTGTTTACGTCACTTTATTTGCATCACTGATCCGAATCACTTTATTCGAATAGAGATCTGAATCACTTGAATTGAATCAGAGTTAAAAATCACTGGGCTCAAATCAGTGATCATCATCACTTGTTTGGAACAGTAATTTGAATCACTTGATTTAAATAAGCAATCCGATGGTTTGATACGATTCAGCGACCCATATCACTTAATTTAAACCACTCTTTTGAATCAGTTGTTTACTTTTACAGATCACTGATCCGAATCACATGATTTAAATCAGTGATACAACTCACTTTATAGGAATTCTTCGACGGACTTGCTTGATACATATCACTTGATTAGGATAATGGTTTAAATCGCGTGATTCGAAGCACCAAACAACTGATCTGAATAGTTATTTGAATTAGTTTATTCAAATCACTGATCCGAATTCCATGATTTGAATCTCTAATCTGAATCACTGATCCAAAAAGTAATTTGAATCACTTGGTTTCAATCTAATCACCTGAATTAAATTAGTAATCCAAATCACTTGATGAATAATTTTTTTGAATATTAATTTGAATCATTCGATTTAAATCATTGTGGTGAATCATCTGATTCAAGTACCTATCCCGAATCACATGATTTGAATCACTTATCCAAATCACTTCATTCGAATCATTGATCCGAATCACATAATTCAAATCATTAATCCGAATCACTTGATTCAGATCACTGATCTGAATACTTTATTTGAATATGAGATCTGAATTACGTGATTCAAATAAGTGATTCAATAATCAACGATCAATAAAAATATGAATAACAAGCATTTATTATCATTTTTATTATCTAGGATAATAAATATGTATTCTTGATTGCCTTTTGTCTGCTATAATGGTTAAAAACTATATTTTAAAAAAAAATCGCGAAAGATATAAGTTTTAATAAATGTCTAGTCTTGAATGAAGTTCGTTCTTTGTAATGATTTTATATTATTAAGATAAAGATTTCCGTTTTTTGTTTGATTTTAAAAATGGTTTGAGAATATTTTTTCTGAAAAAAAAATTTTATATTTACCTCACACCTGCATGTTGTACATGGATCTGGATACCATATATCTCCATTAGCATAAAATATGCCTCCTGATTGGCAGTGTTGAATAACTCCACACTGGCCGGATAAAGAATTTACTTCTAACTGTAATTCTGTATTCTAAAATGACAAAATTGATTACCAAAAAACCCATCAAAATGTATAAATATTTTAAGCGTAGTTATCGATAACCACAAATAAATGAGTATACGCTACCTGAGTCAACACATCCACACGGTTTTTTATAAATAGTCCGATCTGACCACTATGAAGGTAAACCAATTTATAAAAGAGTCATTTAATAGAAAATCTAGTAAAAATAAAAAAGTGGTAGCAAATATATGGCTAATTTTTTTTAAAATTTTATGAATATTATTGGTTTGTCTCATTTACTTGTCAACCCCTACAGATTCGATTCTCAAATATATATGATAAATTTCTCTCAAGTATTTTTAACACAGAATTTGGGTTCATGCACACAACTGGTACATATTTTAAACTAGACAATAAACGTAGACTACTAATAAAAAACCGTGTAGAGGCTTTCTGATGTAGAAGGTGATAGCTGAGTCTGTTTTGACAGCTGCACTAAGAAAAAAAAGTATGGTCTAAACTACCAAAATTTGGTAAAATTAACCATGTTTCTGGCTCAATGAGAACACCAAAAAGCTTGGCAATTTTACCAAAGCGCTTTGGTAATTATTTTGGTAAAAGTAATAATAAAGTATGGTTTTAATAATATAAGATAAAATTTAGTAAAATTTGGTAATTTTATCATGATACCTTAGAGCATGACATAAAAACCATTTATTCTGTTAAATTTACTTTACAGTTTTGTATTTTTTACTAAATGAATCAGTGTGTAATCATTGTTACCACACATTCAATAAATGTGTGATAATAAGAACTATAATTTTGAAAACCTGAATTTCCGGAGAACTGTTATCATATGAACGAAAGAATTACCAAATGAATAGTTTAAATGCTGTAAATTTTGGGATTTACTACCAAAATTATTGTTTTAGTTGTTTTTTGCCGGAAATGTCATTAACATTGAAACGGTAATTTAACTAGAATTTTATCTCCGTGTAATATAGCTTCAAAAATAGTATAGCTTTATTCCCTATAAAAAAAAATTTAACAATTAAATATGCATGAATAAATAAATACAGCTGTGAAAATGAGAGTTAAACCAAAGTACTCAAACGGCATCAGTTTCCAAAATAAAAATTGTCCCAAAATGAAAGTTCAAAAAATTGAACACATCATTTTATAAGACTTGTATGCAATCTCACAGGCAAATGAAACGTAAATCAACTTATAAAACAGCTATAACTTTTTTTAATTGATTCTATTACTATATATTAAAGGCGGAGATTAAAGAACACCATACATAATTTAAAAAGTGTGCCTAAAAAATTTAATTAAACTGCAAATCACATTTTATACAAAATGAAAGTTTGTGAAAACGCATTATTATTAAGTATTTGAAAATTTCAAAAATTACTTTAAAACCGTTAATTTGTTAATAGACCAGCTGAACGGGGATTCGAATCCCAGCGTTTACACCACTGTATTTCCTCCATTTCATCAGCACATGATACGTTTCCAGGGTCCTGCACTCCTCAATTGGTGACCGTGGACTATTGGAATGCGAAACTCCCATTCACGCATAGATGGCTGCACTGAAAAGCTACTTAACACAAAAATATCTAGTATTTTGAATCATTCACGACAGATGCCATGACTAGATAAACTAATTAGGCCACATTCTACTGTTCACTAGGCAAAACACAACTCAAACTCCAAAGTCCATTACCTAACGAAAATCTTAACGTAACTCCAGTGTCAATTAAATTTCATTTTCACGATTTTGAAACCATTCTGGCTGTAAATGGTTACAAAACCGTATAATTTTGCACACATGGTTATTTAACCATACCATTTTTAAGCGATAAGGTTTCATAATCGCATAGTTAACCAAATCTTTAAAGGAAAAGAAATGTTCCTTACGGTAAATTATTGCTGTCGGTTATTTTACCATAATTTTTGAATGAAAATTCTAACCGCGTGAAATTGCCCTTAAACGTACAATTTTTAAAACAATGCTAAGATGATGATATATCTGAATATTTGAATGATTGTCTTCTTTCATTTCTATTACATAAATTCAATATTTATAGCTTCCATCTTTCAATAAAGCTCCGAAAAATGCATGCATACTTAATTAAGAAAACTATTGTATTTCGTTCAAAGTAGTTGATATTATATTGTTTGAAATATTTCAAAACCCAGCAGAAAAAGCGAAAGAATAAAATAGAAATGCTTTCTTACTTTGTACTTAAAAAAATCCAATTCTTGCTGAAGTTTTTCATTTTCTTCTTTTAAATAAATTACATGATTAACACAACTATTTGAATATTGACTACCAGAAAAGGAACTAATTTCAGAATCTGAAAAGTAAAAAAAAATTTAAGTTACTATTATAATTGAGGCTATTGTTCAATTACATTCATGCTTTTTTTAAGTAACTATCATTATTCTAATTTTTGTTAAGTACTGGTAATGGTCTTTTGATCTTTATCTATTTCCAATTATTATTAACTATCTATGGACATGGTATATCTCATGAACACGGAGATGCTACTTGCTCCATTTTGTAAAAAGTGTATATATATATATATATTGCGTTATTTGCGTTATTTTATTGTGCATTTATTGCGTTATATATATATNATCTGTATATATATATATATATATATATATATATAAATTTTCTAGTGGTGACGAAATTAAAATAAAAAATACTAAACTAAAAATCACTTTAAGTAATTTTTCCACCTGTACACATCAAAAATTCAAAGCATCATATGAAATACAACTTTATTGCAATTATCTCGTGGGGACACTTTTAAAGAGTGGGCATAAATATCCTTATTCAACATGTTTTGTTATTTAATTCGCTACTAATTTATTAAAACTTTTATAAAACTTTTATTTAGAAATTTTAACTTTTAACGTGTAACTTTTAAATATGTAATGTATTTGAACTATTTAAAAGCTTTATTACGTTAATTTAATACATTAATTGGAATAAACATGCTTATTGTTTATTTGGCATTTCGAATACGAGTACTTAAGATATTTATTTTATTTTATAACCGTCTTTGAACAGCCGAGCAAATTTTTTAACGGTTCAACTCTGTAGCCTTGTAATTTTGAACCTAATACAGAAGACAAGGGAATTCCTGAATAAAGTATTGGAAGAAATTTGCCTTCCTGGAGAATTTTTTGATGGAACTAACCCACATTTGCGTTACATGAAGAGAAAAACCATAAAAACCTCCCACTGTTAATCTGACGGGAAGAGGACTACATGATTCGTCTACCATTGAGGATACTTTACATCAGCACTGTGGTCGCTGCGAACCGGATGCGAAATTCGTATCTACCAGCCATCGCTGGAATTCGAACGCAGTTCACCTGGTTCACCGCAGTTCATTGGGAGGCGAATGCTCTATCCCGTGAGCCACCACGGCTCTAGATGATTTATTGCATGTAAACTATTTGTAAGATTTTTTATTAATAGGTACATAAGCTGTTTGCTGTTTCTAATGACACTTTAGTTGCAGAACAGCGGTGCTGCCTCACCAATCCAGATAGTATATAAAGACTTTACTATTTGATGTTCATCGCTAATCTTCTGCTACCAATTGCTAGCATGTTATTTTGTTATACAACTATGTTTTGTTGGTTTATTAAATATACTAAATATAATTCAAAGTTATCCTGAAAAATCCTTAACGAAGGCAGATTTCTCCCAATACTTGATCCAGGAGTTCCCTTGTCTTCTTGATTGGATTCAAAATTAGAAGGCAATTCAAAATTAGAAGGTTAATTAGTTATCGTATACCCAGAAACCAGGGTTTGCTGTTCAACGGTGGTTATAAAATTAAATATCATAGGTAAAAATAGGTAAGAACCCTTATGCGATAACTGTTACTCATGGACATTATGAGTTTCTATTGATGAAAAATACATACCGTCATATACTTTGTGCAGGATTTCGCAGTTTTTGAACTTTGACATGTAAAAAACTATGTTAATTCAAACTTTAGTAAAATTTATCGATATTATATTCATAACTGAACTCAGACGAGAGAATTTGATCAATATTGGCATTATTTGTATGTAATATTTACAAATAATAAGTCAAAACATACCTTGCACAAAATAGCCCGCAAGTGGGGCTACTTTGTGCAGCGATAGGAATTCAGTTTAATAATCATGTTTTTAGTAAAATATTGATATAAAATTGTTAAAAAAGTTAATTGTTAACATTTTTAATAACAAGATATGTAAAGATATTAGTTTGAAAATAATTTTCAGCTTTAAAAAACCATTTTTTATAAAGAATTTTTTCTTAAAAATAATGTTTATTTCAAAACATTTGAGTTTAGACAAAAGGAAACCATATACATTTTTGAACATTGAAATGGATGAAATTTTAAAAATAATAATTATTACATATTCATTAACATTTATAATATTGATAAATTTGAACATAACATGCTTGAATGAGCACGACCGAACTTGCTCTTCAGTTTCTGTCAAAATCACCTGATGTCCTATAAAATATATTTTTATGTGTTAAATCGTTTGATTAATTCATTAGAAAACCTTTGAGGAAGAAAAATAATAGTTTACCAGCACGTTTCACGTGTTTCTTGTGACTTTTATTAGAGATAGTATTCCTGTGGATTTTATATTTCCGAGAAGCTTCTGCAATCGACATACCACCAGCAACTGCTTGCAAACATTGTTGCAGCTTTTTTAAAGTGGAATCACGGTAATTTCTCGTTTGAGGTATTTTTTTTATAACATGTGACAATTTTTCTGTCGAAAAAAAAGCGAATGAAACTTTGCACAAAGTAGCCCCACAGTGCATTTTTTTCTCATTTTCCGTTTATTTGTTATTAATTTTAAATTTTTTTTAACGCTAACATGATATAATTGTTTATCAATGTAAAAATAAAAAATTTTGCACTTACGACAATTGTTTTATCAACGTCTTTGCATTTCACAGCTAAAGTTTCCACGCACACTTTTCGACATCCGACGTTCTCGGAAAGTTGTTAACATTGGATAAACAAAACACACTCTGAGATTGTTTTAAAATTCGAAAAAATGTTTGTAGTAGTAGAGGAGACTTCTATCTTCAAATTCCACACATTTTTAACGTGAAAAAAAACATAATACTGAATAACAGCACTTGAAAAGTGCCAAATTCGAATTTGCGCAAAGTAGCCCCACTTGACGGTACTTGAAAAAGAGCTTTAATGTTCAAAATTATGATTATGATTAGACTTACAATCATAATCATAATGATTTTATTATGATTTGATTATGATTATGATTTGATTATGATTATGATTTGATTTATGATTAGATTATGATTAGACTTACATAATAGGATTATTTTTCAATTTTCTATAATTTAAGAATGTATTACAGTGATATCTCTAGAGAAAACCTACAGCACAAAATATCTATCGGTAAAAATGGGTAAGAACCCTTATGCGATAACTGTTACTCATGGACATAATGAGTTTTTATTGATGAAAAATACGTAGGGGTGAGTCGGGTAGCCCCACCCACCTAAGGAGTTTTGCTTATATTTCTGTATAATATTGAGTAATAATCAATATTTTTGTATGTTTCTATTGTTTTATCATCTAATTAAATAATGCAAAAAGAATAAACCAAAAAAAGAATAGTTTAACTTAAAAAAATAGAAATTTAAAAAAACATGTTTTTCAGCTCTTTTCAAAATGTGTCGGGTAGCCCCGCCCAGTTACAAAAATTATGTTTTTTGACTGTTTTTTCAGGTGTAAATGAAAATGACCAATGTATTGACAATAGATAAACCTCATTTATCATTTTTATCACAAAATTATTTTATTTATTACATATTTATATACTTTTAGTGAATTCTATCATTTAATAACAATCATTTAATAACAACAATATTTGTTGTTAAAAATGCATATAACATTCAAATTTGAAGCAATAAAATAATAATCTTTGCAACCGTACATTTATCGACGAAATAAAATTGGGCGGTGATACCCGACATTCATGTGAGCGGGGCTACCCGAAATCCAATTTTTTTGTAAATTTGTAATTACTCGAACAATTTTTTACATACAAACTTCTTTCTTTGTGCAAATTAAACTTAAGACTACATACTTTAATGCTGTATGTATAAAAAAAATTATTTTTTTAGTATTAAAATGAAGTTTAATCGAAACATTCAATCAATTTTTCTTAATTTCATGACTTCTGTATTCAACATATTTTCAAAACTATTGCTTACCATGTTACCAGCTGCATAAATACTTGAAACTTTGAAAATAATCTTTTTTTAATATAACAATTAATGTCCGATGGCCCATTGACTTGAAAAAATATTCTATACACATGAAATTGACTGTGGGCGGGGGTACCCGCTTGGCGGTGCTACCCGACTCTCCCCTACATGAAAAAGAGCTTTAATGATCAAAATTATGATTATGATTAGACTTACAATCATAATCATAATGATTATGATTAGACTTACAATCATAATCATAATGATTATGATTATGATTTGATTATGATATGATTATGATTTGATTATGATTTGATTATGATTTGATTATGATTTGATTATGATTTGATTATGATTATGATTAGACTTACATGATAAGGTTATTTTTCAATTTTCTATAACTTAAGAATATATTACAGTGATATCTCTAGGGAAGACCACATCTGTGTAACGACCTCCTCCATTTACTATCATTTTTGGGAGGTACGGAATTTTTTCCGTAGACTTCATGTAAAAGAAAACCTTTAGAAGAAACCATCAAAACCTCTCCCAGCGATCGGGTAAACCTCTGCACCAAATGCGAAAAAGGTTAAATAAGAAAACTCGTAAAAATATAATAAGTTGTAAAAAAATAAGTAGATTTAAATGTATTCAAAATATTTATGAATGTCTATTATTTAGAGAGCTCTTTTTGACGATCTCTGAAAAAGATCGACGATATCATATTGCATTCAGAAGGCGTTAAAAACGATGTTATCAAATATTTATTTTCAGATCTGAAAGTTAAATTTCAGAAAAAAAATTTTTTTTTCAGAATAAAACTAAGCGTTTCAAGCAAATAAACCTCTTTTCATTTTTTTTAAAGTCAGCTGATTTTTATATAAAATTAAATGCAAACTTAAACAAAAAATATAATTGTTTATTTATTTAAAATTGTTTATCTATTTAAAATAGTTCTATAAATCATAATAGGAATTTTTTTTCTGGAAAAATTACCGTACTGCATGGTAAAAACATTTCTGGTAAAATAAATAACAATTATGGTAATCAAACCAAAATATGCGGTACTAAAACCATTCATAC